TTGATGAGAGTATACACTCTCAACGGCGGAGAGGGATTCCTCTCGGTGCGCTGAGAGTCGAGTCCGGCGCCGACTCCCAACCTCCCTGGGGGTTTTTGAAGAACGACCCCCAAAAACCCCCGGGGTTTTTCATTTTTTTATCTTTTTATTTTATTTTTTCTTGGGAGGATCGACTCCCAAACCTGTTGAAGGTTTGGGAGGTCCGACTCCCATCTCCGGGGGTGGACGGCCTGCGGACCGTCCGCAGGGGGTCTTAGTGACGTCCCAAATATTTGGGAGTCGGAACTCCAATATTTGGGAGTCGTTTAACTAAGACCCTTGTTTTAAGAGAGAGAGCAAGCGATTGACCAAGAAAAAAAACAAAAAAATTGACAAGAAGTAAGTAGAAATAAAACATTACACCAACCGATCATTCAGTTCTTTGGAAAGCAATCAGAATCGCGAAGTGACCAAGATCAAGTCTCTTCGGAATTGCAAACTGGCGGTGAGCCAGGTGATTGGGACAATTTGATTGTCAAACAATTGGATGGTTGATCGTCAAACAATTGGATTCAATCTCGAATGTTGAACAATTGTCTAGGTCCTTGTAATCTCTTCAGATGGGTGTTTGACAAGGATTTTGTGATGGCCATCTGATGAATTCTTTGTACTCTCGCCAGCTTGATCTTGAACGGTGTCGGGTGGTTATATGAGCGAGCAGGGAGTGCATGCGTCGGGTTGGGAGAGAGAGAGAAATCTTAATTGACTTAAATGCCGTTGAGCTGAAAGGCAAAAAGGATAGAAAAAAGAGCCATGCAAAAAACCATGGCTTTGCTAGTAAGCGGCCACGGAAATTCAAGAAACTCAAAGTTTCATGAAATTTATTGATCATCAATGCAACATATTTTTCAGGTTCCGAATAGGCCACTTGATAAATAAAAATACAAAGTTCAAACTATGAAAAAGAAAAAAAACTTGTTCAAAAGTGAGGCCTGCAGGTGCTCACAACATCCTCCACCACCAAAGCTTGGAGATGCTGTTGGGCCCTGATGGCTCATTATTCCTAAGTCCTCTCCCTGCGGGAGAGTCCTTGGTGCATGCACACTTGACGAGTGGCTCCAGTTCCACACGCCGCAGCAGAGACATGGGCTTTTGTTAAGTTCGTGTAGTGTTAGTGCGCTGTTAGTGCCACTACGCTACATTTGTTGAGACAAACAGGGAGACTAATGACTGAAGTTCACAGACAGACTGTCTGTGACACTTTAGGAGTGAAAAAGAAAATGATGGTTTGTATTCACTTAGGAGAGGAACTACTAGACTAATCCTGAGGAGAACTAAATACAGGATTTGTCATGTGGTTTGATTGATGCATACAACAGTATAAGCATATACTCCAACAACATTACGCTGCACTACAGCTCTTTTAGTGGCAAAAATGGCCCAAAAACTGCTAAAATGTGCTGTAGCCCAGCATAGTGGGCCCTTTTTTGCCGCCCACACGCGTAGCATTAGCACAGATTTCTGTATCTGTGCTAACACTACACTACAATTGTAGCGTATTTGCACTACACTACGCTAGACTAACACTACCGTTAGCGTAGCTGGCCCAGCGTTGTTTGTATGCACCCAGGGTTTGCGTGGGAGTTGCCTGCACACCGCAGTGGACCTGCTGTCAACCCAGCGGGCCCTACATACAAGTGGATGCAGTTTAAGGTTCCAATCCAGACCCTGAAAATCCGGTGCTACCCCAGGTTGTGCCGGGCCATGGATACTTCCAGGAGATACCTGGTAGCCGATTGAATTCTTCTATGTGTCAAGACTCAAAACAGCCTTTTATGGCAGAAATGTGAGTTTTGGACTTTTTTTTGACAAAAATGAAAAAAGTGCTTTGGCCTCTTGCACAAACTGTTTTGGAAGCTTTTGTATGGAGCTCACAGCTCCATTGGGTACCCTACGGCCTTGGAGCTGGATATGCCGGGTTTGGATGTCGGGAGTGCCTTACCCGGAGCCGGATATGTCGGGTCTGGATGTCGGGAACGCCGTACCCAGAGCCGGATATGTCGGGTTCGGATGTCGGGAGCGCCGTACCCGTAAGGGTGTGGCCCGGGGTTTGGGACGGGGCATGAGGGTCATCCCAAACCCCAGACCCTGAAAATGCCCCGGGGCACCCTGAAGCCCCAGGGCCTGACTTTTTTTTTCTGAGAGCCCAATAATCGGCCTCCAGACCCATTTCTCTGGGTTGCTTAAGTCCGATATCATCCTTTCATCAGTTTCTTTTTCTTTTTTTTTTCTTTTTCCCCCTCCAAAGGACCGTTTAGGCAAATCCATCGACCCAAGGAGCAACTTTTAATGCCTCCAACCACCAAAAAAACATAAAATCCCCCAAAAGATCATGTGAAATCCATATCCAAGCAAGAAAAGTTGACGCCCCGGGGTTCGGGGTGTCCACAAGACTCATCCCGATGGCCTGAGCCCCGGGGTCACACCTCGGGGCAGGACCCCGGGGCCCACGTTTGGGGCACACCCTTACGTACCCGGACCCGGAGGCCCGGATCGGAGGCTTAATGCAGTTGCCCGGGCTGCCAATATTACATAATGCGCTCTTCAACTACGTCATCGAACTTCGGCTTTCACCATCTGATCCACTCCCAACGATTATCTTGAACGATGGTTCCCCAGGCTTTTATTGCCGGCGCTAAGCGAACTGCGGTTTGTACAATGCTCTCTTCTGATCATCTGGTTTCATCTCACTGTCTTATCACATTCTGCTCACTCTGCTCAATTTGATATCGTAGTTTGGTGCCTATGGTGGAGCTCTAAGATCGCTGACAGCCGCTCAACTTGGGGGACTTGCTTCCAAGGCTGCATTGGCGCAATTACCGGCGGGGACGGTCGTTGATCATGTGATTTTTGGCACTGTTCTTGGTTCGGATCCTTCAAGCGCATATCTTGCGCGTCATGTCGGACATCTTAGCGGTTTGCCGGTCACTGTGCCGGCTTTAACAGTCAATCGGCTCTGCGGCAGCGGGTTTGAGAGCGTCATCCAAGCTAAACGCTTAATCTCCCTGGGTGAAGCTGATGTGGTGATCACTGGTGGAAGTGAGAGCATGTCACGATGTCCCTACACATTGGCTGGCGAGAGTCGATTCGGGAACCGATATGGCGTGGATCTAAAGCTCGAAGATAGTTTGGCACACGCTCTTATCGACCGGGTCCCTCAACCGACCCCTATGGGTATTACTGCTGAAAACCTGGCCGATAAATATTCAATCAGCAGAGAGGTATCTCAAATCTGACTTCCTTCTCTTTAAAATCGCATCTGTCAATATTGAGCTGATTGAAAAAAACATCGAGCTTCCAGGACTGCGATCGCTTTGCTTTAGAAAGCCAAAGAAGGTGGGAGCAAGGTAGAAAAGATGGAGCATTCAACGAGGAGGTGATACCGGTCGAATTGGTCTCACGCAAAGCGACGGTTCACTTCAGTATAGATGAGCATCCTCGTCCGCAGACAGATGAAACTTCTCTTAAGAAGCTTACACCGGTTTTCAAGAAAAACGGGGTTGTGACAGCCGCGAATGCGAGTGGGATTTGCGATGGCGCATCGGCAAACGTGGTGGTTTCGGAGGCGTGGCTCAAAAAAAACCAGGTCAAGCCCCTTGCAAGAATTGTAAGCCACCATACTGTCGCCGTAGATCCAACTATCATGGGAATCGGGCCGGTTGGGGCGATCAAAGGTGCTCTGAAATCAGCAGGACTCAGTATCGGCCAGGTAGATCTTTTCGATATCAATGAAGCATTCGCCGCTCAGTGGTTGGCAGTCGCCAAGGAGCTGGAGCTACCCTTGGATCGTTCCAATATGTTTGGAGGTGCGATCGGTACGTGAAAGTATACCGGTTAGTTATCTTTTTGGCAACAGAATAAAGCTCTGACATCTTGCCCAAAACTTTAGCGCTGGGACATCCGTTGGGTGCATCGGGAGCCAGAATTCTCAACAATTTGACTTACAATTTGATCCGACTTAATAAAAGATACGGTGTCGGGTCTGCTTGTATCGGCGGGGGCCAGGGGATTGCTGTAGTATTGGAAAGGTGTTAAAGACGATTAAGTGTAGTTTTCGTTTAAGTATTAACACCCTGTACTGTATGATTAAAAGACAATGTATTGATAAACAGCCTTATTGCAACAGAATAGTTTTCAAATCAGTTGGCAGAAATCCGCAACACTTATTTGGTTAGATTTTTTTGTAGTTTTGTTTCACTCCCCCAAGCGCCATTTAACCATTTGTTACATTGTCACAACTTCTCCTTCAATTACGCACATCTCCACTTTGGCAACTTTCAAGGCCTTATTTTGTTTAATTTTGTGATGTCTTTGATCTCCGCTCGCGGTCTGGCGTGAAAATCATTTGTAAAAGAAAACCAAAGTGAAAGCAGTACTTACTATTGTCATTATGACAGCTTCAGGCGGTCTTGGGAAGTACATTGCCTCTGCCAGACATGGGCTGCTGAGCTATTTTCACAGGCCTGTGCCGGTGCCTCTGCCACATATAGGATGTCGTGCTGTTTAAACGTTGTATTGCACAGAAGTTACATACTAATGATCAGTTTGTGCTCAGAAGGGATGCGCTGGCTGGGTGGTGCCACTGGATGCCTTACTTGAAATACATGAAGGCTGAGCCAGCCACGCTAATGGTAGCATCATAGCCATAGCAGAATTCTCCTCACATTTGGGGCCTGTAGCATTCAATCCCAATTTTGAACTTTTTTCCACAAACCAAAATTCAATGTTGGGTTTGAGCCAAAAATTGCGGAAATCAAGGATGATGGACAGGGCGCTGTACAGCTGTCACACAAATGCTTGTGGTTTTGGGGGCCTTTTTTATTTTTGCCCCCAACTTTTGTTCAAGCCCTGCCCCCACTGGTTAAAAATTGCAGTAGATCACCTACCATTTATGATGACTGACCTACCAAAAATCAAAAGCATGTGATTTTGGTTGATTGGGTAGTATCAACCAGTGGGTTGTCTGCAGCACTTCTCACTGACAGGGCTGGGGATAAAAAAATGGAAACCCACAAGCTTTGTTTTGACAGCTGTATGTCACATTCAATTCCTGAGTTGAAAATTAGAAATCAACCTGATAATTGGAAAAAATGGTGGCTGTGGTCTGGGCCATGTGCATAGTGCAGTGAAATTCCTCTGCATCTGCACTAACACTATGCAAAAAGGCCACACAAAATATCTCTGCACGCTGATCTACAGCGCTGGTTAGCAGCCTTTTACTGCTTTAATAGAGTCCAGTGGAGCAGCATAGCATAGCAGAAATTCACTAACACTGCACATTTGATCTCAAGAAAAAACACCACTACACCACCACTTTTTTGAAAAGAAGAATAGCAGGCCACTGCTGTATACATACATAATTATTACATTACAAGCCTATTTTAAATTACCAAAACATTTTCACAATGTAACCAGTCTGGAATATTAATGTTGCAGAGTGTCAATAACCATGATGTAAAGGGCTTGCACAATTTTCACAATTACAGGTGATATGGGGTGTTTTTCTTATCAATACAAGTGACGACTTGCATCCCATTATTATAAGGAATTGAAAAAGATTCACCAAAAAATCTCTTTAATACAAATGATTCAAATAAAAAAACCCTTGGCCAATATGTTACATAGCCTGGGTCAATCATTGTATTGTGCCATTATGATGCAATGTTTTGAAACCTGACCAACATTGTCCCTTTTCAACCACTGAAGAGTGATAATATGCCATGTTTTTGTGTTACCTAGTAGGAATCACTCCATAAAACAATTTGAATTCACTTGAGTTAGTGTGTATGTATAGGTACTATGGCTTCGGACCTTGTGATGATGCTGTTTTGGATGCACTAAATTGAGCATCCGGTGGGACAGATTGTAGTTTTGTACTGGTAACTACAGAGTAAAGGGCCGCAGCTACTTCAGTTTTAAGTTTAGGTCGCTGGAGTCTGGTGTTTTGTATCAGCAAACAAATGATCTTCCGTTACCAAAGGCCCCATCTGACATCTGTGCACGATGACTTCTGCTTCATCAAAGAAAATTTGCTTCACCATTCAAGTTTGGATTTTATCATCTTTCAGAAGTATTCAGTACTCCCAATCTTTCCTAGTGTCTCTACTCTAGTAGTCAGATGATATCCTGGTTTTTACTGTGTTTGCTGCTACCGGTCCAAAGTACGACCGCGGCACTTTCGCCGAGCGAAGACAATTGGATTGCACAATTTGCAGATGAGCTAGCTGCACATATTGAGCAACCTTCCCCAGGCAACGGGGATGAGTCCCAGTACATCTATGAAGGAGAAAGCCAACTGAAGCGAGCACGATTTGATCACTCAGCTATTTCCGACTCCATCCTAATCCCCACTCCCTCTGCCCGCTTCATGGAAGCAAATTTGTTGGGTGAAATGCAACCTAGAGACCCGGTTTCACCAACTTTTATGATGGAACAGCCGACACAGGCCACCGGGAGGCCACAAACCAAGAGAGCTCGAAATGATAAGGCTTCGATTCTGGAGAACAATGGACAAGTTGATGATACCCCAAAGCCCCAATTCCACAAGAAGGAAGGATTCTGGAAGCACCTCCAAATCCATTCCGACAATGAGCTCAACCAAGCTTTTGGAAAAATGCTGACCCCTGATCGCCCCAAGAGTGATGTATCAACTGTATATGATCTTACCCGCTTACCAGAAAGGGAGTTGGAAGCTTCACTTCACACAATCCAAGATTTAAAATATGGCCATCTTGCTTATCAATACCAAAAATACTACCAAGTTACTATCTACTATTTATATCAAGAAACTGAAGGCTTATCGAGATATCTTGGATTAAGTAGAATAGGTGAACATCCATTTGCACTGGTCCCTATGCTCAATCGAAGTATGGAAGATTACAAGTCATTGGTATTTCCTTTAGATTCACAGGGGAAACGATTTGAAGGGACCTTGCTACTGGGATATTTCACAGATTTGCTTAAATGGCTCAATCATATACATCGACTTCTCTGGAACAATTTCAATCAAAATCTTCCAGAACCTCCGGACCACACACAGGACTACCAGCAGCTACAACTTTGGCTCTTTGGAGAGATATTCAATCCAGAACATGGCTTTCCTGTCTTGGGCAAAACCAAAATAACAAGCCAGAATGATGGCCAATTTGGGGCAGTACAGCTTTGGATCATCAAGCTGATTCAGGAACCAAACAAAGTATATCAAATATCTGTGGCAATCTGCGGGATTTGGTTTAAAAACACCTCGTTTGAATGGGAAAATAAATTCAAAATTGATGATTACTTTTGGGTTAGGGTACATAGTTTACTGACAAGGGATATTTTGGATCTGGAAGTTAGTAGGAATACAAAGATGATGAAAATCAAGAATGAATCAAAGAAAAAATGCACATGGAATTCAAATATTATTCATCTGGACCAGATCTTCCAGATTGAAAAGCCCAAGCTGGTTATGAAGATTGAAAATATTGAATTTTTTGATGTGGATAAATATGGGGACATGGAATCCATCAATTCACCATTGAAATGTGAATGTTCACAGAGATCAGGCTGGGTTGATTTTCTACCCATCCAGAGAAAAGCTGGAGAACCACACAAAGACAGTCTAACAAAGATTCTGTTTCCGATAAAAGTCCACAAGATGATTTCACAATCTGCTTATATGTTCCACCCTCTTTTCAGTTGGATGCACTGGTTTACATTCCAAAAACTTCCAAAAGCAACTAGTTTGGCTTCAAGATCAATTCTTCAACAATTTTCACAAATCTTCCTTCCAATTTCTAATTATACTGAAATCCATGAAATAATACATAATTCAGGGATGGCAATCACATCAAATATTGAAAGAAGCAGTTTTGTGGTAAGAATTTTAGGTGAATATCCAACCATGTTGGCTACACATAAACAATGGAAAATACAGCTCTATCACTTCATAAACAGTCTAGAATATATTTCAGGTATTATATATGATTATCTGGGTAAAAGATTTGAAAAGACAGAGATGATTAATCAATCAGAATTTTTAAAATGGTTCTCTGGAATGATTTTTGGTACAGATCCTAAATGTAGTATACCTTTAGTTGGAAAGATTCCAGACCCAAACTTGCCTGAAATTCTTCTTGCAAGAATCAAGTTTAATGAGGTCCAAAATTTCATCATTCAAACATTTTTCAAAAAGTATTCCTTGAAGTATAATGAGGCCTCAATAGTCCTTTATGGCTATTGGATAAAGAATGAACACCCAGAGTTTTGGAATGATGCTTTTGGAACTGATCAGGATTATTCTAGATTGATCAAGCATACATTCACTGAAAATGCAAAAATCAAGAATCAATTTAGATCAACAACATAAAACCAGTGATTGGATGTCTTCCTTTCATGACTTAGAATCCTTGCAGAACTTGATTTACACCACTTAGATCTTAATTTTTGGCAAAAAAAATATGTTTCTTTGGAATCCTTGTTGTGATTTCTCTCATGTAAGCTAGTTGTGGTTCTGATTACAGTGTTAATTTAGCACTTGGAGAGGTCTAAAAAACACTCCAAATGGTGAGGGGAAGTCCTCCATTGAAGGAATTCATTTCAACCTGGACTCCTCCTCAATTTAGAATTTAGAATTCTGAATCCTAATCTCTATTGGTTCAAATTGAATGCTTATTTGATAGGGGCTTGGAAAAACGACTCCCAAATTTTAGTCGACGACTCCCGTTTCGGTCGGGAGGTCGTCGAACGGGAGTCGTTCTTCCAATTCCCAAAAAAACATAGGGAGTTGTTGCACTAATTTTACCTGGAGAATTTTCATTTTTTTTATTAAAAAAATAGGCAGTCGTCCGCCTAAAGTGCGGGAGTCGGCGCACCAATTCCACCTAATATTTCACCCTTTTTTATATTTAAATTGACGGGAGTTGTCCACCTAATACGAGGGAGTTGTTGCACCAATTCCGCCAAATGTTTTGCCTTTTTTTTTCTATATTAAAAAAAGACGGGAGTCGTCCAACTAGAAATGGGAGTTGTCACCATATGGCACCCTCAGAGACTCCAAAAAAAGGTTGAGCCACTGAGGCCCCACCCCAAAGGCAATTTATCAATGATAAAAAAATTAGATTGATTGAGAAAAACCATTGCAAGAGATAAAAGAGATGACAAACGGGCCAAAAATATTCAAAAATGATCAGAAAAGTAAGAAAAAAAAAGGGGGTAAAAAAAGGACATAGAGGAAAAAAAAATCAAAAACTAAAAAAGACACAGGATAAAAAAAACCCTAGTGGTGTTTCATTGGATTTTCTATTTTCCTCTCTACAGTCAATTTGAAAGAATCAGAAAATTGGGCTTCCCATCCCCAAGCCTCTTCTGATGCCTTTTTTTTCACTCCTTCATGAGCTGAGGGGCAGCAAAATGTCTTGGGTTATGTAACTGCAAGGGGATAAAATGAGAAAATTCATGTAGAAAAGCGATAAAAATAGGGGGGTTGTCATTGGGGGGGCAGAAAGAAGGAAGAAAAGTCTGGCAAAAGGTGTCAGAAAAAAAGCAAACAGGCCTCTCAAAGGCATTTGTCATTACCTCACCCGTCGAAGGCATGGACATCCAATGAGGCTTTGAACAAGGTGATGGCGAATCAACCTTGATACAATCCAAAGCGCTGTGGAGTTTGTGGAACACGGTTTGATACCAATCAGGCCGGCGAACAATTTCATTGTACAATTCATACCAACTCCTAGGGATTTGTCAACAACTCCTGCAAGACAAAAAAAGCCCAGTTGTCAGTTTGGACAATTGGGCCATCAACTCCCTTTCCGTCTGGGGAAATTAGCCTGACGACTCCCAAGGAAAAAAAAAAAGAATCAAGAAAATTAAGGATCAAATTTGGGGCGCCGACTCCCACATTTTAGGCAGACGACTCCCAAATTTTCAATTAAAAAAAAATAAAAAATTGCCTGTGGAATTAGGCCGACGACTCCCGGGAATTGGAAGAACGACTCCCGTTCGACGACCTCCCGACCGAAACGGGAGTCGTCGACTAAAATTTGGGAGTCGTTTTTCCAAGCCCCTATTTGATATACGCACATATCTCTATTTACATGTTTATAAAAAAGTATAAAACAAATTCTGCCACGCTTTTTTTTCCACATCTCTGACTCCCAACCCCACAATCCTTACTTTTACCAATCTTACAATGATTGCCTTCTTCCCTATCTAAGCCCAAAAGAGAAGTAGTAGCAGTAGTAGTAGAATGTGTTTTTATTTTACCTTTTCATTGATCTCTGATCAGTTTGGCCCATCAGATGACCAATCAAATCCAAAAACATGAAAAGGGAGAAGTGCCCCACTGAACTGTGAAAAGTATTCTGCTTAAAGTATAACATTCTTTCAATCTTACTCGTCCCAAGAAGCAGCACTGGGTCTATACTATACTTGACTAGAACTGTTTCTTTTCAGTATAGTAAAGTTTCCTCAAATTTCTATTGACTATAACTAGTGCACTTCCCACCAAGCTTGGTATAGTATAGGCCACTTTCTGTGGCTCCAGAATTCAAATATATTATAAGGGCCTTGGCTTTATCACCCATGAAGTGTATCTATGAGCTCCAGAGAGCCCCTCTGTGGTCAACCAAGGGACTCTCATAAGTAGCCAGAGATGTTTTTAGCAGCATCCTCCAGGGAAGCTTATAGTAGATTAAATCACTCAAAGGAATCTCCTGTTCTCCAGTTATAGTAAAGGGCCCTGAAAATCAGACTATAACCACACCCTTTATAGTAAAGTTGGATATGTATACTATATTACCAATACTGTACAAATAATTGCAAAGTAGAAACACTGTGTTGCAAGAAGTGCTATTGGAAGCAGGTTGAGCTGTCAATGATGCTACTTGCATGGCAAGTCAAAACCAGCTTTGGAGTACAAAACTGACATTGTTGTGCACATGAAAGCAACAGTCATAGTGTGATAAAAAGTATGCCTTGTGCCTTGGTTGGAATTGCTTAGGCCCCATTTGTTAGCGGGATGTAGCATTGTAATGTGTGAAATCCCCACCAAATTTGACGGAATTTGAGTGGATTTCACACACATTAAAGTTGCGCGCGGCATTGTACTGTACAGGATTTTGGGATGTCCAAATGGTTGGGACCCAAAATTTGGAAAAATTTGATTTTTTTTTTGTTAAGTTCTGGGGTGTTGAGACGTCAATCTGACATCCACGCTGCTGTAATCAAGCCAGCTGATGCACTTTTGAGCATATACATTGGCTTTAAGCTTATGTGTATGGGCTTAGGCTGACATATAGCCATACAAGTATGGGTTTATGGTGTCAGCCTATTGCATATTTATGTACTTAGCCCCCCATATTTGGCCTGTGACCGAATGGTCCGGTGAAAAAAAGAATTTTTGTTTGTTTGGCTGGACCAAATTGGTTGCCGATTTAGATTTGGAATCTACACACCTTTTTTTTTTTTTTTCAAGTGCTATTGATTTCACATACTGCACTATAGTGTATATCATCTGTATGTACAAAAAAACCCGTATACCAAAATGGGCAAAAAAAATTATCTGTATTTTATAAGTGCCTAGTGTTTTGATGACTACAGTGTGATTAATCCAGCGGGTAGAAGAAAAGGAGGGAGAAAGAAATTAAAATTTGCAACAAAAAGAAATCATGGTTTCCATCGCCTCCTCTTGCGGCTTTGGATTTCTTGTTTCATTAGTGGGCAAGTATCAGACCATGGGGAGTGAGAGAATTTTTCATCTAATGTGTTAACTGCTTTTTTCGATACAAGTTTGTCATGAGAAATGCAGACACAGCAAGTAGAGGAAGAAGGTGTTGATAGGTCACAAGCTGAAGATGTGTGATTGCCATGACATTTGTGACAAAGTGGAGAATTTTTACACCATTGAGAAGTGTGTCCAAGTTTCCAACAATTGAAGCATTGTGGGATTGATCATTCGTAATGTGCACCTTGATATAGTTTGTTTTGTAAAAATAGGCCGGACCATTCGATTTTCAGCGCAATGTCTTTGTCTAGCAGTTGAAGTACCAGTGAACCGTTCTTCTTTCCTTTCTCTATTGGGTTTCCGAGCCATCAAGCTGATTGAATCAGGTTTGGATCGATCAGGTTTTGCGTTCCTAGCTCTTGCAGGTGTGAAGTATCTGTTGGATTAAAGTTAGTCGGGATTGCATGTAAGATAACAGGATATCGGTTGGGGAAAGTTTTAAGTTCGGTGCAAAGCAAGTCTGTCCACTTGTGTTTGTTGTTGAGCAGCCACCGTGCATTTGATCGTGAACTTGTATAGATCTTCAAATCTTTAGAGGGAAGTCACGCAATGCCGTCGATTTCAATTTGGTGTGAGTTGATTTTGGCCTCAATAGAAATTAGAATCTTATTAATCTTAGTTGTGATGTCTGTTGCTGTTGCTGAATCTAGTGCAACGAACCCAGGCGGAGTGCGAATTACTAGGCTAGATTTCTTGAATTCATTTATTTGTGCGTTTGATTTCCCTTGCTTGTTTATGGTAGGGTTTGTTTTCTTATTGTTGGTAGTGGTCGCTGAGGGCCAGGTCAAAGGTGTCGGAGGAGAAACTGTAAGAGGTCGTCGTTCTAATCTTTCTAGTCGTTCAGTATTCATAGCAGATTTCAGTTTGATTGTTTGATCTAACAGAGCTTGTATTTGGTTTTCATTCAGTATTCTAGCCGGGTTCTTCGGTGAGAGAGCTTCATTCAGGAACTTCGTTATCTCGCTGAGTGTTTTTAGCGGTGAATCCGTTGTTTGTGGTTCATGCGAAACTTGTCCGGTTGGTAGAGGAGGGGGATCGGGAATGGGAGGTAGACTCCAAAAATGTGTTCATTACAGGTGCTGGACCCCCGTCGGGGGTGAGGATCAACCCCGCGCGACCTAATCAACATTTGCGGGTGGCCTTGTACAGTAGAATGCCGCGCGCCACTGTACGCTTGCACACGACACTGACAAACGCGGCCATAAAAAAACTCTCATTCTGGATGCCCGTGGAGGCTTGACCACATTGACGTACAATACAAGTTTTTTTTCTTCTTTATTTATTTATTTAGAGTTACACTATACATAATGTTCTTTTTCTCAAAAGGATGAAGGAAGTTGTACACTTGAGAGAGGCCCGATAAATCTCAGAAAAATAGCCAACAATAGAGTGACAGCTGGGATTGAAGAGCTCAGTGCCGATCGCATGAGGAACGCCAGAGCAAGGTTACAACTTGGATTTGGGGTCAGCTTCGATGCGAAGGATGGCCTTTGCGAGAACCTTGCGCGATCCCAAGTCTTTCAAGCCTTCGGGCAATTCGGCCAAGCCGTTGTAAATCTTCGTATGCAAGACCGGTCGGAGTTGACCTCGACTGATCAGCTCCAATAGAGCCGCCCATACTTTGACCGATTCACTTGGGTCCTTTTTCACTTGCGCACCCTACCGATCGCAACATATATATATATATATATATATAGTCAATGCAAAATGCATCCCGTCAAGAACGTCAGCTTCATCCACAAAAACCCGGTGAATCAACAACAATGCAAACCCAAAAAATCCCCGTCACTGCTGCGTTTTTCAGCAATAGAAGGTTGGCTGGAATCTTATCGATTTGTCCTCCTGTGTGGATCAAGGAAGCAATCAAAATTTTCAGAAAATCCGCCTTGACAAGTTGAAGAAGTAGGTAGTTGATCACAGGGGCTGGCTTTGCCTCTTTTGGACGTTGGTTGTGCTTGGTATAACTTGAGACGTCAGACTTACCGGCGAAGCCAACAACCACCAATCTACAATCCCATGCAGCAACTTTGAGAGATTTCTAGCAAGAATCATGTGCAATGGAATCCAAATCAGGTTCAAGCAGATCTTGTGTGAAAATATGACTGAAAAGAGAGAACGCTTTGAAAGCGTGAATAGAAATCTGGTAAACCTACATTGAGAAGTCCGACCGGATCAAAGACGACGTCGACGCCTTTTCCCTTAGTGATTTTGAGGACCTGAGCCTGCCATTCCAACATGGACGATTTCTTCTTGGCGCCGCTTGGACTAGACGCCGGAGTATCGTCGTAAACCAAGGTGAAATCCTGGTCAGACAGGCCTCCGAACTTGCGGACGAAGGCGAGCTTTTCTTGTGACGAGGCTGTCGCGATCACCTTCGCTCCCACCGCTGATGATCAAACAAAGACATCCCATCAAGTCGTCGATTAGATCTTAGTTTACCGAAATCCGTCTTCTCGAACCCCATCCCTTTTATCCCATAATCGATTGAAATGCACTTCACCTTTGGCGATTTGGACTGCCGCAATTCCTACCCCACCAGCCGCAGCATGGACTAAACACCACTCTCCTTTCTTCAATTTTCCTCGGTTGATTAAGGCGGCATAAGAAGTCCTGCATGTGAAAATAGAGCTGGTATTAGCCGTATTTTGTTTATCCCAGATGTTCAATCAGCTGTTGTACCAGCCATGATGACCTACGGGTAGGTGACAAAGATAGCAGCGGAGTGTTCGAAGTCCAATCCAGGCGGGATTTCGATCAACTGGTCCCAGGCGACACAGGCCTTAGTAGCATAACAGCCCTACCGAAGCGTTTCCAAGTCCCCGAGGATGATGAGTTGAAGCAACTCACACTCCTAAAGAGCGATTCCCCAGAACAGACAGGATATGCTCACTTGGGTCGAGCCGAAGACTCTAGTTTTACCAGGAACGAAGGGGCATCCTTTGGGGATCGGACTGTTCTGCGAAACCACCCCAGACAGCTCGGCGCCGGGGATGAACGGGAACGGCGGTTGGTCTTGGTAGAGTCCCCGGACTTGAAGCGTATCGAAAAAGTTCATCCCTGCACACCTGAAAATATACACTGATCGTTCAGCTACCCCAGCTGCTCCCAATCGATCGAACAGCAGAAAGATAGACTCACTTGACATCGATCAACACCTGATTATCCGCTGGCTTAGGGTCTGGTAGCTGTCTGCATTCATTTTTTTTTGTTTGAGTCAATTCCCAATCCAAACAAACACAGAGCAAGTTGGAGGAACCTCACGTTAGACATCCTGAAAGTTGGTCGAGGCTTTCCAAGTTCTGTTTGATCTGATAGGCGTGCATCTCGTCCTGGGTGATATGTATCCTGTTTGAGTGGGCAGTGGCGGGATTGCCACTGGTACAATGATAGGCGATGATGTAATGTGGGGCTTCAAGTCCCACAGCAAGCTTTATACACGCCCCCCGCGCGGAACGAAGCTCGGCGGTCTCTGCGCAGTGAAGATGCTCCAGGAGGACCCCGCGGGAGGCTTCGAGAGGCCCAACTGAAGGCTGACACAGGGTGGAAAAATCAAAACTCTTCTCTTTTAAAGAACAACACTGGCTTCTATTAACCTATTTATCCACTGCTACAATCATCATCATCATCATCATCATTTGATTTTATTTGATTTTACTCTTATTGTATTTACTTTTGTTTTATTTTTGTATATCTTCTTTTTTATTTAATATTTGGAAAAACAGGAGAGATTAAAAAAAAAGGATAATCAAAAGAAGAAGAAAAAAGAAAATCATTTTTTTTAAAAAAAAAAAATTGAGTCTGGATGAATACAAATAGTAGATCGATCAAGTATATATATTATAGATGGTGTGGTTTGTGAGCAAGCAAGCATAATTCGAAAGCAAAACGAAAACAAAAGGATTGGATTATGGAGTCCATTTTGGGATGTGGGATGATGATCTGATTGAGACTGAGACGATTGAGGAGAAGATGAAGCCCGGTATGCGTGAGCAACGAGCGGTTTGATCGGAGTGATAGATATAATCTGAGATTTTCTGATTATCTTTCGGTTGGTGTTGAAGGGGTAGGCAAGCCAGCGAAGGGAGGGACGTCCACCCGAATTTTCTTGGATTGGTTTCGTAAGGACCTTCTCAAACCACTACCAGTCGTGTTACTCGATCGATCGACGTCTTCGTTTACAGCCTCCCTCCTCTCCTTCGTTGTTGTTGTTGTTGCTCGTTCTCGTTTCTTCTTCACCGTTTCAGTCGGACGAGTCTCTTCTGTTGGGTTGGATTGCGATGGAGCTTCGGATCTCGTCCTGCTGTCTGATGTCTTCGTCCTGCTTTCTGACGTCTTCGTCCCGCTTTCTGACGTCTTCGTCCTGCTTTCAGATGTCTTTTCTACTTCGATTGGCTTGCTCGCACCTTCTTCTTTCCTTCTATCCACACATTCCTTCCTAGGGCCAGTTTCTTTCCTTCGATCGACCACGTCTTCTGTTGTGCTCGGACCAGCGAGGCTTGACTCTCCCTGAATTGCACTCCCATTCTTGCGGGAACTGCTTCGACGCGGCGGCGGCGATCGAATCAGTAGCTGCTTGGGCTCACGATCCCGATCTTCGAGGAACCAGGAGTCCATCAGGTCTTGCTTCCCCTCTCTGGCTGATAGATTCTCATCGACGACGTGTGAAAGATCTCGCCGTCGGCTCAACTTCGCGCGCGTCTCCCTGACTAACGACTCAGAAATTCCTATCTCCACTAAATATTCCGCTGACACTCCCCACGAAAACAACTCGCGCATAATATTTTGTGCTTCTTTCTTCTTACTTGCAAAATCGAAATCTAAAGATGTCCCTTCCCCTAAGACACGAAAAAAAGTAAAAACAAAATACAACAAAGTTGGTTCATCACTGGTCAAGACAATCGGGAGAGTCTAGGATTGATGGAAAAAGAAAATTGGGCGAACAGTTTCCAAGGCACTAACATTCTCTTCCGCTTCTCTTTTTTATCTCCTCAGGCCTATCATCATCGTACCTCATGTCTTCATCAGAGTGATGATGGGAATAGTACTGTTCTGAAGCATGTCCAAGATGCACCGGTCCGGATTCTTCGATCTGGGCAAACGCGCGTCGAGGAGGACCTTTGTGATGGTATGGATCGACGGGAAACGCTTCGGGGTGGAAGGGTACTGGCTCATCAGCCGTTTGCAGCCGTTGTTTACCTTTCTGCTGCTGTAGTTGATGATAATGATGATGATGATGATGATGAGGGTGAGGGTGATGTTGCGGTTCTAGCGGAAAACCCGCTGGGGCTGGTGGGTGATGAATCGGTAAGGGCTCGGGTCGGAATGGATCGGGTCGAACCGTTTCGCAGCCATTCACAGATCTTGATGACTGGGGCGGATGATGAAATTCATGATGAGTAGGTGGGACAGGATAATTAGGCACCAGCCGAGCTTCCGTAATCGGTTGAGGGTGAGGAGGATGGGAGGAGGATGATTCCCACGGGGGCTGTTCCGAAGCGTACTGATAGGTTAAGTGACGTTGCTGTTCTCCTTCATACTGGTAGTGAGGCGACTGATTTGCGCTAAGAACTTCAGGATTGGAAGAATGCGAGGCCGGTGGTGGGGGATAGCCATGTACTACTGTCGAGGACCGGGTCGGAGGGTGAAATTCACGATGGGTTGGTGGAGCAGGATAATTGGGTACCAGCCGACTTGTCATAAGTGGTTGAGGGCGAGAAGGTCCGGGAGGGTAAGGCTCCCGTATGGGTTGTTCCGGAGGAAGCTGATAGGTTGGTTGACGTTGATGTTCTGGATGGTACGGGTAGTAAGGTGGTTGATTCTTCACATGCACCTCATGATTAGACGTAGCCGGTTGTGAGACTGGTCGTGCAAGTGGGGCTTGAGGTGGGTAATAAACTTCCGGTGTTGTGAGGTGAGGCTCATGAGGTTGATGTGAGTGAGGGTTGTAGTCAGACGGAATAGTAGCAGACTGAGGAGTGCGTAGAACTTGATGGCTTTGAAAGGGTGATTGTTCTGCAGCTTCGTACTCATTGGAGGTGGGATCATTTAAAGCTTCGTACTCGCGAACTGGTTGTAATGGAACAGTAGGTGGTCTAACTGGAGGTGGAGGGTAGGGATTATAATGGCTCGGGGGGTAGTTAGGCACTAGGTTTGGAGGATGGGCGTGATGGTGTGGGGTAGGGGCCGAAGAAGATTGGGTGGAAGTTCGACCTGGGTATAGAGGTTGATGAGACTGTTCATGACAAGCTCCTGGGTGATGAGGCTGCTCATGATATACTTCTGGGGGATGAGGCTGTTCACGATATACTTCCGGGTGAGGAGGCCGCTCGCGATAGACTTCTGGGGGATGAGGCTGTTCATGATGTACTTCCGGGTGAGGAGGCCGCTCGTGATAGACTTCTGGGTGATAGGTTTCTGGGTGATGAAGCCGGTCATGATAGACTTCTGGGCGATGTACTTCCGGGTGATGAGGCGACTCGTGATACACTTCTGGGCGACGTACCTCGGGGTGATGAGGCCGCTCGTAATAGCCTTCTGGACGACGCACTTCTGGGTGATGAGGCTGTTCGTGATGTACTTCTGGCTGATGAGGCCGCTCGTGGTAGGTTTCTGGGTGATGTGCTTCTGGACGATGAGGCCGCTCGTGATAGACTTCTGGGCGATGCGGTTCCGGGTGATGATGCCGCTCGTGGTAAACTTCTGGGCGATGTACTTCGGGGGGATGAGGCCGCTCGTGATAGACTTCTGGGTGGTGAAGACGCTCATGATAGACTTCTGGGTGATGAGGACGCTCGCGATAGACTTCTGGGCGATGAGGTTGTTCATGATAGGCTTCTGGGCGAGGAGGTTGTTCATGGTAGGCATCTGGGCGATGAGGTTGCTCTTGATAGATCTCTGGATGATGAGGCTGGTCAGGATAGATCTCTGGATGATGAGGCTGTTCAGGATAGATCTCTGGGTGATCGTACTGCTGATCGGGAGGATAGACTGGCTGGCGGTCGAGACGATCGAGGTCGGGTGGATGACGATGATGATGGTGAGGAGGGGGGTGAGGTTGATGATAGTCGGGGAAGTCTTGGTTTGAGTGTCGATCGAAGTTTTCGTACTCATTTTCATCCTCCTCATCAGTAAAACTGGTTCTTGCCCTCGATCTCTGATGGACGGCCGAGCCCGGACGAGAGTCGCTGAATCTCCTAGCAGGATGCCATCGTCTAGAATGATTGCCACGATTGAACTCTCGAAATTCGCCCCGGGATCGACCTTCGTTAGCCCTGTACGAATCGGCTCGTCGTGGTCTCGTTGGGGGAGCTTGAACAGCCAGTCTCTGTACTCGGGCCATCACCTTTCGGGCCTTGGCCGACGCATAGACACGCGGCTCGTTGTCGGCTTGAGCATTGATCAGGGGGTTGCCATGTATTGAGTAGGTTTGATTCGCCGGCTGTCTCGGTGGGGGGTCTCGTTCTTCTTGACTGATTTCGCCTTCCTCAAGGGGAGGGGCAGCCTGTGATGAGCTGTTGGACATCGATTGAATCCCTAGCCGTCGTCTCAATCGATTGATGATACGAGCTGGGGCTGATGATCGAGACCAGCGAAACTAGTTGGGGGTCAACAGACCAATCTGGGGAGATAACGATCGATCTTGAACGAGTCACAAGGGTCCGATGGGATACTTTCACTGTTGATTACAGGATAAACATCAACCAGTCAACACATCATCCAGCAAGGTGCTCAAGCGCTTGATAGAGAAGCAGAAGGGGCTACATACACTGGATGGAGACGTTTCTGGTCGGATTGATGGACGAACCGATGTCAGTCTCCGCAGGTCTCTTCGAAGGAGAGGAATATTTTCTGGGCTGCTTGTTCTGTAGATACATAAGAAGATAGACCTTTCCTAAACTTACTCTCTATGGTTTGCGCTCGGAGGAAGCTAAGGAAGGACTACATGAAGATGATTCCGTGCTGGTTGGTGACCGCAGCCTTGCATTTGTATTCATCCAGCTTGACTCCTCACCAACCCACACATCCCCTTTCATCACCATCCCCAACGCAAACCAATTACCAACCAAGTCAATAGAAGATTCGTTGTAGAGACAATTAATACCTATTCAAATATTTATGCACTTTTATAAAAGCATGCAGAAGACATCCGAAGGAAACGGCTCATCGACATCACATCAATATTTGATGTCCACACTCAAGCAGGGCTGCCCATCAACCCGTCACCGGTTACGTATAACATAAGCTAATGTATCTCTGCTTGCCCAAGAAACCTGCATCGAGTCGAAGCAGGTGATTGCCATTCTGGTTTTATTTTAATATGTATCCTGCGTATTGATCGGATCGTATCTATTTTTATTCTGGACCTGGCATCTCTTGCACTCCATGGTGGCGGGTACCCAACCGTATCCGATGCAATAGTAGCTGCAAAAAATAATGAGAATTCTCAGAGAGCTTTACTGAGTTGAATTCAGCACAGGTCTTGTCAAGGTCACCCCGTGCACTGGCATGGGACGGCTGAGCTTAGCACAGTGGCGAATATGTACCCGGGCCCCTACAGGCCACAAACTCGATACAACGACTGTGATAGGGCAATCTTTGGGCCTCAAGTGACCTCACATTGTAGAGAAGGACTTGTGCCTATTATGTATCTCCCTATGAGAGCTGGATTCTGAACAGCATATTCACACTTGTTAAGTGGAGGCCAAGTTCTCTGCCCATGGAATATTTTCAAGGTCTGCTGCAATGTCAGCGCTCATGGAGGCCGCAGGGCACCCGGCTCCCAGGCCCGCTGTCCTTTTTCGGAATATGTAGGGCTATTAATAAGGGCCTGTATGTACCACAGCCATCAATTTTTCCAATTTCTGACTTGGAAATTGAGTCCGGCAGAAATGATGTATTGTGTGTACATCACCCTTGGTTTCCATCTTTTTGGTGCAAACCAATAACTGAATTTTGGCTTGTAAAAAAACTTCAAAACTGGATTTGAGAATTTGTCCAGGGCCTACAATGGTGCAGGCCCTGAATTGATATGGTACAATTTAGTTCATATCCGCATTTCTTCTATCATTAATTTATAGGTTTTAGACCAAGGGGGTGTGAAAATTGGGTGTTGAACAGATTTTTGTGGAAGACATTATGTTGATGTGAGGCATAGACAGCAGTTGAAAAGAGGTGGTGGTAGTGTGTTCCAGAGAATCCACAGCCCCCATCAGCAGGAAAATCCAAATTTCTGGAAGCTCCCATGTGACATCAGCATAGTTCCAATGAGAGCTACCCATAATTTTCTTTTGTTCCTAATACTATGACATTCCCCTGCAAGACAGATAACAGCTGCTGTAGTGAAGTGGTAGTAGAGGAGTACAAAAAACAAAGCTGCAGCCATTGTTGCCAAATCTCATCTGTTATCTAGTGAGTGTTGATTCTTCCTATTACACTGCACTTTCCGCATGGTGGAGGGCTTTTACACCATTGGGTGACATGGCCTATTTCACACAACTTGAAACTTAAGATGAGGGAAACAATTGGGTGTAGTGAGCCCAGCAGTATGACTAGTTTTGAAGAGACAATACCAATGGTATGATCTGAAATGAAATAGCTTTGTTGAGTAGGTTTGGATTTGTGAAACACTTTGGACACATTTTTATGCCCTTGACCCATAGGAATGTCTGGTCACCAAGCCACTGGTATCAGAGTTGGATCTGTATAACTTTGAGTGCCTAGTTCTTGTTGATGTGTTCAATCGGTAAGGGCAAATTTGGTAGGGACAGCATGTAGAAGTACTGAGCTGCAGCCTGTAATTCCAATCAGCTTTACAATGGGAAAGCCATGGCAAAACTCCTTGGAAGTATTTATTTTTGTACCAGTTTTGGATCATCATCAATCCACCTTCAATATCCAGTGCTGCAAGCTTTCAAGTTGAAATATCAACATTGGAGTGCCCCCCCCCCAACTTCAAGGATGAGAAAGAAAGTTGAAAAGATGAGCTAATCTTCAAAATTGTTGTGAAGAATGTATCTGATGCCGGTCAGATTTCATTGTTCTTTTATGCACTAAATGTTATGGTTTGTTGTTCAGTTCAGTTTTCCCTTTTTTTTGATAAACCGATCTGATAAAGATTTCCAGAGTGAAAAGAAGTGATGTACTTGAGTACATAGTCTCCTTCTGAATCTCATCTTTTTTAGTATACTTTTTTTATGTGATCATGATACCATACCGGAAACAACAATGAGGCCAATATCCTTGTTTTGAAGTCTTATTCAAAACTCTTCCCCCACTTCCACCCGATATTTCAACAATGCAAGAAGATTCATCAACCTTCTCTTTTTTCAGTTTTCAGATTTGATGAGTTACTCATTAGTTCTTCCATACACTCCTCCCAATAAAGTAATTCTTTTTTCTTGCTCATGAACTTCCAGATAATCTTCTCAACAACCTTCATTTCAAATCATCTTTTGCTAGAATTTTTGAGGTTTCATGACCTAGAGAAGAACTGTGATCTCCCCCTTTTCTGTTATGTTTTGGTAGATAGATAGAAAGAAAGAACAGAGGGTTTTTAGTCTATGTAGATCAAATGTTTCTTTGTTTTGTGATTTTTGAAAGTGTGAAAGATACATACATGTGCCCAACATCTGTTACCAGATTGTTGTTAAATTTGCCTAAGCCATCTTCTGCCAGGGTCTCTGTGATAGTTGCGCTTTTTCTTTGGAAATCAAAAGCATACACAGGAAGTGAAAGCCCATCAAGAACTGGACACTTCCAACCATAGTGAACTTGAAAAATCAAATCAGAAGAACCTTACATTTTTGGGTTGCTTGGGATGACCGCTGAGCCAAAGAAACATGCAATTGGGATTGACTCAACATTTACATCTGTCCTCAGAGCACCCGGATTAGAAGCTTCGATGGAGGCCCTGAGCGACAAAGACAAGTGTGAATATCTCGAGGTTCAGCTCATTTGTCTTGTGGGCTGGAAATCTTGGTTTGGAACTTCAGTTCTCGAAAGCAGACCTACCCTGCTATCCCTGCAGCCGCGTCCACATATAAGCCTTTCAATCTCACCTTCTTGGCAATCTCTTCAGTCTCAGTCACTCCAGATAAGCTGCAGTAAGGCCAGGAGAATTTCCAGATTAGTTAAGACGCTTTCATTCAAGAGTCACTTATCGTTCAACAAGAGATCCAGCAACTCACTTTTTCTTTTGATCTTGATTGTCTGGCGTGTCTCCTCCTTGGCCCAGCAGGGGTTGCTTGGCAGACCCAATGGGCGATCCGCTATTTGTAAGTATTAAGGAAAGAGACGCTCAGTCTTCTGGTTTGGGGGACCTTTTTGATTCAATTCCGCTCACAGAGTCGATCCATCTTTGTGAGGCGCATGTGGATTGATCAATGACCAAGTGCTTTTTTCCACTCCTTGTGGGGATGTCCTGTTCAGAATTGAGCGAGTGAGAACAGGATGTGGAGATAACAAGTCGATATCAGAATCATCAAAATTGCTTTACTCTGACTCGGGCCCATCTTTCCTACTCACGCGTCATGCACCGCTTCCAAGGAACCATGTGCTTCCTCCAACGAACCTCTGGAAGAGACGATCAGTATAATGTCAAAGTTGCCAATGAAACGTCTGATCCATGTATTTATCTTTCTGAGAAAGCGTTGAGGACACTTACTCGGTTTTTGGTATCCTAGACCTAGATGGACGACGTATCAATCAATATCGGAAATTGTCAAGTTAAACCGCATCTCATGTGTCTCGTCTTTGAGAGTACTATGCATTCTTTCATCGGTCACTCACAACGGAACCAATTTCAGCTCTGCCATTTCTGCGCGTTTCCACAGCCTAGTTGCACTGGAACAGATATAGGCCGGCGTTTCCGAGATGATCAGTATCCAAAGTACGCCATGGAGAGCCAGTGGGCCGGGACAAAGCAACATTCTAATGTTTTTTTTTTTGCGTTGTTTACTGTGAAGTAGGAATAGAATTGAAGAGGCGAGGGAATGACTGCTATCAAGGCCAGTTTGTTGGAGCTGGCTTTTCCATGGCAGAGGAATGCTCAGACAACCAGCCTCACTGAGGGGGGGGACCAATACACATGATCTTGCGTTCCGGGAGATTCTATTTTAACCGGTGGAGTCTCATCGACCCATCATGGGATTGAAGGCTTGGATAAAACTTGAGCAGATCTCATTAGAGGGGTCTGAGAATGCACCATCCTCTTCTCTGGACCGACTCCGCTTTTGCAGCCGTGCTGTACAAAGCTCCAAGTTTGTTGACCGGAGCCTCTCAAACGCAGTGTCAGCGCGGCAATCCTGGCCTTCCAACTCGAGTACTATGTATCCGTCCGGTCCGGCCTTTCCTCTGTGACCCGACCGATGCCGGGTCTAAATGGTTAGCACTGTAGCCTCACCCCATCCTGAGGATTTCTATGAGGCCACTTGATCAAAGGCAAGACTTGCGTTACAGAGGTCTCTCTGGAAGTATGATTTCGAGGAGTCGGCTAGTGCAGTGGCTTCACTGTGAATGTGATGCCAGCCAGCTGCAAATGCTGTTCTCAGTCCTCAGCCTCTTCTCAGCCATGAGTCCGGCCTTCCTGATCGTCGTGTAATCCGTGCTGTCACTTGCTTTGCTGACTGTGAATTTGGACAAGACTCACAGAGACAAGGATCTATTGTCCGTCGGGGGTCGAAAGACTGAAGACTCCCTCCGCGCTTCTCTGTGTACGATAGAGGGTGCAACTTTAGACATGTACTCCGGATATCGTTTTCTCCCCTGCCTGCCGGAGATCTTTGTGTGGTGTAGCATCTTGCAACCAAAGACGCAAATGTCATTGTCGGTCAAAATCCGCCGGCGGAGGAGGCTGAAGCCTAAAGTAAAAACCAAGCTCGCCAAGGGAATATGTTGTATCTCGCACACTGCAAATCAATCAAAACAGATATCCTCGCGTCTGTCTGCCAACTCATAGAGAATTCCTCCTCCAGTAGTTGTAGTAGAACACTGCCTACATAATATAACCTATCATCGAGGTGTTTTCACAGCTAAAATGTATCTGTCCACGAGCTCCCTGGGGAAATTGATTGCCCGATAGGAACGACACAACACAGTTTGAAGTTTGGTGCATGAACTATGTGTCGGCCGGAGCGTGCTGGGGAGTGTCTTGGGTTCTTTAAAGCAACCTTCGCATTTTCCTCATCCTGCATCTGTATCTATTTATTAGGATATATTTATTTTGTCCCCTATAAAAACAAGCAAAGTCCTGCAAGATGGCTGAATATAACAAATCCAACATCCGATCTCACTCCAAGCCTTACCGGGCACCACTCCTAGACTTCAGATCGCTCTATCCCTTCTCCGACGATTTCGACCCGGGTGCGCTCTGGGGATTGCGAAGACTGATCAGGAAGGGGGCCATCGAGCTCGTCAAGCTATACTTCTTCATCATCTTCTTGACCATAGTCGATCTCTTCTTCGTCTTCTTCAATCTCATCAGTCCCAACAGGACTCCAGAGAATGTGATCCCATTGCCCTTCAGTCCTCACTCTCCACCCCGTTTCTTCGACCATCCCTTCATCTTCCTCACCTGTAAACTCGCTCTTTGGTTGGGCCCTCAAGCCCCACAATGGATCCAGGAATGGTCATACTGGGATGGAATACTCTCCGACGGAGAATGGCCCCCGATCGATAGGGACATCGATGTCCAAACTGTCTCTCGTAGTCCCTGTCCTGGGCTCAACGCCTTAGCCAACCATGGTATGTTGGATGCTTCTTCCTATAAATCCGATTCTTCATTCCCTAAAGTTAATCTTAAAAATGTCTGCTTGTTTTGTCTTTTCATCATTCTTTCATGAACTAAAAAAGGAATCATCAATAAATCAGGAGAAACCCTCAACTTTCATCGAATTGCTTCTCGGGTTAGTAGGACTTACAATCTCAGCCCAGCCTTGGCTGTCCAACTACTCTCAGCCGCCTGGCCCCTATTCAAGGACCGAGGGCAGATCGATCTTTACTCCCTAACGACTCATGGTTTGATCGAACATGATGCCAGTCTACTTCGTCAGTCATTTCATCCACTCATGCTTTTCTTTCTCTCATATAACTTACAGCAATCTTCTTGGTACCTTTAGGTCCTGATCTCAATGAAAGCACGCTGGAAGACCAAACCAAACCAAACCAAGAACTAATCGAGAAACACTTCCCCAAACGCCGAGTTCGCAAGACACGATCAAGAATCCAAAAAGGAGACGAAAGTGATGAAGAAGAGGAAATCGAAGAAGAGACGGATGAGATCAGACTGAGGCATTCCGACTTCTCCAATCTCCTCGAGAAGAGGCGCGAGGAATGCAAGACGAACAATCCGAGCTTCCACGAGACCTTCTTGTTCAAGTTCTTCGGCAGCGGGAATTGCGCCATGTTCATGGAAGTCTTCGGCGGCAAGTTGTCGGACATCCGTCCGTTTGTCGGCGCCGGCATCTCATCCAACCCTCCATCCCACCACCACCACCATCACCATCATCATCGTCGTCGTCACCGTCTTCATGACGAGGAGCAACCTCGACTTCCAGCAGGGTTGTCCGATTTGATCAATCTCGAAGTCTTGCCTCATGGCCGTTGGAGACCCTCGAATCTCCACCATCCTTGGGGCTTGACAATCTTCAAACTCATCTACTCCACTCTGAAAATCGAAGCCAGAACTTGAGACCCTCACACTCAACACACACACACACACACACAAGCAATAACGAAAAGATGAGAAGCAACTTATTATGAAATTATCACTAAGATTACAAGCTAGACTTTTCTTGCTTTGGTTATTTTGTTCTTCTTGAAAACAGATAATACCGACCTCACTTGTATGGTTAAAGCCTGGCATGTCACTAGAGAGGTTGACGTTTTTCCTGACCATGCTATAAAATACCTTTGATCTGCCTTTTTCTTTACGCTCAAAACGCATGTATGTGCCTTTGTATCTGGGGCTTTTACACTTACTCATTGAAATGATTGTCTTATGAACTTGACGTTTGAATTAAATCATGAGCTTCGTGGACCTTACCCACAACGGAAGGGTCTTCCACTGTAGACGAGGGTGTTTCATGTCCGTCATGGCACTGCAGCGTGGTTGGCTGGCTGGATGGTTCGGCCATTCCGCCTCAACTGAAGGTTCGGATTTGAGGGTATTCACTAGGTGATTGAATTTCAAAGGCCAAAAAAATGTAGAAAAGAAAGTGTGATTTTATACGACTCTCGAGGCTAGTGACATGATCCGGCCCCAACCCTAAACAAAGCGTCAAGGATATGTCAGTAAGAACAAAAGGGTGAAGTCGGAGGTTGAATTGAAGAAGATTGTGTTGTTTGAATGAGGAAGAGAACGAGGGTGTGGGGATCGACTTACCTTTTCCCTCAGCTCAGCGGCGACGACCCCATTGATTTTAGTGCCTAGGAGCTCCTTCTTGTTGTTCAGAAGGACGGCAGCATTGTCGTCGAATCGGATCGAGCGACCGTCGGCCCGATTGGTCTCTTTCTTCGTCCGCACAACCACCGCCCGTCGAATGTCTCCCCGACGCACTTTGTTCGATGCGAGTAGGTTCGACGACGATGAGGATGGTCCGGATGAGTTTTGAGGAATCGGCCGGGCTCGTTTGATCACACACACAATCTCGTCACCTTTTTTTTTCCGTTCGAAATACACCGATTAATATCGAATCCACATCGGCTGACATATATTAATTTTTTTTAAAAAAAAAAGGAAGAGTGATGCTTACCGATTCGGGCATGACCTTGTCGACCTTTGAACTTGAGGACGTTGATACATTCAGCGATCAGTCCGCCTGAGTTATCGATGATCAGCTGTAGGCAACAGTCAAAGCGTCAAAGTCCGATTCGATATTGGTAGCCATTAGGGAGTATCGGACTGACCATTCGAGCCTTGAGTCCCAACATGTTGAAGCGGAAGAGGGGGAAATATCCTTCTGAACCTGAGACCGGGCAATCGAGCAATTAAAAAACCAAGCTGCCATGCATACAGCCTGTGACATGGCAGGAGGATGCGCGTGAAAGCTCGTGAATGCAGATGTGACACCTCCTTCTCAGCCGCATCCTTGGACCCGACCGACTGCCGAGCTACAGTACAGCTGTATGTAGAGCCCGAAAACCAACAACAACGGCGACCGGATATAGAGACAAGATTAACGGAACATATCCGAGAAGATTAACACACAGGCGATCTCAGCACCTCGACAGACTCATACCCTCCGGAACACGTCTGAAGATCAAGAAATCTGAACCCAAAGGATGTCGAGCTTGAAGTTTTGTCGGGACTGGTTAGACTGATTCCATGGCTTCATCACATCATAATCACTTCTCATGTAGTCTGGCAGAACTAATGTCGATGGTCTGCGTTAACCGATATGGCCACTTAGCGCGAATCTTCTATATCCCCGAGTTGAGTGATCCTTCTTCTCTCTTCCAAAAACACACGTCCTTTCCTATTTTCAATCTGTGGGCTATCTACTACAATTGAGATCTGACCAGAACCTGTTTTTCCCTCAAACAGGCTGATAAGGTCCACAAAGTCCTCACGTATGCCTGTCGGAATTGCGTTTACTTTGAAGAAGCCGCTCAGACTGAGGAAGAACGTGGCGAGAAGTGGCTGGTCTACCGGAATGATCTGATGGCCGAGTCCAAGTCAGTTAATCCGTCCACTATCTCTCTGAAGTTCCATCCCAATCCATTTTTTTTTAAAGAAACCCCCCGGGATCCGCATCCCAACATGGAATACTGAAAGAGGGACACCTTGTTGATTTGAGCCAGAGAGAGCGCCGGTGTCACTCAAGATCTCCACACCGATCCCACCCTGGTAATTTGACATCTTTCGTCATACGATCGCTTGAACCTTAGTCCCATCAATCCTTAACTGGAACTAAAAACTCACCTCGTCCTTGGGTTTTTTTTTTTTCCAGCCCAGGTCAAGAATCACCTGTCCACATTGTAAGCATCATATATATATATCGTCAATGGGATGTCTATACATCAACTCAAGCCAACAAATGTCTTTCCATGCATCGTCTAGGTGAACATCGGGAAGCAGTATTTTTGTCAGTCCATTAACAGAGTCTCGTTTGAGAGCTAAGCCAGACGTGTGAAGATTGACGTCGGACGAGGTTGTTTTGTTTTCCCTGTTGCGGTGGATACATAGCCAAGACCAATCGAAGCGGAACCTCACAAGTAAGTCTTTCTTGCTTCCCACATTCCTCGTCGTTATTGACATCACATCAGCGACAATTGACAGAGGGTAATGTTTTTTTGTTATGTTAGCCATGACATTGTTTTATGTCTGTACCTCTTGTAATAGAACCTTTCAGGTAACCGTCCCAGCTCCCTCCTCCTCCTCCTCCTCCTCCTCCAACATCCTACATGACTGTTGCTCCTATACTTAAACTCGAATATTTGCACCTTTCTTTCCGGTAGGATCCGATGCTCGAGGGAACTAGGACCTGATGATCAAAGTCTCATCGTACATGTACTAATGCTATCTCAACTTGGTTCCTTCTCTCCGACTAATACATCCCATCTCGAGTCGGTAGGTGAGGCAGTGAACTTTCCGGTTATGTATCCTGTCTTTGCAGTCCATCTGGATTCTTGGGCGCTTCAGTCACGCGGTTGCACAACAGCGGTTTCTGACACGTTTGCAAAGCAAAGTGTGGAGGGGAAATCATCAAAAACAATTGATCTGATTATTTTTCGAGGTGTCCCCGACACGTTGAGTCATCCTGGTCTTCAGAAACGCGGGGGCTGGGTGAAGCTATTAGGTTTCCTTGCAGGCTAAGCTGTCCTCCAGGTCTTCTGAGGCCAAACATAGACAGACGTGTAATTTACAGTATCTTGGAGCCCTCCATAGCGCGCATCATCTAAGAAAACGTGAATTATGATAGACTGATGCCGAGTTCAGCTAAGCAGGTCTTGTGAAATGGTTTGGTTCAAGGAGCGTTATCTTGGGAGTCAGACAAGACCTTCATGTGGGCTGGTGCAGAGGTGGCTGTTGGCAAAATGTCCTACTGCTACATGTGTATGAGTCAGCATCTGAAGGTCTTCAAATGAATACAATATGTATGCAGTGGGGTGCATGATTGAAATTCATAACTCTTTCAGGTCCATTGATTCATACATAACTCTTTCAGGTCCGTTGTAAGGTGTTTTCAGAAATCTTATGTGGAATCTGTCCAGCTGGTCAAATTTCCTTAAGGTTGTTGATGACAAGGCCTTGAAATTGGCTCTCAAGGTTATCAAGTTCAATCCTGAACTCTGCTGTTATTATGGGCTCTTTTTGCAAACTGATGTTTACCTCCTTTTGGATTCAAGGTCAGCCCACATCCCATTTATTGGAGTGGGTGTCTTCTTTTTTTGAATTTTAGTTCTGTGTGTAGACCATCAGTCCACTGATGTCAGTTTGAGATTTCCAATCAATTTGTATCTGAGTGAGGGAGTTTTATGTTGTGTGTGTGTGAATCAAGCTATGTACTCTTCCTTTGAAGTTTGATGTGAGGTTTGCTGTGTATAGGCTGGGACGACGTCCTTAGTACCACCATACACGCTCTGCCAATCTCTTCGTCCGCCAGTCCCGGCGGATAAACCCCCAGCCGACCACCGGTTACTACACATTGCAGTGCCATCATCATCATCAGCCAGCACCGAGCACTCCAACCAACGCTGACTACAACCACCAGAACACATACATGGTCAACAACAGCCCAAGACTCCTTTGACCAAACGACTGTCCCATATAGTCAACAAGCTCAACCATCTCAATCAACCAAACCTCTCTCTGTCTCTGTCTCCAACCACCATCAGCCCCCATCCCCCCCTGGCCAACAAGCATCCACTCTCGCTCCAACCGGTTTGAGGTTTATTGGATATATCTGACATTGGTATGTCTTTCTCTCTTCATTGTCTAGACCTGCTTGAACTCGCTCACTGACTTACTCGCTCGTTTGTATCCGTACAGTCACATCATCGTCTACCCGTTCGTCGTTTACTTGGTTCAGCACGCACGTGATGGCCTTCAATCCACCTGGTCAACAGCGTCAAGGGCTCTTGACCAACAAGCCCGGCTTCTCTCTCTCGCACAATCGAAATCCAATCCACCAAAACTCACCAACACCTGGATCGATCCATCCAATCCAATCGAAAACCACTGGCCCCGCCGGTAGAGGTGGGGCTGCGCTCGGGCTCAATCACTTTGGAAATACGAATGGAATGGCCGGTTTGTCGATCTCTCCCTTCCCTTCTGCCTTCCTATTTTCGCTTTACTCATCTCTTCCAGCCCAATCCTCCCCTTCCCTCCCTCCCTTCTCTCCCACCCTCCCTCATGACCTTGTCGATCGCTTCTCCGTCGTATAATCTATACCCTCGCCTTTTTTTTAAAAAAAAAAATCAACCTCCAGTTGGACATCTTCCTTCATCTCATTCTCAATCCCAACAACAGCTCTCCAACCAGCAGGAAGCATCACTCGATCCATCCGATTTCCCAGCTCTCGGTGCTGGGGCACCCAGCTCAACCAACCCATCCCATAATGCTCTGTCCTATGCTTCCCATGTGAACGTCTCAACCGCCAACGGACTCCCCAGCGATAGGACAGTCGCTGCAACCCTGGCTGGTCAGCGCACAGATTTCACTCCAGATGACTTCCCAGCTCTGGATGCAACAGTCAACCAACACCACCAACAACAGCAACAGCAGCAGCAACAGCAGCTCAGCGGATCAGAGGGCACAGTCAGGGAAGCAAGAGAACAAGCCAGCGCTGCTGCCGCTCTGACTGCTCAGATGGCAAGGCTCAACGTTGCTCAAAACAAAACGGCTGGAATGGTAGATTCTGACAATCGGGTACGCCGTAATCTTACTTTTTTTTTGACAATTTTCCTTTGGACATATTTCCTAATTTTCAATCCTCGATCATTTCTGTAACCTCGACAACTGATTATTATCCAATTTTCATTTGGAATCACGGCTCGCTACCAGAACTTTCCCAATAAGCCACCTCCTGGTTCTAATGCAGCTTTCCACGGCTCAGTGGTTGGATCTTCACATCTTTCCAATGGGATCGGAAACCTCAACTCCCACCATCCGCTACAATCTCAGGCGCCGGCCCACCTGAGTCTACAGTCGGGAGCTATTACATCATCAAATTCCCATCTTCACAGCACCCTGCGATCTCCTATACCACCGAACCTGACATCGATGCAACCACATCGGCCAACCAACCTGGGCAATTATCCCTCGAACATCGGCCTAGCAAATGTTCCCACCACCATGATCCATACACCTGCATCACAGAACCAATCGATACAAGAATCAGGGGAAGCTAATACTGGAGTCGAAAACCGATCGGGCGGCTCAGATCCGTCCTCCCAGCCAACACCCCTGCTCGATCACGCCGGCAGTATGGACTCGATCTCTCAGAACGCAAACTGTGTTTCCTCGGTCGTCCCGTTCTTTGCTCCCCAGACACCCGCCGAACAGGTCCTATTCGGTCCGGCCGATCGGTTTGGATTGATGAACTTGTTACAAATCATTCGGCACGCTGATGCAGATTACTCGATGCTGGCTATGGGCAAGGATCTTACTCATCTCGGACTTGACCTGGGTTCTTCCGAGTGGGTGTTTCTTTTCTTTTCTTCGCAATGCTTGAACGTTTTGATTGCCATCAACTAGCTTTCTGCCCCCAAGCTCTCAATCACTAACTGTTGTTCCGGTGAACTTGAAATCCTATAGGGCTTTGTATCCCAAGTTTATGAGTCCTTGGTCGGATGCCAAGCAAGTCGCTTCACACGCCGTCGAACCTGAATTTACTCTACCTGCCTGTTACCATGTTCAGCCACAGCCAGTTCAAACCAAGTTACCACAGTTCCATGAAGAAACCCTCTTCTTCATCTTCTACTCGCAACCTCGAGATTTGATGCAAGAACTAGCAGCACTAGAACTGTACGTTAGCACGAGCCATCGCATCCGCTCATTCTCAGGACTAAAACCCATCCATCATCATCATTCCCTTGTTTGTTTTTGTTTTGGATAGGTATAAGAAAAACTGGAGATACCACAAAGAACTTCAGTTATGGCTAACCAAGGAATCCGGAACTGGACCGATGGAGAAGACTCCTCATTATGAACGTGGATTTTACGTCTTCTTTGATCCGATGATCTGGAAACGAGTTACCAAAGAATTTGTCTTACAATATGATCAGTTGGAGGTTCGTTTTTTGTCTGCTGATTCTTGGGAGTACCTTTTTGTTCTTCAAGGAGAAGGAAAGACTAGGAATTTCGGCTGTCTAACCAACTTGCTTGTTTGAAAAAAAATCCTGATCAATGGGATATATGGAAATGTAGGCTAAGCCTGCATTGGCTACCAACCCAGCAGCCCTACAAGCGGCCACCCAATTATCATTAGTATACACGAGCAACGGGCCGCATGGAAAAAACTCACTAGCAAATGCCGCAAACAATAACTCGCAGCAACAGCAACAACAACAACAACAACAACAGCAGCAGCAGCAGCAACAGCAACAGCAGCAACAGCAAGCATCTCAACAGCAACAGAACGCTTCAAACGTCCATCCTGCTCATCACATGATGATCGGTAATAACCTCCCTTCTAACTTGGTTCCTGCCTAGACTTTCTTAGACCCATGTGTGTCTTACTCCTTCTTTACTACTTGACTCTCCCACTCTCTCAAAACGCTCAGCTCACATAAATTACCTGCACTACTTCCAAAAAAGAAGAAGAAAAAAACTCAACTAGTACTATTGCAATTGTTTTTTTTTTGTCTTCATGTGTGTTTGCTGTGTGTTTTGAGTCAGTGAGAGTCCCCCCCCCCCTAAGCGTGCTTGTACCATGTATTCACTGTGACCTTTTTTTCTTTCTTTCTTCTTCCTTTATCCTGTTCTGCTTTTCTCTCTCTCTTTCTTTCAATTTAACTTCTTCAAAACAAAATAACAATATCAACATGAACGCGAACAAGAACAAGAAGCAGAACAACAACAACAACTGTCAACAACAACAACAAGCAACAACTGAACTTGTCTTTGATTTCCTGCAAGTAAACTCTTGTTTGTTTTGGCTCTTTGGTTGGTGTTTTATTCACATAGTTGCATCACTAATGAGATGTGAACTTCTGCAAAGTAACACAAGTAGCAGTGGTAGTGGTAGCTGTAGCAGTAGTAGAAGTAGGAATAGAAAAAGTAGCAGTGGTGGTTCCTACCAGCCAATAAGTATGACATATGTCTCTTCTTCCTTTTTATGACCTGGTTTAACTGTTTTTCTACAGAGTGAACAAATAAATCATGGTCTCTTCTCTTCATTTTTTTTTGTTTTAGTGCAAGATTTGACCCATAGATCTTCTCCTGATCTGAGTTTATTTTCCTTGTTTGTTTATGTGTATGTGTATGTATGACTTATGTGTATGAAATTGGTCAAAAATCTGTGTGGGTTGGTAAACATGGTGTGGGTATGAAGAAGGGTGAGGGAGGATGGGGAAGAAAGGCAAAGTCTAAGAGACTGATTGGGATAGCTAGACAGTTCCATATTGGTGTAAGGGTATCTGAAGGCTCAGTGGTGTGGTGATTCAACAGGAGGGAAGATGGATTGCAAGACCAATTAGCAGTTTGTATGGATATATCAGTTGATCATAATGCCCCTCATAAGACTCAAGATCAATGTGAGATCTGGTAGTCCTTTGTTTTTCTTTGGAGGACTTTTAAAGAAAAACGGGGTGTAAGTTTCTCAGTTGAGTGCAACCAACGGTGGGCTATGCTACACTTTTTGCCCATAAAGTGTTAGTGTTGCTTCTTTTTTTTTGTGGGGAAATTGTGTGGTGTTAGTGCAATGTGAGTGCATCTTTACAGACCACCAAGACCCACTGCAGGGCCAAAGTGCCACTAAGCAGCGTGTTAGTGCAGCATATGTAGTGGGCACATTTTGGAGGCCTGCACTTGTAGACTGTGTTAGTGCAGATGTGGTGGAATTCCGCTCTGCTACACTATTGTTTAGCAGAATTCTGCTACGCTGAGCTACACTAACACCACAGTTAGTGTAACTGGCCCATGATTGGTGCAAGACATTGTCAGTAAATATGAAGATACCACATAATTGAGTATAATGCATGCCACTTCTTCTTCTTCAAAAAAGAAAAGTGAAGAATAAAGTTACAGTGTGTAGACAAACCATCTATTTTCCAACTTTTATAATGGCCAAAAAGTCTTGGGTTACCTCCATGGTGGATGAGTAAAAAAAAGTAAAAAAAATCAGACTGTGAAACTTTTTTCTGTCCACTTGACACATCATATCTGTGCAAGAACATTTACCCACTCACAATCTTGTTTCATCTCCACTCCAGCTTAGAAGCACTAGGCTGTGCAAGTTTCATCTGAGTGCTTTATGACAGATACATATCTTGCTACTAATTTACATGATAAGAATTTATAAGAAAAGGGTTACTGGGCTTGATTTAGCCTAAAACAATCAGAATAAATATGCAAGTTACATATGTTGCACCTTTCAGATGCTGTTGCAAGTTTCATAAGAAAAGTGCAGACTCCTTTTGGAGAGTAATATAACTGTCCATGTGGAAGAATTACATGATATAAAGAGAGAGCCAAGTAATCCTTGATGATGTGCCCATACAAAAAGCTTTCTTGAATTTCTGCTTTTTTAAAATTTGGCTTTGTCTGTGTTTTTTGTGTTATCCAACCAAACTTTCAACTCTGAGTGCTCTATCTCAGATCAAAATCTGATTCATTCCAAGCCTCTATTGAATTAAAAGTAGTAGAATTGAAATGGGTGTGACTTTGAAAGGTCTCTCTATTTGTTTTGTTGCTGTGTACCTTTCCCAAGTAGTTCATGGTGCAAATTTATCATTCAAGTGGTTTAGAACATCAGACACATTAAATCATCCCTTTATTGGAGAAGGTAAGCTTAGTTTTATTTCCCCTCAATTTTGGAAGGATCATCCTTGAATTAATAAACAAATCCTATTCTATGCCTTCAAATATATTCCCCAACACAAACAAATCAATTTGAATAAAAAAAATAATTGGACCAACAGACAGAAGGGATTCTGTGAGCCAGATATTTAGAAAGGATTATTCATTAACGCCAGAAGACGAACAAAATGTAGAGAGGCATATTGCCAGCATTCCCCAGCTTGTAAATTCTGGTAGAAAAATGCCCACAAGTAGTAAGCTTCAGACATATATCTACTAAAAAAGAAACAAAAAACACAAAGGAGAATCAATTAATCATTCCTCATAGCTTCTGAGAATGTAGAATTAACAGAAGGCAAAAAAGGTATATCTCCTACTCAATTTTCAATCAGCAGATGTGCATATGATGCTGTTACTTCAACTAAGTATATTTGAATGATCCCACAGAATTGATGTGGGAAGATTGGAATTATCTGAGAAATGAACTTCACAAATGTTTTGGACTTACTAAATTCTCAATTTGGATTTTTCATGAGAGGAGGTTCTCTTTTGAATTGTCAAAATTGAAACAATTGCATGAATTCATGGATAGATATTTTCCAATATTGTAAGTCAACAAAAGTTGTAAAGAATTTGATTATTTGTATTTGTGATAATCACAGCAGATGTTTTATTCCTTCAAAAAAACCCATGAAATTAGGAAATCTCAAGCATCAATCAGTGAACAAGATTATGAAGAAGTAAAGAATAAATCCAAGAAATACATTGCAGCTCTCCTTAGTCTTTTATGTTATATGAGACCTGATTTTCAATACACATCACCTGACTCCAGATTCCTATATCTTCAAAGGATTGTCTTTGAAACAGTACATTATTTCTACAAGCATAATCTAATAGATACAACCAATTTGGGCTCTCTATTCAATGAATTTCATACAATGAGAGATATCTCACGATATATTTTTCAGTCATACAAATTTATTCAACAAGGAAACAATAAATTACTTCCTCTAAGTAGCAAAAATGTATTAAACCACTGGTATTACTTCCCATTTATGGATATGTTGGAAGGTAAGTGATGTCAAATTTTCAGTTTTATCAGTTTAATCTTGACTAATCAATTCTTTATTTCAATTAAAATTCTGGAATAGGCCTTGGTGAGGAGTACAAGGAGAAATTTTCAACTGCACATATCAAAATTGGGTTTGCACATTATATATCTCCTATTCACAAACAAAATAAAGAAATCAGAGATCAGATTATCTTTTTTCAACTTACCCTATTGGATAAATATTTTGTTATGAAAAATCTAAGAGGAGGTCATCAGTTGTATTCTAAAGATGTTTACGAAGAACTTCAAGATGATGCTCTTGAAGAAGCCATCAAAATGTTCATAAATTTTCACACAAACCATGAGCCTGAAAAATATTATGTAGAATTGGAACATTTATTCCAGATCATAGAGAATCAGAGGGAGTACCAAAAAGGTCGATACTCCAGATTGGCTAGACCAGGAAATGATGGGTTTGAAGAAAAGTTTGATTTGATGTCCTCAGGTGGTCAGATCCGTGCAAACATAGAAAGAATTCAGATCTACATCCAAAATAATTTCAAAGAATTTGAATGGCCATTTCCATTCTCTTATTCACAAAAAAACATTGAGGTATCCAAGAAAAATATTCAAGAAATCAGAATCCTTGCAAAACACTTGAAAATGGTAGAATCAGAATATTTGGAGAACAAAAAGCCTATCAGTCCAGATGAGCCACTTTACATCTACTCTCAACATAAGTTAATCACAGATAAAATAAATGGCATCAAAGAAGATATAATCAATTCAACCAAATATTATGAAAAATATCTTTCTAGTTCATTGAAAATTTCACCTGCATATTGGTTGGAAACTGTTACAAAATGGTTCAAGGAAAAGGTCAATTGACAGTTTCCTATGATTGTAACTCAAACTACCAAATCTTAAATTTGACATCGAAATGAAAAGTAGACAGTCTACTTTTCATTTCGATGTCATTCTCTTTATTCTCTGGTTCTGTTATTCATTTTGGGGTTTTGGTTTTCATGGGTCAGGGGCTTTTCATTTGGAGTCTTTGGTTTGCTATATGGCTGGGACTTTCCTTTGTCATCATTCTGGTGTGTTGAACTTTTGGTTGTTAGTTGCTGCCTCTTGTAACATTTCTCTCTCTTCACCTATCCTCTGAAGAGGAATACTCAAATCCTGAATTGACATAAATAGATAGTATCATGCCACTGCCATGGGGAAATTTAAACACTATAAAGATCCCCGAATGAATCGAGGGATTCCATGCTTTACATAGTCCTTTTATTTGAGGAGCCCATCCGGATACGTTCCGATGTGGGCCACCGTCTTATTAGCCGAGTTCAAGCCAGTCTTTCTTATTAAGATCAGATGCAAAAGTGAAGCCAGTAGCATCCTTTTGTGTCTGCTCCGCTCAAGGTTTCTGTCAATCAACTCTCCTTCATGACGTGTCTGCAGAGTTTCTTTTTCTTGCTATCAAGCGAAGAGATAAACCAAGAATCCGAACGGATAATCAATGCGTCTGAATTTCCATATCTTTAGGACACTTTGAGGTCACTGAACGGCGTGCTTTTCGTGAATACGAATGCATGATTGCAAACATCCGATTTTGTCTCCTTGTCAAATTGGCAAACAGTTGGAGTAACTAAGATATGACGTTAGTTGTCAGAACACAGGCCATCGACTGACTGGTCGCCGTTTCGGACGGCTCAGATAGGTTTCATATAACTCTCCGCTCATCTCTGAAGTTCTGTGTACATATGCTCCGGGAGCCCAATCGGTGGCCAAAAAAAAAAAAAAAAAAGGAACAACCACCGGCGCGATTTCAAAATAATCCCGTCAACTCGCCTTTGAAAGATTGTTGGAGACGAAATGTCCGATGGTGCGTTATGCGCCTTCATTTTCAAGGCCTAGGTAGATATGTATACGTTGGGAATGACAACCTTTTAAATACGAGGGTAAGAGGAGAAGCTATTGACAAAATATGACCATCACTCCAGTATTCTACTACGTAGCTAACTCATAAGCAATGTGTGGAGTGCCGGTTGTGGTCCGGTGAAAGCCTAATAGGCTTCTGAAGCCACGCCCACGGTTTCCTCAGCCGGGCGCTGGAAACAACCATCCAACTTCTTGACTCAGTCGTATGCCCTAAAGTTGAGCTTGAAGCTCATCTTCCAATTGGTATTGGAGCCTTTAACTCTTCAAAGGACTAGTATGTTTGTTGGACGGCTACAAATATTACTCAAGGTTTGTTTTCTTTGTTAATTTACTTCAAATCAGGCGCAACAGGTTGACTTTGCTTAACCAAGTGAAAGTCTGGAGAGATCCACGGCAGGAATTTTCAATTCTCCAGGGAAATGTGACAAGACTGACGATTACGATTTATTTTCCTAAATGGTTGGTCATCAATTTTCAGCTTGGCTGATTCTTCAGGAGGGATCCATAGTCGCTATAATTCTGATATAACAGGATCCGATCCGATTCCGAAGATAGCGATTGAGAGAAATATGAAATCTGCTCGACCCAGATTTACATCGTATGTTCCCTGGTTTTCCAGAGCTCAAAGACTTTCCGGATTGCTTTATGGCTCTGCAACTTCGTAAAAATTTTCTGACGGAATCGTGCTAGAGGCTTCATACTAGTCCGTCCTTATAATCAGGATTGTGAAATCTTTTTTCTCTCTATTTCACGATTTTTTTTTTCTTCTAGCAAGATAACGCCCACTGCCTTTTCTAGGGTAATCATATCAAGCGTTATTTGTTTTTAGGAGGAAGTTCAACCAGCCGGCCTCTTTCTCAATTGTAACATCCCTTCACGAAGCACCACTCTTTACATCGCTCACTTGAATTCCACCTCCTGAGTTATTTGAACAGGTTGAGGTTTGGTTCTTCTGAGCAGATGAAAAAAATGAAGTTGATGGATAGCCTTCCACTGTTTGCCCTCGTTACTTTACTCTTTCCAACAAGAACTTCCCAGTCACTCATGGACGATGAACAGCTGGAATTTAAGATGTTGAACCTTTCTCAGAATCGAGATCCTGAACCTCTAGTTCCGACCAGGACGATTCCGTGGACCCCAGCCGCAACTCACCTTGTCACACCCAAAAATTCGAGGTCGGCAGTTCAACAAGGGTTCCTTATGCCCACCGGTTTACCAACTTTGACAAAGCGTCAAGATCAATGTCGTCTCTCTGAAAACTTCTTGGAACCCGAAGCTGGCAATAATTGCGCGGGAAAATATCACAATCCTATAGCTGCCACGATCAGTGGCCCGTGGGGTCTTCTGCCGACGCCCAGAGCATTCGTCCACAGGGAGGAGACCGTTTTAAAAGCAGGCGCATCCATCTATCGACCAGTTGGACCTAATATGTATGCTAGAAAACCTCTTAAAAATAGACCTCCATCCTCTGAACCAAATAACATTGAGACAGCGGCTGACTGGAAAGATCACCAATATCACTTTTTGACAGATACTGGCTCGGTCTGGATGAGAACCAAGGCAGACGTGTTTCATACCCTTCAAGAAAACGCGTGCGCGAAGCATTTGCAATCGTCAGTTTTCTCTCATTCCAGAATAGAGAGGAAAAAGAAAAAAATCATGCGTCCTCTGAGGTTCTGATCAAAACTACAATATGTGTTGTCAAATAGGCAGCGGCCATGGGCGCCAACACAGTGCGTTCAATTTCACTAGGCGTCAGCGTCGGCCATCCGCTGAGTGTCTGGCCGATGAAAGGCGAAACAAACGAAGACGCTTTTCAATCCATTGATTATGCTATCGGCACGGCTCGACAGTATGGCATCAGGTGCGCAACTCCTCCCAACGCTGGCCCTTTCCCCTCCTGAATAATACCCTGTTTTAATGGGCGAAATGGCCTTGTAAATATTCCACAGATTAATCATACCCCTAACAGACAATTATCGGTAGGTCCTCCACAAGTCTTTCAATGTTTTGCTTCACAGTTGCTGACTTTCAAAAACAAATATCTCGTACCACACAGTTTTTACCACGGAGGTGAGTTGATCATAAATCACTTATTGAGCTTGTATCCAAAAATTCAGATCTGATTCCAAGAGGGGGGATATGACTGAACCGATTATTTTGACCAAACTACCAGGGAAATACACCTTCCTGAAGTGGGAAGGCATCAACACGACTGACGCCGATGCGGAGCAGAACTTTTACCGCAACGAAGAGGTCATGGACACCTTCAAAGATTACATCGAGGTGAATTGCTCGAGATCCATCTTGCGTGCAAAAAAAAAAAAAAAAGAAAATTCTGGCTGAGCATGATAAACTACTTTCTCTCCGTCTAGGTCATCCTTACCCATGTCAACCAATACACCGGTATCGCATATAGAGATGACCCAACGATTCTGGCCTGGTAATTCATTTCCGTTAAATGTTTGGCCAACGAGGTGTTTTGAAAAATCCACTAACCCTACTTCCTTAATTTTTTTTTTTTTTGTAAAAACCAAAGGGAAACGGGGAATGAACTGGGTGCATTTGATCTCGAAGAAGGTGCTCCACCTGCGTCGTGGACAAATGTAAGCGAGAAAAAGAAAAAAAAAAATCAATTGCAACTGTGGAGAAGATGAGTGTAAAGAAGAATGATTTGTTGACCCAACGATGAGCGTTTTGAAGGAGATCGCACGTCATATCAAACGGATCGATTCTCGTCATCTGGTGATCGATGGCTCTGATGGCGTATTCGATAGTGACAACGACGATATTGAAGGTCTAGACGTCGACGCGGTGGACATCATTTCCGATCATCTTTACCGTAAGTGTCTACAAGAATTTTGATCTCAAAAGGAGCGGGTTTCCAGTTGAGATGAGAGTATGTACACCTTTATATAGCACCCAACAATTTCACATTTTGGCGAGATCATGGGCTAGCATCCTCGGCGAGCAAGGTGCTTCTGATTGGGGAGTACGATTGGACGGGCTCGAACGGAGGCTTGACGCTGAGCTCGTTCTACAACGAGGTCATCAAAACCAACAACGTCGGCGATATTGCTTGGAACGTGATGACCCACGACGATCAGTGTTGCAAATTTATCACCCATGATGATGGGTATAGTATCTATTACCCTAATGGAAACGCAAGCATCTTACAAAAAAGACTCTTGCGACTCGTCCAACACTGGTATCAGTAAGCCTTCTTTTAAAGGAACCCTCCAACCTGTCAATTCATTCCTCAATTTGAGTCTTATGTTTTTTTTTTGTCAGTCTCACCGGAAGGAACTCGCCTCACGTGTTGCCGGCAGTGACTTGTAAGTGTCGATACCCCACAGCTTTCGAATGATAACATCCCTCAACTAATTCACCTTTGGAATTTTTGGTCATAGGCCCCCAGCCAGAATGGCTAAAACAACCTTGAAGATCACCATTCTTCCGATCGATTCTGGAGGAAGACGTTTTTGGCCTTGCCCCCCCCTTTTTTTTATATATAATGAAAATGAACAAGTTATATACTAGCTCCGATTACAACCGGGGTTAAATTCCTAGCATCCTTCTCCCCTAATTCTAATCTGATTTCACTAAGCTTAACCCATATATATATATTGAGGGTTCTTGAAATCTCCTCAGACAACGAGGAATTTGATTTTCTTAAATCAATCAATACATCGATTCCAGAGTTCGAATTTATAGTAACGCACGATTCTATCCGCTTTTATAAAACCGCCCGAACCGCAACAAGAATTCTGTAGAATAAATGGATCTTATACATACATAGCTGCTCTATATCAACACATCTTTCTTATCTCAACCAATCAGATCATCAAAAAAAAAAAAAATTCAAGATGCCCCTCTTGCTTCCAAACGCGTCCATAGCCGGAAGAAAATGACTTCATCAAGCGTCCTATCCAATCCATAAAACGTTAGTCAACGTGTTTCCCAAAGCGTAAGAAAAAATGAAGCCGAGGGATTAAGGAAAAATGACTACTATGAGTTGTTCAGTTTCTCAGCTGAGCTTTAATAATATCGTAGCTGGGCAAAACAGCTACGTAGATAAAAGCCTCCCCGCCCCTGCTCCAAGAGGAGATCCCCAGTCTCTAGCACACAAGTCCGCCTAAACTTATGTAGACCCTGCGGGGCTGCCCTGCGGGCTCGCACTGAGAGGCTTTGTTAAATTGTTGAAACTTATGCACTCTGATCCACTTCGATACATATCACTTACAGTGCCTAAATATTGTACAACATCACTACATATAAGAGTAGGGTACAACAAAGAAAGAGGAAAAAAAAGAGTTACAAGATAGAATTTGATTATAATTTTGACGCCAAGTAAGTTTACAAACTTCACTAAAGTCCCTCTTTGCATTGGGAGGGGGGGACGTCGTCCCGATGGGACCCTCCGCAATCAACTGCCCGGAGGGACTTGTAAGTTTAAGTTAGGCAAGTATATAAGAAAAAGAAAAGAAAAAAGAAGCAGGATTAAGTTTGATGTTGAGCTTTCGAGAGTAAAGCGGCCTCAGTAGTTTCAGACTCTTCAGTGCCTTCGACAAGCCAGTCCTTAGTGATATAATTGCGGATCGAATCGGCGCAAAGCACGACGACGTTAGCGCGAGGGTTTTGGCCGAAGAGTTCCCAACCGTTGCCAGGGGGGGCGCCGCGGGCCGGATCGGCGGGTTTGAGATACTGCAAGGCGGCATAGAGGGCCTGACCACTGGAGCCGCCACAGAGGGTGCCTTCGAGCTTGATGAGCTCTCTTAAGGTCTCAAAGGCGTGCTGATCATCGACCTTGATCCATTGATCGATCAGCGAATAGTCCAGCACTTCCGGCTCGAAATCGTAGCCAGTTCCTTCGGTTTGATAGCTCTGAATGCCCGCCGAATTCAGGCTTTCCGGCTTGGCAAGGATCGAGCCGACCGGATCAACCGCTATCGTCTTCACCCGATCGGCTCCATACTGCATCTTCAACCGGCGTGATACCCCACTTATCGTCCCCCCCGTCCCCGCTCCCGCTATAAATAGGTCCACTTGCCCACTCGATGGTCGGCTCAATGTCGATGGCGTGTTTTGGATCGCTTGGATGATCTCCAGGCCTGTGGTATCAAAATGAGTCTGTGGATCTGTGTTTCCAGTTGTTGTTTTTTTTTTTGGTGAGAAATACAAAACACATCAAATCAGAAAACCCCTTCCCAATACTGATTTTTTTTTTTTTTGACGGGTAAGGTAGGAAAAGTGATACAAAACACGCAACTGAATCGATTGCGATATTGATTCAAGATGATTGCGCCAGGGATAGCTTTTTGGAGTCTAGCGGCGACGGAGAGATGGCTTTCGGGACTATCGAAAGCGGCCTCGGTCGGAGTTCGGACGATCTCGGTGCCGAGAGCTTTCATCATATTGATCTTCTCTCTGCTCATCTTCTGGGGCATGACGATGATGCAACGGTAGTTCTTGACTGCTGCTGCTAGTGCAAGGCCGATGCCCGTATTACCACTGGTGGGCTCGATTCTATAGATTATGAAAAACAATTCATGGGTCCTCCAGATTTTTCTTAATGTGATACATAACCAACTGGGAATCAGGAGCTAGCTTACATGACGCTTTTCCCGGGGATCAAGATGCCCTCTCGTTCAGCCTCGACGATCATCCTGAGAGCGATCCGGTCTTTCACAGAGCCGCCGGCATTATAGTACTCGAGTTTAGCCAAGAGGTTGCATTTGAGATTGTATTTCTTGGCCAAGCGGTCTAATCTGACCAGGGGGGTAGCCCCGATGCAGCTCAAGACCGAGTCGCTGATGGTGAGGATCGAGCCGTCGATGCGGGGCTTGATCGGGTCATCTTCATGAGTAGAAGATACCCTCAGCTCTAGTTGCTCTTGCGGCGTGAGGATCGGCTCCTTGCTGCAATCAGACATTCATTAATCCATCATCGTGTCAGCAGGGGAGAAGAAAGCTGAATGGTTCATCTGGGGATCGCAGAATGAGTCAGGAATCAGGAGGTTTCGGACTGACATTGGAGTGGGAGCAATAGTACTAGGAGTTTCATTTTGGTAGAGTTGACCGTGAGGCATGATGTGTGTGTTACTTATTTTTTGGAGTGTTTGTTGAGTTTGTTTTGAGATGGGGAATGAGGATGAAGTTGATGAGGGGGAGTTTATGAAGTGGGGGTGCTAGTCTGAGATTGGGGAAGACGAGATAGTCTCGGCGGATGGCATCATCCAACTTGTGAGTCGACGCAATAGCACAGCTCTCTCTCTTATCGTATCCAAGTATGGCCTAATCACCAGCTATCTGCCGGACATCCAACGGATCAGGTAAAAGTTACCAACCCAACCACTCCTTCAGGCTCATTCCGACTGAGCCACCTGGCCAGGGGGAGCACCAGGGCAGGCCTTCTTTCCCTCTCCTTGCTCTCAAATATTGTTAACGGACCCACCCGCCACAGTGCAAACGCTGCCATCACTGGGAGGGCATATCAACCCACCTTCAGCCTTTAGTCTTCAGTCTTCGGCAGGAGATTAAAAGCATCGATGTAAATATGTCGGATTTACCTAAATAAATAAGTTCGGGGAAATCGTCGAAGATCAAAGACAGCTCTCGTGTGATTCACAAGATGGATTGTGTGTGGGTATCCTGTCAGCTGATCGAGAGCCCGTTCAAGCCGGCCTCGTATTTCTGCCCATAAAGGAGGAACACCCGGGATCCGGATAAATAAAATACATGCAGATGGGGGCTTCTTCACATGAGCACTTTACAGAAAGTCGCCGAAGTGGCGTCCGACTCCGAACAAGGCATTCACCTCTAGTGTTTTTTTCCAAGCCCCTTTTTCATTTCATCAACCTCCAAAACAAGCACTCTCTAAAACTATTTTCCTAACCATCAACTGGCCTTCCAGCCCGCTTGGCCAATCTCCCATGCTCCATATTGACACCAAGCTTCACATGCTTCCAAGCGCGGCTTCATATTAACAACGTAGCTGGCAGACAGCCGCGATTTGCTCGAAAAATAAAGATCTGAATTCTGAGTGGTGGCTGGTGTATCAAAAGGACTTATGTATGTTGGTCAAGACAGGGATGGTGCATACACATATATATGAATGTATGATCCTGCGGGCAGGGGTGGATCACTACATCGGAACCAATCCTTCCGCCGGATTCAGTAAACCTCGAGAGCTGCAGGAGTCTCGACTGGTGATTACGGTTACATAACATGACTTGAAAAAAACAAAATATGGACCTCTCATACCTAGCCCATCCCTCCAGGTCCGAACACTACAATGTAAGGCTCGTTCTCCATACCATTGCGGGTTTATGTAACTTTCCTTTGTCGTCTCTGACCCGGGATTCGGCCCCTCATTCCTCTGAGTGAACGATCAAATCGTCATTTGCATGAACAGTCCTTCTGAAAAAAAGCCCTTATTTGTTATATTTCACTTTTCATTGTAGGAGATCATTTGATTAAACTTGCTCCAATATGGCAACGAATTTAATAATGTTTGGGGCTAGGATAAACATCTGATTTAGGAAGAATGAAAAAAAAATGTCCTTCATGAGACTTCTTTTTGGATGGTAGAGATCGCGTTCAGTTCTGAAGGGGGGAAAGAAAGGAAGAAGCCGACGATAAAATACTAATGATCGTTCTCGAATGATTTAGCACAATTGATAAAGTTATGAATGGCTAAGATGCGCAGAGTATTCCAAGTGACCAGCCAATCCCGATAAGAGTCTTGAGTGGGAGAGCCGTCGGTCTCCGGGATCAAAGGGAGGATGTAAAGGATTGAAAGCAGCAAAGGATTTTCGAAACTATCTTTAAGAGTTTGAGCTTTTTCGGTGAATTGTTGACTGGAGACTGCACCGTAAGCCGTATCAGCTCTGGTGAAGAGGGTCAAGAGTTGGAGGAGATCACGGGTGATATTTCCGGCGGCGTGACTCAGAGATTCGATTTGATCCGAGCTCATCTCGCTATATAATAGGCATAGTCGTCTTTGATTGATCCCTCGTCTGGACAACTTGTAGAGGAAAAGCCTCGATAACTTGATGATTGGGATCACTAATCTAGCAAGTCGGATCACCGGTTCGCGCACCAGTTGGTTCCCGGCTGATTTTTCATTGCCCATCACCAGGCACATCTCCTTACACAGTCTGACTAACTCGTCCAGAGTAACTAATTTGAAATTCCAATACTCTTGGGCGAGATCCAAGTCTGATCCTTTGAGCCAATCGACCATCGATTCCGCCATATCTAACGCGGGAAGTGTGTGCTCGGCCAAGCTAATGAGCGTACGTTCGGCCGAAAACCCGCTCGGGTGGCAGGTCGGGTCGTCCGTCTGATTGATAGGATTCTGATCCGTCGAAAGATTCAATTGTTGGATGAGCTCAGGGGCCTTACGAAAGATATTAAGCAGTTCCTGCGATAAGAGTTTGGAAAACTTCGATTTGAGGCCGTAAAGCCTGAAAGATTTAAGCGCTTTAAGGTGCTGGTCATCGGTTCGATTTGGGATGCCCAAGTGTTGTGGACAGAGGATATCGATGATACATTCGATTTGACGCAGGCTATGATCGAGTGCTGATTGGCTCTGTAAGAGCAGCTTGAGATTTTTCCCGGGTTCCTTTTGCAAGTGGGATGGCATCAGGGCTAGTGATAGACTGAGGATTTGGCGTTGCAATATAAGCAGAATGCTCGATTGTAACGAGGTTAAGAGATCTTCCTTCGGAATCACTGAGCTCATTGCCGCTCGTTCCTCGATCGAAGTCCGACCTGGAAGCCAAACGCTGTATGAATCCCATTGGATGACCAGACTTCTAAATCCTTGGATCACCAAATCTAGATGCAATTCGCAAGAGTGGTTTTAAACAGAGTCAGTTTCGAAACTCTGAGACTGGGTCGATGACTTGACTGGACATACCTCCCTGGTGCCCCAATTGTTCTGGAGCCTGACGGCTTGAGTCTGCAACTAATTCAAGCATCTGAGTCATTTTTCAATTATCGAGCCTTCATGCGTCTTCTGTCCGGACTCCAGAGTTAACGATCATAATCAGCTGTTGACCGTGTCGTGAATCTTGAAGTCTTTGAAAGAGGAGCAATCGTGACAAAAAAAAACACCAATTCCGCATACACGCGCATACAATCGGGAATCGCTCATTGCGTCATCGGCATCAGCTATGACGTCACCTTGGGCTCAGGTCCACAATCACGACCTATCACGACAATTCGTGGGCGTGAGCTCACATTTCACGCTTTCACGATAAAATCAGATTTTGATTTTGTTTCTGGTTCTGGCTTGCTTTCTGCCCAAAGCCGATGACCAGGACCAGGAGGTTCCAAATCTCCCCTCGTTCAAAATCCAAGAAGCGGTGGTGACCAGAATTCATTGACCGGACCGGCTCTCAAGGATCCTGTGCCAACTGCTGATCAATGGTCAACAGGTTGTTAAACAACACCACTGTGAGCAGAGAAGAATCCTCCATTTGTATTGACGTTGGCGGCTTTGGTCTGAAACCAGTCGAAAAAGAGCCAAAACTACACAAAAGAAGAAGAAGAAAATCTGAGTTGGAGCTTGGATGACGTCATGGGTGATGTCACTGCGCGGAGTTTCCTAGAGCGCGGGCACTGAACCTTTTTTTTTTTGGCACTGAACCTTGATTTTTGTAAAGCCAGGTCGAATTTTCGACAATAGTTCCTCGTCGCGAACGTAACACAAGTCCCTCCGCTGGGCCCGAAGGTCGCCTCGTCGAAGACTCGCTGGACTTCTTACACGCCGGACTCGGTACATACGAGTAGGACACGCGATTGAGGAATAACTTCGATGGCCGATTCGACCCATAAAACCACAGACGAGTTGGAACACCAGCGAGTTTGGGACCGAGGAGGTGCATATTCATGCTTAGTCCAGTGTTCAACCAAAACCACTTCACCTAGACTAACTCTGCTCAAACTTCTTGCATTCCTTTCAGATGTAGTCATCCAGGGGTTTAGAAGGCTGAGCATCAAGTATCGGTGGTCAACCGATCAGTACTATGATCTGATCAGAACTTTCCAAGAAACTCGCTCAACTTTCTCAAGCGACCAAGCAACCACGAAGGAATCAATATTAAACCAGCTACAATTTTGTGCTCTACCTAAATTACACTTTCAAATCACCAACCTCTCACATTCACTCAAGCCACTTGGCTTACAGAAAGCACCAGAATCGAAATTCGAGATCCTCTTGGATATCCAATCAGAAATCGAGGCCATTCTAGACCTTATCATCCGCCTCACTTATATCCTCTACCCAGAACCTACATATGCAGTAAGCCGAGCCGACGACCAGCATCTTAAACAATTTAAATCATATAGGCTTCGCATCCTGAAAGCGAAGTACTTTGAAACTTGCGAGAACATTAGTCTAGTCTTCAGAGAGGCCTATGAGGTTCTTCAAAAAATGAAGCATTCGCCCGAGAAATTCAGCCAACTTGTGAATACAGCAGACTTTCCCGGGAAGCGATCAATTGGCAATGTATTTGAGTCGATAAAGTGGACGATTAAATGTATAAAAGGGAATGAATTGGAAGTTGCCCAAAATTCTTGGCAAGCGGACTTCGGGGGCATTCATTATTCGTTTCAACAAATCATGACGTTGGTCAATCCAGAAAGCTACTCCACAACTGACAATCAAGAATCCAGAAGCAAACTGAGCCGAGAACCAGTTTTCCACTTGGCTAAATTAGCAATCCCACTCATCAAGATTTCAAAGCTCTTTTTCACTAAGTTATCGAAATGCGGGTTGAACAAAACACGGCTCCCACTTTTTACCGAGATGGCTTCCGAGCAAATCGAATCTTTGGCAAATTCGCTTGGACAGGTCACTAGAGATATCATCGAACTCGGCGGTTTACTGCCCAAAGCTGACGACGGAGATGCGACTGGCCAAGATTTTGTGAAAATAGCGGATAAGCTCAGGAGTCGCTACGAAGCTCCGCTGGTTGCTTTGCTTCTTTATGTTATTCCATCCATTCCAGATTCTGATGATGGGTTCCCAACTCAAAGCTATTACAGGACTTGGTTGGTGACTTGGAATACTCAGCGCATCTTGGCCACTGTGAACTTCATCAATGCTGCTAAATTGTTAGACCCCAATCCACTATAGTTATAATCTCTCCTGATTCTGTAGATTTGCTTGTGTTGAATATCTTTTTGTGTTCTATTGGGCAGATTTGCAGGCGTAGAGCCTAAGTGATTTTTGTTTTCAGTCCTTCTGTTTGCAATCTACTAGAATCTGTTGAACTCGATCGAGATTCGAGACCCATGTTCTTGCAGAACAGTTTTGTGGCTTCAATGTTGTCGGCGCAAGTCCGCCAAAGGGGCGCGCCGTCACTGCGCCAGGCAAAGGCGCGCCCCTTTGGAGGGCTTGCGCCGACAACCCTAACTCCACCGGCAGATCAAATCGGGCACTTGCTAGTAGCAACCAACTTACATATCAACCCAAGAACCACCACATACCAAACAGAAAGATGACGAGAACTAACAACAGACGACCTACAAACCATCCACTGCCACAACGCCCACAACAGTCACTGCATCAACAGCACCCACAGCACCCACACTACCCACACTACCCACACTACCCACACTACCCACACTACCCCAACCAGAATTACAACCCATATCCAAATCCATATCCAAATCTAAATCCAAAACCAAATCCAAATCCCAATCCCAATCCCAATCCACATCCAAATCCAAGGCCACCACAACCCAAAATAACCCATGAACAACAGCTAGAGAACCAACAAAGGAATCAAGAAAAGCGACAAAGATATTTAGAATCACTGCCACCCCATGAACGCCAGAGAATAGAACAACAAGAGCAAGAGAAAAAACGGAAAAGAGAAGAGAAACAACAGAAACAAGAGGAAGAGAAACAACGGAAAATTCAAGAGAAACAACGGAAAAGCCAAGAGAAACAACGTCAAAATCAACTCCTTCAACAACAGAAACAAGAGGAAGAGAAACAACGGAGAATCCATGAGAGACAACGGAAAGGCCAAGAGAAACAACGTCAACATAACCTCCTTCAAAAACAGAAACAAGAACAAGAACGATTGGCACGGGAAGAAGCAAGAAAACCCAAGCCTCCCCCTTATGATAAAGAATTCGATGAACACTATTATCATGTTGATAAGCTCCTAGATCGTACCGGTCCACTGGTTGATCCTTCCTTCGCACCCGGTGCCGCGGTATGTGCCTTCATTCTTATTCAGTAAGAGAAGACAAATTACATATCTGATCGGTTGTTTTCCCCCTTTCCTCTTCTTATCATTGTTTGATTTATATTAAACACAATTGATTTAGCCCAAAGATTTTATGCGCAAGACTTGTAAGATCCTCGTCATTGGAGCCGGTGGACTAGGCTGTTAGTCTCAACTCAACTCATCTCGTGCCTGATCTCATCTTCTATTCATCTCTTGACTTATCTTCTTCTCGATCGGTTTTACTTGATAGGCGAAATCCTACAGAACTTGGCTCTGCTTGGGTTTGCAGATATTCATGTGATCGACATGGATACTATCGAGATCAGTAACTTGAATCGACAGTTCCTGTTTCGGTTAGTGCATATTCCCCTCGCACTCATTTTTTTTTTCTCTTTCAGTTCTGCCGCGTCAAGCTGATATCCATTTTTTTTTTTTTCAACAAACAGTGAGCATGATATCGGTCAGCCCAAAGCTGAAGTAGCAGCGAAATTTATTATGGCACGAGTACCCCAAGTGAAAGTAACACCGTAAGCGGAGTGATTCCCAGTGCACTTTCTTTCTTTGATTGTCTGGATCTCTGGTAGTTGGACTGATAGAAATTTATTCCTAGACACTATTGCAAGATCCAAGACAAGGACAATGCGTTTTATATGATGTTTAACTTGGTGGTATGCGGCTTAGATTCTGTTCAAGCGCGACGATGGATCAATGCTACGCTGGTGAACCTCGTCGATCCGGAGAAACCGGAGAGTTTGAAGCCATTGATCGATGGCGGCACCGAAGGTATGTCTATGCGCCTTCCTTTTGAAGAGGGTAGAAGAAGAACGGATGGTTGATCAGGCTCGGGGGCGATGATATAGGCTTCAAGGGCCAATCCAGAGTGATTTTACCTACGATCACTTCCTGCTACGAGTGTTCTTTGGACATGTTGACCCCGCAAACGGTCTTTCCTATCTGCACGATCGCCAACACTCCTCGATTGCCTGAACATTGTGTCGAGTGGGCTAGTGTGTTAGAATGGCCTAGGGTCTTCAAAGGTTCAGTCATTTCCTACCGTCCCTTGTCTTCGGCACCCGCATACTTCTGACCTCTAATCTTACTCTCTCTTCCCCTTTATTGTGCACAACACAAAGATAAGAAGCTGGATAACAATAACCCAGATCATATTCAATGGCTCTTCGAACAAGCTTCGGCGCGCGCAAAAGAGCATGATATCAGTGGGGTCACTTGGAGTCTCACTCAAGGCGTCATCAAAAATATCATCCCGGCTATCGCCAGTACTAACGCTATCATTGCTGGTAAGCTGATACACTGCATAATCCTCCTTGTCACCCATTCCCACCGTTTACAGTCGTCGCTGATCTGGTTCCTTGGGTATGTTGGCATCGTGATTATTATAGGGAGTTGTTGTAACGAAGCTTTCAAGATCGCTACGAACTGTGCTCCTTATCTCCAAAACTACATGTAAGCTTTTGATTCTCATCTATGCTAAACACTCATTATCTACACTTCAATCGATTTTCGTTGCTCAATGAAAATGTTTTTTTTGTCGGGGTTTTTGGGTATAGGATGTACAACGGAAACGATGTCGATTTATACTTATACTTTCCAACACAAGAAGAAACCCGATTGTCCGGTTTGTGGAGGAGAGTCAGTACAGATCTCGGTCAGTAAGGATTGGTTCTTACAACAGTTGGTTGATCATTTGATCGAAAGACCCGACTTGTAAGCTGTCTCTTGCTGTTTTCACTCTTTTCGATTCGTTCGGCAAGCCGCATGACATTGGAAACCTACGATTCCATGGATCAGTGGCCATTCATTCAAACTAATTACTTGTTTGGCTTTGTATTTTGTTAAAAAATAGTCAAATCAAACACCCCTTGTTATCGACTCTCAAAGGACCGCTTTTCTTTCAAGGTCCACCCGAACTAAGGAAGTCGACCGAAGATAACCTGGCCAAGAAACTGATCGATCTATTCCCTGATCAACTTACTCCAGAATCCGATGGGATCCAAATCACCGTCACTGATTCTAGCTTGCCCTTCCAACTCAGCTTACTTGTAAAACTTGAATAAATTCCCACCTACTGATGCTAGTACTACTGCTACTTTTATAACACGATCACAATCTTGCTTTGTTTTTCTATCTATTTCTTGACTCGTGGTCTTTGAAAATCATGAAAGATATGAATCAATTCTACTCCTTATTTGCCGATTTATCAGGTCGACGTTCAGTTCTCCAATTCAACACCCCCATTCTGCCTCTCCAAACAGCATCGATAAGTAGACAGTTATAAAGGAAAAACGCATCATCAATTTTTCTTGGAACTTGAACAAACACATCCTGGGCTCTGCCAAGAGGTTACATTTGGAGGCACTTGTTTGCAAACCATCCTGATTGGCCAATTTTCAATACACGTATCCCTGTAAGTTCCTACATCTATCTACACGTATGTACAGTGGCTACAAAAAAAGAAGTTTACACCACCTGTTTTCTTGTTCAAAGGAACAAAGCGCATGAAGCCCAGAAGAATCTAAACCAGTTTGCAGCTTTTTTAGCTAGCTGAGTGCACTTGTGACGAGTGAAAGCTACTTGAGATACATCCATGGTTCTCATAGGGTTTTAGTTTGTTAAGGTGCTGGTCATCAGATTGAATTAGTTCAGATTCAGCCGACTTTCAGCCGGTGAGGTGAAGCATGTATTTGGAGTGAAGCCGAGTTCTGCTCGGATCCCCCCCCCAAAAAAAATGCGCTTGAGATGCAAAACATCCGGTTTCTTTCTTTAATCAAACTCGATTGTCAATGTTTTTACGGCGAAGCAGTGTCGTGGATGTCGCACTACAGATATCTTTACAAAATTTAAAACAGAAAACTGATGAGGAAAAAGAAAATTGACATGATATTTTTATTTAGAATCGTGAAGCAATCAAGAGAGGAAGATCACTAGAGAAGCAACAATAACACAAAGATTATAAGGCGTCCTCATCGAATAATCTGGCAGTGGCTATCAAGTTTTGGATGACTAAACCAAACTGAGTGTGCCATGTAGCAAACCAAGCCTTGAAGTAGTTTTGAATTGGGAAACCATCGGTATCTGGGATCAGAGGAAGGAAATAAAGGTAAAGAAGGAGTAAAGCTGATTCAAAATGAGCTTCGAGTGCTCCGACTATTTGAGTGCAAGCGGGACGAGCGAACCGGCCGTCCGATCTATCGGCCGTCCTCAATACAGCCGCAACCGCATCTAACTCGCGATTGACGTTTCCAGCTAGCTTACATAGCCTATCCAGCTGGTCGGAACGGATTTCAGTGTACAATGAGAGTCGTTTTCTGTTCATTCCTTGTTTTGATAATTTGTTGAAGAATAGTCTGGACAGTTTGAGGATCGGTAAGAGCGATTTAGACAGCTGGACAACAGAATCACTGAGCGGGCCAGGTATTCTACTGCTTTCTTTCAAGTGTGTGGTTCCATTGATCAGTTCCAAGAGCTCTTCCAGTTGCTCATCCATACCACATATCTCATTCGGCCAATCATATTGCACAAGATCGAACTCAGATCCCTCTAGCCATTGGATCCCCCCTTGGATTCCCTCCAAAGCTGAGGATGCATATTCAATTATTTGCTCTCTTGTGACAGCTATGCAAGGATATTGCAAGGCCTTGTTTGTCGAGAGTTTCATTTGGAGAATAAGTGTCTCGGATTGGTGAAAGAGACACATGACGTCTGGCAGGATTTCTTCTATTATCCGATAGTGCAAGCCCTCTCTTCGAAAGGATTTGAGTCCGTCGAGATGTTGATCATTGGTTCGGATTCTTTCCGATGGTAGTGGGTCTGGACAGAGGATTGAAAGTGCCGATCGAATTTGCTGTAAAGTTTGCTCGAGCTCTGCTTGGATTCCCGAGACGATCCGGAGTTGTAAACCTGGATCTTCCTTCAACCGAGCTGGATCTAGTGGCGGCACAAGGTCTGTAATTTGGCGGCCCAGTTGCGGTAGAAGATCTGAGCGTAGCTCGGTCAAGAGATCTTTTTCCATGTTGACTTGCTCGATTAGAAAACCTTCTTGAATGGTCCTGGACCCAAGGTAAGGATCCCCATTGTCGATTGGGTGGCACTTGCTGATGAGACTTAGGAACCTTCTGACGACCAGATCTACATAATCATTGGCATATTCAAGTTAATGTGTTGTCTGGTGATTTTGTACTGATGGTGTGGAACGTACCACCTTGCGGCCAATGTTCCTTTTCTCCTGCAGTGTTGTTCGGATCCATAGACACGTCCTAGTGTTTTCCTGATAAACTCAAGAATTATTTGTTGAAGTTCCTTCGTCTGTTGGTCACCGTCGAGGCTGGACGAGATCGATTGTATTTTGTAGGCACGCGCTTACCACAAGCCACGCGGCGCAGCAGGCCCCAGTACATAGGTCACACTCACACTCAAGTTGTCGAAATACCGTGCCAGCCTTGATGAGAGTTTTGTCATCCTTTGCAGCTTGGCTGAAAAGGAGAAAAGTCTATGTGTGCAAACAGTTCAGAGGAGGAGGAAAGAAATCGTCCAGCAAACTTCATCCTCCACTTGATTCTTCCTTCTAAATTGAGAGAAAACAGAAACTTGTTGTGAAACCAGGTGAGCAGGCAGGACTGGATTCTTTTACTCAGTCTGCATTCGTTCAATTCCCGTTATGCCAAAGAGTTTTCTCAAATATGACACAAAAAATAGACTTTTATTCACATTCCAAATTTATAAAAAAAAAACACAAGGGGGAAAAAAGTATGTTGCAATGATTTTGTGCATCCTTCTCTTTTCTGCCATATGGAACTACAAATGAATCAAGAAACGGGTCTTGAAGAAAAGATCCTAAATCAACTTTGAAGCATCTAGAAGGTTCACAACAGCCAAGCTAAATTGATGAGACCAAGGTCGAAACAAATCCTGGAAGTGATCATATGCACGAGAACGATCGGTATCCGGGATCAGAGGAATCAGATAAAATGATACAAGAAACAAAACAGCTTCATAACGTGCTTCGAGTGTTGTGAGATTGTTTGCGAAGTCGCCACTACACGCTCTTCGGTTGTCGGTGACAACTTTGCTCAAGAACGAAGTGAATTTGTTGAGACAGTCGGCAACTGCTTCATGCGTCTTGGATAGAGTCTCGAGTTGATCCGAACGCATGCCTGTGAACAAGGGCAGCTGAGTCTGTTTGGATGCCCATCTTGCCAAATTCTTGAAGAACAGTCGGGACAGTTTGATGATTGGTATGATTGATTTAGCCAAGCCCATGGCTCGTTTGTTGAGCACCTGTCCATTCGGCTCTTGGGGGTCGAAGGCGCCTCGAGTGATCAGGATCGAGAGTTGCTCGAGTCGCTCGTTGCAGTTAAGTGGATCTTTTTGCCAGTAATTTTGCACCAGAAATTCGCATTCGGATCTTTCTAACCACACGATTGTCCGCTTGATTGCATTCCGCGATGAAGATGTAAAGATTGTTATTCGTTTGTGCTGTAATGAAGATCTCGCTTGGGTGCCAGTGATCAGATGATAGGAACAACGAAAAAGTTTATTAAACTCTGGTAGGACTTCTTCTGTGATCATGCGGTGCAAGCCGCGGACTCTGAAGCGTTTCAATTCTTTGAACTCCTGGTCGTTGATTCGGTTCGATTGAAGCTCTTCTGGTAGTTTTGGCCAGAGGATAAGAATAGCAGATCGGATTTGATCGAAAGTCTGGACAAGTTGTGACTGGACTCCCACGATCAGGTTGAATGTGAATTCGGGCTCCTTCTGCAAGTGGTTGGGTTCTAGCAATTGCGAAAGGGTGATCAGTTGCTGTTCTATCAGGGGTAGAAGATTCGAGCGTAGCCGGTCCCAGTGGTCTCTTTTCCAGTTGATGTTTTCAAGCGTATAGAGTTCTTGGATTGAGTTGTCATACTGGAAGCTGCTGGGACCATGATCTCTGGCAAGACTTTTGAACCCCCGGAGAACCAAACCTGAGGAGAATCTTCTACCTGTTCAGTTCAGCTGCAGATATTAAATAGACCCAGCTGATATGGTTGAACTCCACTTACGATCTGGGTGGGGATGCATGTTTCTTCCTGATGAGTTTGGTGCGTCCATGTTTTTTTTCTTGAATTTTTTTTTCTTGCTTTTTTTTCTTGCTTTTTTTTTCTTGCTTTTTTTTCTTGGGGCTTGATGAAACTTTCCGCGGTTATATTTAGATCCGCGGTTTTTGAGCTTGGCGACACTGGAAATTTGAGAGTGCTGCGGACCGAACGCGGTTTTCCGCGGTTGAATGCGCAGGGAAAGAATCCGCACTGGATGGAATCCGAGCCGACGATCCGGAGACCAATTAAAAAACCCAGCGCACCGCGGCCACTCAGCTCATGGAATCCACTCGCACAGGACTCATGAAATCCTCAGACTCTCCAGGTGCACTCAACATCAACATCAACACGAGCTGAACATTCCCTTTGTTATCGATTTCCTCTATACTCCATCAGATCCTGTAATGCGTATTTCCTTTGTCTGCTTGAATCTGTCCTGTTTCAAAATATTGGTGTATATTTGAAGACTTAATGCTTGTAGTCCGATTATGCTTCCCTCATCTCGATCAAAATCTAATATAATCTCTTCATTCCACTCAAGTAATCTTGCTCCACGAGAGCTATACTCATCTTTTCTTTGTGTCTTGCACCCTCTCCTTGCACCTCGTGCCCATTGCCCTCGCAAGAAGACTTGTCCCAGTATCGACTGCTATCTGGAAGACGCTCGAATCGAAAAATACCTCAACGCCGAAAACGCGACACGCATCAATCGAGCAAAGGGCTAAACTTGGATGGCTAACAGCAAGAATCCCATAGAGCAGTTGGAACTTCGCCGGACTTGGGTCCAGCAAGTAGGTAAGCTGCATCTAAGACCTATCCATATTCTCCGATATAAAGTCGCTGATCAATTCACTGATCCTGTGATAAAACCCTCTTCAATCTTTAGATGGGGTTATAAGGGAATTCAGAAGACTGGTTATTGATTGTCAAGTACCCGTTGCACGGCTTGAAGCCTGTCATGAACAAGCTTTCGCCCATTTTCTCAATGTTAAAGCCCAGAATGAAATGATCGTGAATTTGCTGCTACGTTGGCGCGCTCTGCCTCTCTTACACAATCTGATTCTCGATCTATCAAGACTTCTCAATCCATACGGCTTGCAGCAGAAAGAACCAGAGTCAAGAATCAAGCTGATCGCAGATTGGCAACCAAGATTCGAAAGCATCTTAGGGTTCATTTTGACCATTAGTAGATGGCTATGTCCGCAACCGACCTCCGAACCATACCGGACCGATGACCAGTTCCATAACGGAGTAAAATCTTATAGGCTTCAGAGATTGAAAGCAAACCTTTCTCAAGCCCACTTGGAGATTTCTCGATGCTGTAATGTGGCCTGTGATCTCCTCGAACACAGTCAACAATCAGGACAAGTATCTCAGTACCAGAGAGACACGTATGTCCGGGTGCTACGGTTTACAAAGCAGGCAGTCAAGTCGATCAGGGATGCTGACGAATGCATGAGAGGATCCGAATTGGATGTGGTTGAAGCTAGTTGGAGAGAGCAGATAGACCGGATCGACGGCCTTTTCCGGGACATCGTTATAGCTGCTGCCGCCTCCGAACACGACTGCCTAACAATTGGCATTCAACCGGCCCATGAGTACAGGCTAATAATACTCGACCGCAGTCGATTCCTCAAGCTCGTTAAATCGGCAATCCCGATGATCAAGATCTCCAAGCTTTTGTTCACCAAGATCTCGAAGCGCGGGATGAATAGGAAACCGCTTGAGTTTTCTACGGAGATGTGCTCTGATCAAATCAAATCTCTAGAGCAAACGGCCTCATACGTCTTCCAGGATCTCACTCAACTCTTTATCCTACTGCGTAGAGCTCATAATGGGGCTCAGGTGCCTTTGACTAGTCGTGATTTGATTGTAGTAGCCAGAAGACTCCAAAGCCGCTTCGAAGCTCCTCTAGCTATTCTACTCCTTTATCTGATTCCTGCGATCCCGGATACCGAGGGCTTCCCACTTCAAACCTACTACAAGGATTGGTTGGTCACTTGGAATACTCAGCGTATCTTGGCCACCAGGAACTTCATCAATGCTGCTCGATTAGTTGGCACTCATCCATTGTAGCTTATAACCTTCCGCAGTTTGCTTCGGTCCATTTTTTTTTCTTGTTATTGATTAATAAAATATCCTTTGCTACACCTCGGGAGCACCTCGATGGCAATCCGGCGATTATTTTGCTGGGCAAACTGCCTATATTATTTTTTAATGAGTCCTCTAGCTTAAAGATGTATTTTTGGTGTTGTTCTTTTTGTGATGTATCTAGTAGATCTAGTATTTGATTCGATTGGAACATACACAAATCAAGTCATGAAATTTGGATATATGAGACAAAAAAAGAACTATCAGCAATGAAGTGGTCCGATTGTCTTACGTATAACCGGGGTGCACTTGGAAACAAGTGATCAGAAACACTAGCTTATGACCAAAAAGAAAAAATAAATGAAATGCGCTCAAGTTGAGCTTTGATGACGTCATGGGTGAAGTGAGACTATGTAGCTGTGCGGTTTTTAAAGAATTCTTCGATGGCTCCTCATCCCAAGACCGCCATCTTAAGCTGCTCCTGATCAGAATCTTGGAAACACTGGTGTCGACATCACGGATATTTGGAAGACACGATTGAGCATCAAGTCATACTAACTCCGATGGCCGATTCAAGTAGCAAAACTGCAGACAAGTTGGAGCATCAGCGGATTTGGGAACAAGGAGGTATGCGATCCAGAGCATCAATCAATCCTGAGTTTTGAAACCATCAACTGAATCTGTTCAAACTTCTGGGGTGACTACATACAATATGTAGATCTGCTCATCGAGGGGTTTAGAAGACTGAAAACCAAGTATGAGCGTCCCACCCATCTGTGCCACGATCCCGAGTCTATCGAAGAACCTCTCTCGAGTTCGCGAATTGACGAATCCCCCTTAGACGTGAAGGAAGGACTCTTGAACCAGTTAGAGTTCCAATCCTTGCCCACCCTGCACCGTCAAATCACCAACCTCTCGCACTCACTGAAGCCGCTTGGCTTACTGAAACAACCAGAGTCAAAATTCCAGGTCGTCTCACTGATCCAATCGGAACTCGAACAAACCATAGACCAAATCAACGCTTCCATTATTGTCATCTGCCCACAACCTATATCTGCACCGAACCGAGTCGATGACCAGCATCTCAATCAATTCAAATCGTCTAGGCTCCAAAGCCTGAAAGCCAAGTTCCACGAAACCTCTCAGAATATTTGTCTAGTCTTCAGGAGTGCCCATGAACTGCTTGAACAAGTGAAGTGGACACCAGACGAACTAAGCCGACTGCATTATACGCACTTTCCGGGGGACTGGTTGGTCAACGAAGTATTTGAGTCTCTCCAGTGGACTATAGAATGCATAAGAGGAAGCGAATTGGGAATTGCTCAAAGGGATTGGCTACCGGACCTGGATGGTATCGACCGGTTGTTATGTGAAACCAGGATGTTGGTTGATCCAATAATCCACTACAGACGAGATGGTCGAGCCCATAGGAAGCTCGTCCGCAAACCAGTCATCCACCTTGCTAAATTGGCAATCCCACTCATCAAGATTTCGAAGTTATTTTTCACCAAACTATCGAAGCGCGGCTTGAATAACAGACAACTTCCACGATTCACGGAGATGTGTTCGGACCAACTCGAATCTTTGGCTGGATCGCTTGGAAATCTCACAAGCGATATCCTGCAACTCCTGCTTCTCCTGGACAAAGCTGACGAGGCTCACGGAGCTGTGACTAGCCATCAGTTGGTAGAAATAGCTGCATGTATTAAGGGACGTTTCGAAGCTCCACTGCTGGTTTTAATGCTTTATATCGTCCCAGACATCCCAGATAATGATGGTTCTAGTGATCAAATCTATTACAAAAATTGGTTTGTCACTTGGAACACTCAGCGGATCTTGGCCACCGAGAACTTCCTTAATGCTGCTAAATCATTCGAAACCGATCAACTTCATCTTGAGCTTGCTACAGTCCAAATTGTTGGATAATTAAACCAATCAAATTACCTGTAAACTCCTTTTTTTTTGTATTTAAAACTCTTCACTGCTCTTATCTTTAGTAGCTGGTAGGTCTATTATGTATTTGAATCAATCAAAAAAAATGCAATTCTGCCTGGAAAGTATCAGAATATTCCTCTCTGAGGAACAAAATGCTTTGGGTTTCCAGGTGCAAGAGCAGCTGTATAGAAAGAGATTGTACAGTATCCTCCCAGTTGTTTATGACACATCAATTACTTGATTTAAAAAAAAACTATCACACATGAAATTTGGAGTTGTTGTGGAGTGGTGGATAGGTAAACGACTCCCAAAAACTGGAGAGCCGACTCCCAAGCCCCGGAATCCCCGAAAAATGGGAGTCAAACCCCCAAAACCTTCGACAGGTTTGGGAGTCGACTCCCTAAAAAAAATAATAATAAAAAAAGAAATTCCCCGGTTGGTATAGGAGTCGACCCTCCAAAACCAACCAGGGTTTGGGGGTCGATGAAACAAAAGACCCCCACAGAAGCGGCCCGGAGCATTCCTCCCGGCTGCTCAGATTAAGACCCCGGAGGACTGAGAGCAATCCTTCTTGATTGTAATTTTTTCTGCCCGCAGCGGCCGAGGTGATATCCCTTACTGCTTGGCGGTTGAGGTAGTTTCCCCGTCGGCCATCGAGAGTATACACCTCGGCCATCGAGAGTGTACGCTCTCGACAGCCGAGGTGTATACTCTCGACGGCCAACGGGGAAACTACCTCGACCGCCGAGGTGTACACCCTCTCAAAGGCTGTGTACACTCTTGGCCATCGAGAGTGTACACTCTCGACGGCCGAGGTGGTTTCCCTCGGCCGTTGAGAGTGTATACCCTCAACGGCCGAGAGGAATCCTCTCGGCCATTGAGAGTGTACACTCTCGACGGCCGAGGGTACACTCCCAGCCATCGAGAGTGTATGCTCTCGACAGTCGAGGTAGTTTCCCTCGGCCGTTGAGAGTGTACACTCTTGACGGCCGAGGTGTATACTCTCAACGGCCGAGGGAAATCACCTCGGCCGCTGAGAGTAGAATCTTGACGGCCGAGAGGATTCCTCTCGGCCATCAGTGTGTAATCTGAGCGGCCGGGAGGATTCGCTTCTGTGGGGGTCTTTTGTTTCATCGACCCCCAAACCCTGGTTGGTTTTGGAGGGTCGACTCCTATACCAACCGGGGAATTTCTTTTTTTATTATTATTTTTTTTAGGGAGTCGACTCCCAAACCTGTCGAAGGTTTTGGGGGTTTGACTCCCATTTTTCGGGGATTCCGGGGCTTGGGAGTCGGCTCTCCAGTTTTTGGGAGTTGTTTAACCAAGCCCCTTTTTTATTTTCTTTAATAATTTTTTTAAAAAGACAAAATTAAGTGGGGAGGGTAGCTGAGAGTTGCGGGATAATGATTATGAAATAAAAAAATAAAAACCAAAAAAATCAATATTTGATTGGCCCACCAGAGGCCTCCACAACCAGACACATTCCGCTATTCAATCAAGGCCACTCTTCTCAGCGGTTTTGATGGTCCCAGGAGTCCGAACCCGTGAGACGATTGAAGAGATCGTTGTTCGTCCGGCGCCCATGATCCTTGTGACTCGCCCCTTCAACCATGCCGGCGATGCAAGCCTTCTGCTCGGTCGTGACTTGTGAGGTTGGGCTGTCCTCAGATATGTCTCATCAAATCAATCCTGTTCCACATGAATGAAGAAATGAAGGAAAAATCAGAAAAAGAAAAAAAGAAGAAAAAAAAAACAATAGAGATACAGACTGATGTCTGATTCTGTGTATCAAATTTGTCCTGAGGCCGAGGTCAACCGAGTTTGTTCCAAGGTCAATTGAGGTTGTTCCGAGATCAATCGTTGATGATGAAGGTTGTTCTGTGATGGGTTGTTGGCCGATGAAGAGGTTGACTTGGACCCGCACACTGCAGTTTAGTGCGCGGGTGCAAGTCAACTTGTGACAGTTCACCCCCAGACATAAACATCTGGGAAGATACTGTACATCATCCCAGAGCACATTACAATAAAATCAATCACTGATTCTTGTGATTGAACCTCACAGTTGAAATGAGTAACTTCACCAGATAAAAAGAAATCAAATTTATGGATAACATCAATCCTGGTTGCCATTGCCAAGATAAATCCTCATAGTCATCCCAGAAGTTCAAGCACATGAAGGCCCATTTTCTTGCTCAAGATAGCATATTTTTTTTCTTAGTGGGAACAGCTGACTAACCAGCAATTCTGTCACAGTATGTCGCAAAGGGTTTCACCCAAGCTGTTGGAATAGACTACAAAGCCACCTTCACACCAACCACCACTTTTGTGCCCATGCAAGTAATTCTGGGAGGTGACAGGACATTAAGGGGATGTCACCAATGTCCAAGCGCGCGAGTGCCTGGAAGAAGAAGGGACTAGATGGTGGGCCAGGAACCAGCGTGCTCAGGCCCGCAGAAGACCAGCGTGCCCGCATCGAGGATAACTAGCTATAGTCTAGCTACTTCCTGGTTCCCCCACAGCCCCACATCTCCTCCTCACTCCTCTCCAGCTCAGATCCTCGACCACATCGCCGCGAATCAGTCTCAGTTTTTTGGGCCACCCACCCACCCTTGGTGTAGCGCGAACCTCACCCCCCCTCTCACTGCTGTTAGAGAAGCATAGCTTCGTTTCTCTCTGCTTCAGGAGCAGAGTCGCACCCTTTTGGGGGTACAAGCCCGTGGAACCCTCGTAAATGAGTTATGGTCCCCGGCGTGGCTTTTCCCCCTCTAGGATTCTAGACTCTCCCCGAGACCCAAAACACCGCCGACATGAAAACTCGTCGCTACGACGAGGACCATGAAGGCTCACGGGAAAGAGCAACAAGCCCGATGGTCTTGTGAATAGCTCTTCTCCCGGAAATGTGTGCAGAAGACTGAAACAGCGGAGACGGCTTGGATGAATATGGCTGCTAAGTTTAATGTGCTAGTATTTTCTTTTGACTTTGTGACTGCATACCTCAATGCCCTGATTGATGAGGAGGTATGGGGCAAGGTACCGGAAGGCCTACCTGTTCAGAAGAGTGAAGCTCAAACTTAACACAAGTCCCCCTGGTGGGAGGCTTGCTTGTGTAACTGGCTGGGCGCAAAGGGAGGGACTTGAAACTTAAAATCAGTTTCTCGCATGAGCCAGAAACATCATTTTGGTGGTGGCAAGCTTCTTTACCCCATGTTGGAATTTTGTCTCCTTCTCCTCATCCCTAAAAAATCTATCTATCTCACCTTTCTGATTTAATAATGTTTAGATGAAAAAATTTTCAATTTTACCATGTCTTGTAAGTGTCTGAGTGGCACCTTTTCTCATTGTCTAGTGCTGCAATCCCTGTAGTCTTTGAACCTGGGTCTAGTCTTTATCATTGAGTATTTGCTCCTGTCATCTTTTCATGCATGTGTTAAATTTTTATTCATTTCAATATTCATTTTACTCTCACCCACATGTCTAACCTCTTGTATGTAGACTACTTAACACCTAGTCTCCTCTAAGTAAAACATCATTGGTTCTCTCCTTCATTTTACGACCCTTTGAGCCAATCCAACAAAAATCACTTTTGTTGCCCAAAAATTTCTCCTCCAAAAACTTTCCTTTCTTTGGTCTTAATTTCTTCAACCCACCACTCATTCATGAAAGAATTTGAAACTGAAGGTAATATTTCTTTATAAGTATATAATCTTTTAATAAAATACACATGATAATTTTGAATAAAAGATGATAAAGAAATAAGAGCAATACCTGAAGGCAGAACCAATCTGATAATTCTGGTAATAGTAAGGCTTGATAACAATGAAGATAAAAATAGCTTTGGATAATTTAAACAATATTCAGATAACTGTTGTAAAAACTGAATAGATTATCAGAAGATAATCACATTGTTAGCCTAATTTATTCATTGCTCTTATTGCTTAATTATAAAGAAATACTATACTTTAATACATGAAAGGATGTTGCTTCTTTGAGTAACAGCTAAATAAAGCAAATCACCTGAAGAGTCTATTGCAAAGTTGTCAGAATTGAGAATAGCTCAGCCAGTTGTTACTTTCTCTTTTTCTTTAAGAAAAAGGCATTTGAGGTTTATTCTATACTCACCGGCTATTGGTGGAAATATACGGTTGACGAGTTTGCGATCTGTAGACTTGTGCAAATGTGAACTAAAAGAGAATAAGGATGATTTTTCAGTAAGAGAAGAAGTAGAACTTAATCATTGATTTGTTCTCATTCTTGCTCCTATGATTCAATCAATCAAAACTCACTAAGAGCTCAATGAATGATCATGATCATCATTATTATCTTTGCTCATGATGTCAATGAAATCATTTCTTGATTCACAAGCTATAATCTTGTTTCTTTCTTGTTCATCTATTGAACAGCTTATTTCTGCAAATGATCACAATTGAATGATCAGCCGCCAGCGAGATGGTGATTATGTTTTTCAGGAAGTTTATCAAACATGTGATAAACTAACCTGATACTCTCCTCTTTTGAGGGCCAAGACCAGGAATCACATTCCAACAATTCATTATAATTCCATTATTGTCTTGATTCTGATAGATGAAAGTTCTACATACTCTTGATTTTTTATTTTGAAAAGTTGTATGATTCTACTTGAAAATAGGCAATGAAGTTAATGATTTTGAACTTTGATTTGCAAATTTGGCAGAGAGGCTCAAGCTCAATCTCAGTATAAGCATATTTTGTGCCTGCAAAATGAGAATTTCCCTTTTTTTTTAAAAAAAAAAAAGATATTGGCCTGGAGATACAAATAAAAAAATGGAAAAAGATCAACAAGATGGTAGAGAACAAGAAAAAGGCTCCAATGGAGTTTTGACAAAAATGGCATGGAAGCCACTCTAGAGGTGATAATACAAAAACAGGCCTCAAAAACCGGCCTGACTCACAGGAGCTTTGTGTAATAATATGTAAGCCTCTCTGACAAGACTGGGCTGCCGCCCAGACCTGCCCGCAAACAACTCTTTTCACAAGAGGATTAGTTAATCTTGGGTGAAGCTATGTGCTGCACAAAGCTTTATACGGCACCAAGCAAGCAGCCCGATGCTGGTGGATACACCTCAGAGCAGTCCTCAAATAACTTGGCTTTGAAGCAAGCCAATACAGCAATAGCCTCTGTCCAATGAAGCACAATGATGGCCAAGTAGATGTATGGATCCATGTCCATGACAGAATTGTTAGCAGATCATTGGTTGGCCTCCTGAATTCACTCAAAACAGGACTTGAAGGACTTCCCAAAATCAAATGGTCAGAGGGACTGGACACGATTGTGGGACTAGAGGTGAAGAGATCAGCACAAGGTCTCAGCATTTGACAACCAAAATTGATAAAGCAGATCCTCGATTCTCACTGGAATGCTAACATTACTCATAAAACACCTCTACCAACCAGCAAATCTGTGGGGATGGAAACTGCTGGGACATACATACCGCGGTGCACAGCTTCTTTGTGCCTGGATCTGCTGTGTGGGTGTACATACTCCACATTTGGAGCACTAGACTCACAAGAGGTGGACACGCCGGAGTCATCTCCCCAGCAGAGTCGAGTGCTCTACCAACTCGAGAGCGGATTCTTCCACCGCGCCTCTCGCCTCACAAAAACAAGACCCGGAACAATTCGCCACCCACTACATCGAGTACACCCGTCAACTTATCAACGAAATAATGTCTGATTCACAAACTCAATCCAACGCGGCACTTGGGCCCATTCCTAACTCATCCAAAGAAACACAGGGTCTCCGATATGGGGGTACGTAGCCGTACGCGTGTGCAAACCATCCAAGTGTCGCTCAATGTGAACGTTCATTCACTATAACTGACTCCACAATAATATCTCCAGATTTAGTGGTCCACGGCTTTATAAATTTGATTGGCAAGCACGATCCACACGGTGAAAGTGACAAGAATTCTCAGGACAGCTCTATCAAAGAATATCCATCTTCCGACGAGGACGATACTGACGAGGACTCTGACGAAGAAGATCTCTCTGACGACGAAGTTAGCACCGTGTTGTCAGGCGCCGCGTCTACTCAAGAAGATTTCTCTGCCGACGATGTGAGCGATGAGTGTTCTGGCGCATTCCCTACCGAAGAAGATATCGCTGCCACAAAAGCCAAGCCGGAAAGAGATGTCGCTGCCGTCCACAAAAAGTTACAAAAAGATCTGTTTGATTCCCTACAATCGAGTCTTCTGCCGCGACTAAGACAACAAATCACCTCTATGTCTCTATCACTAGACCCAACCAACTTACTCAAATCTCCAGACTTACATCTCAAGCTCATCTTAGACATCCAATCGGAATTCGAGCTCACTTGGGCTCAAATTGAATTTGCGGTTCGTACCATCGGCCCAACACTTTCCAAATCATTGCCAGAAGATGACCCGGATGACCCGCTTCACAAGGAATTTAAGAATTTCAGAACTGGCACCTTGAGACGTTGGCTTCACCTCAGGTTGACGAGACACGTCTTCAAATTTTTTAAAGAGGCCTATGCTTCTATTCAACAACTTCAACTCTCGCATGAAATGCCCGGTAACTCGAGTCCCCGAGCCTTTTCGAGTACACGGAAATCTCGATACGCTTCTTCTGTCCTAGAAGACATCGACGACAGTATCGAATGGCTTACGAAGTCCGAAATCTGTCTAGTTCAACTTGATTGGCCAAACAAAATACAGAACATCAGTCTCACACTGACAACCCTCCTGACCTTCATCATTGATGAAACAACTCGCTCCCAAAGGAAAAAGAAACGATCTAAGAGCAAGGCTCGCAGTGAATCAGCTATCCAGTTTGTTAAATCACTATTGCCGATTGCCAAATTGAGCAGACTGTTTTGCAATAAACAATTGGAATGGAGTGCAAACCACCGATCACTACCATTATCCACAGAGCTGAGCTCACAACAACTGAGAACTCTTGTATACTTGCCGGTACGGGCTGATGATTCTCTCGATCACTTGAGGGACCTCTTGAGAAAGGAGAACTGGGAGGACGAATCGATCGATTGTTCCGCATTAAGGGACGTTGTAAACGATATCCGACAAGCTTTTGAATATGCTTTGTTCCTCATACCGCTTCATTTCGTCCCCCTGATCCCAAACACCAACGGCTATCTATCCCAGGATTACTTCAGAAATTGGTTCACCACTTGGTCTACTCAATGGAACTTGGCCATGGTAAATGTTTCTCGTTCTATCCAGTTGCTCGAGAGATAATAAATACCTCATAGGTTTTTTTTTTTTTTGCTTTTTTTTTCTTCTTTGTCTTCCATCAGTCATCATTCTTTTAATAGTTTGGTAGTTCCAGTAGAAAACAAAACGCTTGAAGCATGACAAGATTTCTTCCCTTAAAAATCGATTGATTTCTCTGACATACGCCACTGTTCTACTGTAGACAGTCACCTTTCATTGATGAATTAAGTAGTGCATATCCAATGAGAAACACTTGAAAAATTGTTGTGATTATGAACAAAGACTATGTAGATGCCCTGCTTTTGTTGTTCCGATGCTTCAAGGTGGAAAGGTGGAACAGATCAAGAGAGAGAATAACAGGAAAAAGTAAGATAAATCAGGACCCTGGCAAGCGCTCCAAAATGTGGGTGATGTAGACCCAGATGAACAAAACCCCAACTTGACTTTCAACCATACATGTAATTGGGACCATTCCAACATGAGGACATGTACAAGGAAAATGTGCATCTTGTACATGGAGTCATTAGCCGTGAAGTTGCACCAGTGACCCTTGAGAAGCCAAAAACTAAAAAAAAAAAATGTATGAATCCGAAATTCATACATTTTTTTTTCTAGTTTTTGGCTTCTCATGGGTCACTGGTGCAACTTCACAACTAATGACTACATGTACAAGATGCACCTTTTCCTTGTACATGTCCTGATGTGAAAACCATCCCAACTTGATGTATTGTTGAGAGTCAAGTTGGATTTTTGTTCATCTGGGTCTACATCACCCACATATTTGGGGGGTTTCCAGGGTCCTGATAAATCGCAGTGACATATGCAACATGCAACCAACGTGACTGGAACCGGAACATGTTCCATAGCTTTTTGATTCGTGTTTATAACATACATGCCAGCTACATAGCCCTGTTCACATTGGTGACTGAATAACACATCCAACATTACATGTTTCAACTTGTCCAGAATTGGTCAAAGCAAGGACATCATGATGCCTAAATGTGTTGAAATGTGTGTTCAAGTTCCCAGCGTGAACAGTGGAGACTTAAGAGAGAGTAATTGGGATGGATTCTGGTAGAAGTGGGTTGGAGGAGGCATACATAGTCTGCTCTGGTTGGCTGAGCCACAGCCAATCCCAACCAGGTGACCTAGGTCACAGGCGTATGAACCGAGCAACTGGACTTGAGAAGTTTGATTTCAATGATTTGTAAATTGTGTGGCCCACTTGGTTGATTATTACATTTTGATTCTCCCTCACCACTCACATTAATATTGCTCTATTTGACTGTGTTCATGTGCTAAATTTTTTAAAGGCTCGAACACCATTAATATGCTTTTTTTTGACAGGCTTCACCAGACGGAGATTTGTGTTATAAGGGTGTGACTGACCAGTCTGGGCAGGCTGAGCGCACGGTTTGGGCAGCCCACATTTGGGATTGACCAGGGTCGACTCCTTGGTAGATTTTACCGATCCATGAGAGATTTGGAGATGATTAGCAAATTGTAACTTGGATCTATTTGTATCTTTCATCATTTCAAAACCCTCGAGTCCAGAAATGAATGAATTAAAAATAAAGATTTTGATTGTCATAAAAGTAGCAGTAGTAGGTGTGAATTTATTGAAGTTTTACAAGTAAGTTGAGTTTAAAAGGCAAGCTAGAATCAGTGACGGTTATTTGGATCCCATCGGATTCTGGAGTAAGATGATCAGGAAACAGATCGATCAATTTCTTTGTCAGGTTATCTTCGGTCGACTTTCTTAGTTCTGGTGGACCTTGAAAGAAGAGCGGTCCTTTGGGAGTCGATAATGAGGGGTGTTTGATTTGACTTTTTTTTTATGAACACGATACCAAACCAAACAAGGACTTAGTTTGATGAATGACCACCGATAATTGAGGGTTTCCAGGAAACAGCAAAAGAAAGCTCACAAGTCGGGTCTTTCGATCAAATAATCGACCAACTGTTGTAAGAACCAATCCTTACTGACCGAGATCTGTGCTGACTCGCCCCCACAAACAGGACAATCGGGCTTCTTCTCGTGTTGGAAGCTATAAGCATAAAGCGAATTGGTTTCGTTGTACATCATTTACCCCAAAACCCCGAAGAACAAAGCAAATTTTTTTATTCAGCAATCAGAATCGATCTCCTGGCCCGTTTATTGTATATAGATGATGAATCTGTAAGATAGATTGAAATCAAAATCTTACATGTAGTTTTGGAGATAAGGAGCACAGGTCGTAGCGATCTTAAAAGCTTTGTTACAACAACTCCCTAATCACGATGCCAACATGACCCGGAAACCAGATCAGCGACGATAATAAACGGGGGGAAGGGTGATTCCGAGGGTTATGCAGTGTATCAGCTTACCAGCAATGATAGCGTTAGTACTGGCGATAGCCGGGATGATATTTTTGATGACGCCTTGAGTGAGACTCCAAGTGACCCCACTGATATCATGCTCTTTTGCGCGCACCGAAGCTTGTTCGAAGAGCCATTGAATATGATCTGGGTTATCGTTATTCAACTCTTTATCTTTGGGTTGTAAGAAGGGGAAAGGGTGTATGATTAAAGGTCAGAGGAATGCGGGTGCCGAACACAAGGGACTGTAGGAAATGACTGAACCTTTGAAGACCCGAGGCCATTCTAAAACACTAGCCCACTCGATACAATGTTCAGGCAATCGAGGAGTGTTAGCGATCGTGCAGATAGGAAAGACTGTTTGCGGGGTCAGCATGTCCAAAGAACACTCGTAGCAGGAAGTGATCGTAGGCAAAATCACTCTGGATTGGCCCTTGAAGCCTATGTCATCGCCCTCGAGCCTCGATCAGCCATGCTTTCTTCTTCTACCCTCTTCGAAAGGAAAGACGCATAAACATGCCTTCGGTGCCGCCATCAATCAATGGCTTCAAGCTCTCCGGGTTCTCCGGATCGACGAGGTTCACCAGCGTAGCATTGATCCAGCGTCGCGCTTCGACAGAATCTAGGCCACATACTACCAAGTTGAACATCATATAAAATGCATCGTCCTTGTCTTGGATCTTGCAGTAATGCCTAGGAATGTGTGTACATAAATGATGTTAGTCCGATTAGCAGAGACCCAAATAATCAATGAACAAAGGGCGCTGGTAACTCTTCCACTTACGGCGTTACTTTCACTTGGGGTACTCGTGCCATTATGAATTTCGCCGCTACTTCAGCTTTGGGCTGGCCAATATCCTTTTCACTGTTTGTTCAAAAAATGGATATCAGCTTGACGCGGCAGAACTGAAAGAAAAAAATGAGTGCAAAGGGAATATGCACTAACCGAAACAGGAACTGTCGATTCAAGTTACTGATGTCGATAGTATCCATGTCGATGACATGAATGTCTGCGAACCCGAGCAGAGCTAAATTCTGTAGGATTTCGCCTGTCAAGTAACCGATCGAGAAGAAAGATAAGATGAGAGTTGAATAGAAGATGAGATCGGGAATGAGATGAGATGAAGTGAGACTAACAGCCTAGTCCACCAGCTCCAATGACAAGGATCTTACAAGTCTTCCGCATGAGATCTTTGGGCTAAATCGTGTTTGATAAAAATAAAAATAAATAATAAATAAAAAAAGAGAAAACAGCTGATCAGATACGATATTTTTGTCTTCTCTTAACTAAGAAGAATAAATGCACATACCGCGGCACCGGTCACGAAGGAAGAATTGGCCAGTGGACCGGTACGATCGAGGAGCTGATCAACATGATAATAATGTTCATCGAGCTCTTTATCATAAGGAGGCGGCGGGGGAGGCTTTGGTTTCCGGGCTTCTTCTCGTGCTAGTCGTTCTTGTTCTTGTTTCTGTTTTTGAAGGATTTGATTTTGACGTTGCCTTTCTAGTTCTTGTTGTTGTTTCTGTTGTTGTTTGAGTTGATTTTGACGTTGCCTCTCTTGTTTTTCTAGTTGTTGTTTTCGTTGTCTCTCTTCTTTTTCTTGCTGTTGTTTGATTTGATTTTGATGCTGCTTCTCTTGTCTCTCTAGTTGTTGTTTTCGTTGTCTCTCTTCCTTTTCTTGCTGTTGTTTGAGTTGATTTTGACGTTGCCTCTCTTGTTTCTCTAGTTTTTGTTGCTCTTGTCTCTCTTGTTGTTTTCGTTCTCTCTCTTCTTTTTGCTGCTGTTGTTTTAATTCGTTTTGACGTTTCCTCTCTTGTTTAGCTAGTTGTTCTTGATGTTGTTTCTCTTGGTGCTTTCGTTGTCTCTCTTCTTTCTCTTGCTGTTTTTTGAGTTGATTTTGTTGTTGTATCTCGTGGTTGTATCTTCTCTGCTCCTCGTGGTGTCGTTGTGGCCTGTGACGTTCATGGGGTGCTGGCAGAGATTCTTGATATCTTCGTCTTCTTTCTTCGCTCCTTCGTTGGTTCTCTAAGTGTTGTTCGCGTGTTAACTGGGGTGGTGGTGGCCATCGATTTGGATATGGGTTTGGGTTGCTGTTTTGGGTGGGGTAGTATGGGTATTGTGGATGGTTTCCAGGCTGTCTTCCCGTCATCGTTGTGATTGATTGTGGTTGATATTTTGCTACTAGGATTAGGTGCTGGTGGGGTTTAGGTCCGTCGGCGCAAGCCCCCCGAATGCGGTGCGCCTTTGCCTGGCGCAGCAGTGGCCGCGCACCCTGGGCCACACAGGGCCGCACGAGATAAAACAGCTCACCATCAATTTCAACCTCATCACCTAGTCAAGGAAGTTTCAGTTGACACTTGTAACAATAGTCCTATGAGTTGCAAACCTAGACAATAATAATGTGGGATTGATGGCCCAGTGCAAGTAACATATCTTGGCAGCTGTAAACAATGAACCCATGAATGCACCGACAGAAAGAGACCGTCGTAGAGCTTGATGTTGGTTAAACAAATGGTTTGGAAACCCATGCCTTTTGTTGAGTTTTCCCCTTCTCTGCCTACTCTTCCCCAAATCACTTCTTCTTTTTGATCACCACTTTTTCTACCTTTTTCCTTTCTTAAATCATCTTATCCTAGACTGAACTATAGTCAATCATAGCTGTTTTTTGTGTTGAATCTTATGCTCACTCGTAGTCTAATTAGAACTCCTTATGGCAATTTTCATCTAACAGCTCTAGTCTTATTGATTGATTTCTTTCATTTTCTAGCTCATTATTTGATTCATTAAAACCTGATCATCTGGAATTAACAACTCTATTCATTTGTGATGGAGAGTATGTTTTGTCATGATTAATTTTACCAGCTTGTCTAAAAGAGACTGAGAAGACTTGTCCGGTTACTTCTTCCATAAACTCATATTTTTCCTTCTCTCAGTTTTTATTCAAAATCATCTTTTATTCAATTTCTCTCAACCACATTTTTAACCTTTTGTATTTGGTCTATTTAAAACAGGCTAGCTACAAGAAATAAAATTCATTGGTTCTTTCACTCATTTTCTGGGAACCTCTCCCAAAAAAGGCTTTCAACCTTTTTTCGTGCCATTTCCTCAAAAGTCCTCAACTTTGTCCGGTTCAGAGTCCAAAAATTCAACACCTTTTCTCTGTCCCTGTAATTTTTCTTTTCTTTCAAGCTAAGATCCACCCAGTGACTTACCAATCACTCCTTTGTTGAGCCCTTCCAGTCCAAACAAAACAAAACCAGGAAATGCAGTTCTCTCAGACAAAAGCTCCCTGCTAGCTGATTTTGTATTTATAATGTATATGTTATTGATACAAAAATTTCAAAGCCAATATATCATGCAACTATTGTACTTTCTGATAGTCATGTAAATCTTAATTTTGATGCAGGTCCCACTGGTTCACTTAGTACCTGTGGGAACATGCAGTACATTGGTTGCCCAGATGAAGATGTGGTCTTTGAATCCTAGCAGACTGAAGGGACTCTTGAAACTCACATGCTATCCATACTGGATTTGAACACCTTATTTTTATTATATTGTAACTCAGGGATAGCTGTGATAGATCATTGTTAGCATTATTCTATTATGATTTACTAACATGTGCACTTCAACCTTAGATGTGTTGTGACATGGTCAAGGTGCTTGACTGACAAACAAAAGTGTAGATAATTTACATATCTCAATTTCATCAACAGTGCAATGAAAATCATCCATTCTTGAGCTCTCACCTCAAGAGCATATACCAACGCTTGCAAGGGTAGACAAGTGCTTTGAAACATTCAATTGACTTGACTGGAACATACTTAAAGGGGTGACATGTTACCAATGAAAGTTTGTTGTGCAAAAAATAATTTCCATGTTCCACAAATTAGGTCCAAATATATATTATTATCACACATTTCCTTTTCTCATTCCAAAAGCCTTGCAAACTTGGAGCTTGGCTGTGGTTCAACTTGTCCTCTGGAATATAAACATGAGTGCCAGTACGATTGGGGTCCAGAGACTTCCATTTGAAAACACGGTCCAATCTTGACAAACAGGGGACATCTTCACTAGCCATTTTTCAATTGCCAGCTTGGAACCGAGAAATATCAGCCATGATGTTATCAAGATGAGGAAAAAATGCAGATTTAAAAGTACCAAACAATTGGTCCATGACATCATCAACAGTATGAGTGGGATCAGAAGGGATCATATGAGAGGAGATGAACTCTAAGCTGTGGTTGATTTCTTTGATTAGATGGCTGGTGCGTTCATTACGCCAGTGGTCGTGAGGTATCTCTTGAAGGTCAGCAGCATTTGTCACATAGGACGTGATCCAGGCTAGATGGAACGAGATGCTATTTGAAAGACCACTGAAAAATTGCAGCTCGGCTGTACTCATCTCGTCACTGAATTTAAAGAGTAATGTAGAACCGATTTTTTTGAAAAAGATTCTGCCGAGTCTGAGGAGTATGATGGTTTGTTTCAAGCGTTGAAGATGACGGGGTATGGGGCTGATGGAATTTGGCTCAGTGTTGAAGGGGTGTCGGATTTTTAGGCGGTGGATTGAGTCGAGAACTTGGCGAATGTAGGTGCCCAAAAGGTTCTCACTTTCAGTCCAGATGGATTGGAGGATACCAAAGTCAGACCGGCGGATGTTTTTGAGAATCCTGGCAATGTTCACTTGGAACTGGCTTAAAATCCTCATAGGCGGCAGTCGGGGTTGTCTGCCGGATGGCTCCGGTGGTTTGTGATCAGAGTAGTAATAATCCCCCACAGAAATAAAGCCGGAAAGGTGATTGAATAAGTGACCGAGATCGTCTTCTATGAGCTCGGTAATCTTCTTCTGCAAGTGTTGGCATCTGAACTGCTTCAAATCTACATAATTTTGCTGAGTCAATCGATAAATTTGGTGATTAAAGTAGTTAGGAGGAGTGACCGACGACCTAAGTTTATACAAGACACTACTGAGCCTATGAACGATTTCCCAGGCATCGTTGAGCTTTGACTTCGGAAACATCGATTCTTTGGGAGGTAAGTCTAAAACCTTGAGCAATTCAACGACCAGGTCACGAATCGCAGGTAGTAGAGTGGCTTCAACTTTATTCAAGTTGACTTGTCGGGTCTCTAGATCTTTCTCAGGTGATACTTTTGGCTCCTGTTTGGAGCTGTATTCATCGCCCAAGTAGTGACAGCATATCCTCGATAACCTTCCGAGCGCTTCGGCGAGAGCTGCACATTGAGAAAAAAAAAAGAGAAGAAGGAAGGCAGCAAAGAAAGAATAATAAGAGCAGAAGGATTATTTAGCTTTTTTGAGTCACACAGGAGGATTTTAGTCCTTGAGGCCAAGATAGGTTCAACATCTAGAGAAAAAGAGATACTTACCAGTGGCGTAGTGATGGGCCGACATGTCTAGGTTGAGGGTGTGAGATTGGTATGTGTAGACTGATGTCGGGGATTGCAAGATATTTATTATACGCGTTGTGGAAGAGAGCTGCAGAGGACTGAGCACTCAGGAGGAGTGTTACATACCCAATATTGATGTTGACCAGCCCAATCCGGTGGGATTACGTTTAAGGGGTTAAGCCCGACCAGTGCTTGACGGAGTGCCATTTCCAAAAAAAACTCAAGCGGTCTCCTACCATAGATCACCGACCCCGGCGCGTACTGCACCAACCTCGACGGTGACCGACTGGAAGCAACTTCGAATCATTCTTGAACGCGTCCATGGATCCGAGTAACACATCAGGAGAAGAGAAACATTGGCCACAAGCTGGTACGTTCTAGATCATCAATACATACTATCAGAAACATTTACTAAATCTGCCCAAAACCCCTGAAGATTTGGTCGTTGAAAAGTTCAAAAGTCTTGTCAAACAGTTGGGAGTTGAACCAATCAACAATGAAGATCCTCACTCGAGCGTTATTCAAGACAATCTTACGATCGATGTAGTGGACGCGAAAAAAGATCTCTTCAGAAAGCTACACTCAAATCTTATACCGCAACTAAGACGCCAAATGACGGATATTTTGCCACCATTGGATCCGATTCACCTCATAGAAGATCCAAGCGCACAACTCGAGATCATCTTGGGAATCCAATCCGAGCTTGAGCGGACTTTAAATCAAATTCAATCCACAGTTGCTACGCTCTGTCCACGACAACTACCATATACATGCCGAAACAATGACCAACATCGCAAAGAAATCAAATCTTTCCGAGTAGAAGGCTTGTATAATCGGATCATGGAAGACTTGCTGCCAGACGTCTTGTGGTTTTGTGACGGATCTGGGGATCTTATTCGAAAAATGAAACTCACTTCAAAGAAATTCACCGGACACCCTGACGTGACTTCCATAAGAAAAATGATCCTCGATCAAGCATCTTTATTTTTTGAGGCTGTGGATTTGACGAACGTATGGTTAGAAGGATCCGAGTTTGATCTTGTACAATACGATTGGCCGAAGGAGATACGCGGCATTAATGAGGAACTGGAAAGGCTCTTGAGTCTGATCAACGGAACGGCACACTTGGAACAAAGAAATAGAATGTCTGGACCGCTCAGCGATCCGGCTGTCCAGCTATCCAAATCGCTATTACCTATATTCAAACTGTCCAGACTCTTCCTCAACAAATTATCGCATCGAAGATTGAACAGAAAACGCCTACCATTGTTCACAGAAATGCGTTCCGATCAGCTGCAGATTCTAGGTGACCTGGCTGCAAACGTCGGCTTGGAGTTTTACGAGGTTTTGGAGGTATTGAAAGTGGTCGATCGACCTGGCGACTTTTTCGCTCGTGTTAACTGCACTCGAATAGCCACAAAACTCGAAGATGAATTTGAATCAGCTTTGTTCCTTATACCGATTTATTTCCTTCCTCTGTTCCCGGACACCGAGGGTTTTCCAATCCAAAACCACTTCAAGGCTTGGTTTGTCACATGGTACACTCAGTTCAGCTTGGCCATTCAAAACTTTCTAGAAGCTGCCGAATCATTTGACGACGGTGCATTATAGTATTTACGTTATCCTCGTCTCTCTAGCGATCTCGATTTCTTGATTACTTAAAAATTCTAGAATAACCAAATCCTGTCAACTTTCGTTTTCCTCATCAATGTTCTGCTTTAAATTTCGTAGAGATATCTGCAGTACCTTATCCATGGCAATGCATCGCCGCAAAGACATTGACAATTATCTCAGTTTAATGAGAAAGAAATCGAAAGCTTTACACCTCAAGCTTGTCTTGGGGATCCAAGTAGAACTCTGATGACCAGCACTTCAACCACATCAAATCCTACAGACTGCGCCGCCTGGAATGTTTGATTCAATCGGAGTTGTTAGCCCAGATCAGCAACATGTATAGCTCGTCCTGCGATCGTACTGAATAAATCAGGTCTTTGAAAGAAGGCTCCAATCGCTACAGAGCATACGCGGTCGAACACACTCGCGTCGCCATTAGATTGATCAATTCACTGATGCACTGGCTACAATGCTCTGAATTTCAAATTGTTTAATGCCATTGGCCATAGAAAGAATGTATTATGGGGACACTCTGGACTCTCTCTTGTGCCTGACCATTGAAATACCATTTGTGAAAGAAGAAAATCGACTGAAGAGCCACCTCAGCGAAACATTCATCCTGCACTTGGCTAAATTTCTGATAGCGATGGCAAAACTTTCCAGACTGTTTTTGATCAAATTCTCCAGGAGGAAGAAACAAAATTAGCTTCCTGTGACGTGTTCCTCTCAACTGGCATCTATCAAATCATCAAACCTGATTTGCATCTACTTCAGCATCCTGTGAGACGAGCTGATACATCTGAAGAAGCTTTCAATCTTCAGAAGTGCACTCGGCTAGCTGAAAAGCTTCAAACTCGTTTGGATTCCTCAGTGCTTCTTGCCCTTGAATATCTTTTTCCTTTGATCCATGAGCAAAAAACATGGCTGGTAAAAGCACCAACATGGGAAATATCAATTGTGATAATGTGCTTCCTGAAGTTCCAGTTCCCCCGCCCTGAACACCTGTGATTGCTATGTTTGGTTTTTTTTTTCAGCTTACCTTGGTGAATTTTTACAAGATTTCATATCATTTTTGATTCCTTTAATGTACTTGAAGACAAAAAAGGTGTGATTCAATCTGGATATAGTATCACATCAATTCCAACCTAATCTTTTCACATCTTGAAAGTCATCTTTTTTAACGGCATTTTTCTTTCAATTCCCCAATTCAAAACCTGAGATTAAAATGTTTTAATGGGAAGCTCATTTAGCATCTTATATTGAATATTGTCACAGGTTGGTTCTAATGATCATCTAGAAGCACAGAATATTCTGTTTCTTTCTTGGATTTGCTTAGGCTGCAAAAATGTTATTGGTTGAAAAGAGTTTATTGTTTTAGATCAAATTGATTATATTTGAGGAGCCCTGCATGTACGATGTTCTTGCTGCATACTACATACTCAGGAATTTCATTGTCAACCATATGTAGAAAAGATAACATTTTAAAAATTCAACATGGTGTTCAATTTGCCTGATGACAAAATACATTCACCTACGTAGACAAACACAATCTTTTCAAACAGTCTCAGTTTTCTACTCATTCCTAAAATTGCTAGGTCCCTGGTTTAATGTCACAGTGGAACATTGTCCTTATTTTGACATTTTGATCAGTATACTAGCCTACATGTACAATGCAGGTTATAATAACACATACCTTGAAATCAAACACAACAGTTTTCTGAACTGGGTATCCAATTGGTTTGGATGAGATGGAATTAAACTGGAAGACCCATGCACAATCTATGGACAAGTAACTACTTTGTTCAAAATATACTTCTGGTGAATGGAACTTGACCAATTTTTTTCTCTGAACTGTTTTCACATCTGGACTATTCTCTTTTGAGCCAAGCTTCAAAAGTCATGGGGCTAATAACTGATGATCGATCTATGACGTACTGAGCGCCAAGCCTGCCGCGCCGCGCAGCTCACAGCAGTCCTCGGCAGTCTTTGTGGCTGATCCCAGCGCATACATCAGTGGGCGCGTGATCTCTGCCGAGACTGACTGAGGAAATCTTTTTGTTGACTCTGCCAGCAAAGACTAGGATACATCCATGGATTCAAAGAAGAACATGTCAGAGGAAAAGAAACACTGGCCACAAGGCGGTAAGTTCCAAGCAAAGCAGCACTTCTTATCACCCCAACCGATAACTCACGATGTAAAAACTTCTGTAGATTTGGTCATTGAAAGGTTCCAAAGTCTCACCAATAAGTATCAATCACCACGCAATGAGGATTCTTCCCCCAGGGGCCGGGCTATGCAAGAAGATTCTACGATCGATCATGTAAACATGAAAAAAGATCTCTTGACCAAGCTACGCTCAAATCTTCTACCGGAACTAGGACGCCAAATTACAGACCTTGTGTCGCCATTAGATCCAACTTGCTTGAAGGAAGATCCAGGTTTACAGCTCGAGATCATCTTGGCGGTCCAATCAGAGCTCGAGGGGACTTTAAGTCAAATTCAATCCGCAATTCTTACGCTCTGCTCGGAACCACTAACATCTGAATCGATCCGGAACAATGATCAGCATCGTAAAGAGCTCAAATCGTTCCGAGCAACCGGCTTGCACTATCGGATCACGGAAGAGTTGCTACCAGACGTCATGTACATTTTTGACGAATCCGAGGAACTCATTCTACAAATGAAACTCTCGGCAAAGAGGGACCCGCAACAACCTGACATAGCTTACACAAGGAGCCAAATAATCGAATACGAGTCTTTCTCTTTGGAGGGAATCCGGTCGTCGATCCTGTGGTTAGAGGGATCTGAGTTTGATCTTGTGCAATATCATTGGCCGAAGGAGACACGTGGTATCGATAAGCAACTGGAAGCGCTCTTGAGCCTGATCAATGGAACGGCACACTTGAAAGAAGGCAGTAGAATGTCTGGACCCCTCAGTGATCCGGCTGTCCGGCTGTCTAAATCGCTCTTACCGATCATCAAACTGTCCAGACTATTCCTCGACAAATTGTCAAATCGAGGAATGAACCGAAAACGCCTGCCCTTACATACAGAAATGCGTTCCGACCAGCTGGCAACTCTATATGAACTGGCTGGAAGAGTTGGTTGCGAGATTTCTGATGTTTTAAGGGTATTGAGAACCGTCGATAGACCCGGCGACCATTTCGTTCGTCCTGCTTGCACTCCAATAACCACGGCACTCGAAGGTCATTTTGAATCGGCTTTACTCCTTATACCCCTTTATTTCCTTCCTCTAGTCCCAGACACCGATGGTTTTCCAATCCAAACCCACTTCAAGGCTTGGTTTGTCACATGGTACACTCAGTTCAGCTTGGCCATTCAGAACTTTATAGATGCTGCCGGATTGTTCGATGATGGCGCATTGTAGTATTTATATTGTCCTTGTCTCTCTAGTGATTTTCATTTCTTGATTGCTTCACAATTCTAGAAAAACTTAATCATGTCGACTTTTGTTTTCCTCATCAGTGTTTTGTTTTAAGTTCTGTAGAAATCTCTGCAGTGTGTCCTCCATGGCACTGCTTCGCCGAAAACGCAAAGACAATTGATGGAAACCTTCTTGGTTTAATGACAGAGAAATCGAAAGTTAAACACCTCAAGCTAGTCCTGGGGATCCAATTAGCAGAACGCGTTTTCGTGTTGGTTGTAATCAAATATGTATATCTTATCCCTGTAATCAGTCGAGACTAACTCCCATTCTTCTACTGAGCCAGAATGCACACCTAGATTCTGGAATTCCCCTACAGAGCCCTACGTGCCTCTATTCTAGACTCATCATCTGACAAACAGTGAAGAGTTGACCCAACCAACACGTGAAACTCGCATAACAGGTCATTTTCATGAATAACATTTGTCGAGAGCATGGAGGAAAGCTTTTGCAGAATGAATACGACGTCGGTTGGGACGGAAGGAGACATCAACGCTATTCTATCCAAGCAGGTCGGGTATCGGAGGTACCCTTATATGCTAAGCTTGGGGGCTAAGACGATGGGGAGATGGAAAGAGAGGAAGAAACCACGGGAGTTGCTTCCACTCCAGCTGTGGAAGTTTTTAACCTCAATTGCAGGTGTCGCAGGCTGGTGGTTTTGAGAATGCATGTCAGCTTCTAAATGCTTATCGGATTGCGCGGTAGAAGAGACTTACTAATATATTCTTTTTGGTTGACGGCATTGTAGGGACAAGTCCAATAGTCATCTGTAAGGTCTTGTACCCCTACAATACAAGTAAAAGTAATCAGCATTTCGAAGGTGTCTTCCGCGAAACCAATGATCATGGAGACTCACGAATGTATCCATTTCTGCGTGAATATCCCCATGCGTCCACGCCTGATGTGGCTTTAGGATCAGGATTTCCTTCTGGGTTGCATCCGTCGAAGTGAAGCTGTGACCCTGGTCTCAGTCAACACGTCAACACAAGCCCGTGTGGGAGAAAGTAAAGTTGTATCATTAATCTTCTGACATCATCATATACTCCGTACAATCAAAGGAAGCTCACATTGTCTGTTTCCAGGGAGATTACCACAGGACTTGTATTCGCATGCGTGCCGTGTTGCGTCATTCTTGGTGTTACATTCTGAGGTGATTCCAGTTTTTCAGAGTCAGGACTTGTTGAAACACTGGTAGAGTTTTTAGGATTTGAGACATACGAAAGTGGGTTTCATCATTGGGAATCCGACCGAACGAGCCATCGCATGCCACGGAACCCGCGGATACCTGCCCCGAGTGGAAGATGATGCTAAGAGCTATGAGCGTAAATTTCAGGTATCCTCTGGGGAACATGTTTGTCAGGATATTTGGATAAGGTGACACTAAGTTTTCTGCTGGGAGTTCTCGACAAATAGGTCGGCTGCATGGGAAAGCAGTGTGTCCATTTTATATGCCTCCCGATTGCAATGGTGACGGCTTCTCTGGTTGCTGAGCCACATGAAATATGAAGCCATCGATCTTATACAGTCCGGCTGAACCTCGAAGCCGACTACAATACATGGAGCGGTGACGGAGCACAGCAGGAGTTATAGCGTGTCCATGGGGGACTGGACACGCTAGGCGAAATCCCTGCCGCCTCAAGGCGCCTTCTGAATAGAAGACTTGGTAGGCTACCCATGTAAGCAGGAGTGGCTTGAGCCGGCGGTGCCAGACTTCGTGTAGTCCTCTCCCCTCACTCCCCTCCTCAATCCTTGACTCGACTCCCTCTATTCGTCTCCCCGAGACTCCCACGCTCCCGGTACATACGCATGTCCTGAATGGACAAGAGGAATATTGCAATGGCGCCAGCGTCCCTCGTTGCCGAGCCTCATGAGATAAGTATGAAGCCATCGAGCCATGGAATACGGTCTGGTTCCAGCCACTCCTCTGTATTCGGAGGGGGGACGCTGTCCCGCAGGGACCCTCCGAAGGAGTCGTATTCGGAGGGACTTGATTAAGTTATTTCCAGCCACCTTTACAACAAGGCTTCACTTCCGCAATGGCGTGGCCATGTATCAAGTGAGTGTAGAGCGTGGAGTGCGGCACTCACTGGTGCTACATTACTCATTCAGGCACTGAAGTCTAGTCCCAGACACCGATGGTTTCCCAATCCAAAAACACTTCAAGGCTTGGTTTGTCACATGGTACACTCAGTTCAGCTTGGCCATTCAGAACTTCATAGATGCTGGCGGATTGTTCGATGATGGCGCCTTGTACAGTATTTATGTATATTGTCCTTGTCTCTCTAGTGATTTTCATCTCTTGATTGCTTCACAATTCTAGAAAAACGTAATCATGTCGACTTTTGTTTTCCTCATCAGTATTTTGTTTTAAACTCTGTAGAGATCTCTGCAGTGTGTCATCCATGGCACTGCTTCGCCGAAAACGCAAAGACAATTGATGGAAGCCTTCTTGGTTTAATGAGAAAGAAATTGAACGTTTAACACCTCAAGCTAGTCTTAGGGATCCAGTTAGCAAAACGCGTTTTCGCTTGTATCATCGACCGAACATCGGCAGAGATTGACCTAATTCAAACTGATGAGCAGCACCTCAATGAAGTTCCGACAGAAGACTTCAATTGCTACAGAACACACGCGGTCGAACATACACGCGTTGCCATTAGATTGAACAATTCACTGATGCACTGGTCACAATGCTCTCAATTTCAAAATTTCCCATTGTGCTTGGCTCTCTTGAAAGAAGAAGAATGACTGAACAGCCATTCCAGTGAAGCGATCATCCAACTGGCCAACTTTCTGACACCAATCGTAAAAATTTCCAGACTGTTGTGAATCCAATTAATCCGGGGAAGGAAACAAAAGGAGCCTCTGATGTATCCAAAATGTGTTCCTCTCAGCTGGCATCTATGTTCTATCGAAGCATTGGCTTCAGGCGTTGCTCGTGATATACATCAGCTACGGTATAGCTTGAGACTAGTCGATCCCTTCTCCCTCCAAGAGTACCTGGGACATTCGACAAAAGTAACCAGCACCTCAAAGAGTTGAAAAATTACAGGCTTTCCGACCTGGATGGCACTTTCGATCCAATGATTTTTCGTCTATCGGTTGATCGTTCTACGTCTCCATGCTGCGTATTCACCAATTGGGTCTCTCAACACAAGACAGGGAGGATTTACGTCCTGTCCCAAGCAAACAAGAGCGCTATTCGTTGTATGATTGCAAAGTTTCGATTGATTCTGCCATGATTTGGTTAAAAGGGTCCGAGTGGGATACTATCGTAGATGGTTGGCGATTTCCAGAGCGCGGTATCGACAAAAGACTGGATCGCCTGATACGTTGGATCAATTTGACAACCGATAAGGCCACCACACCGCTGAAGGAACTGAAAATCCAGCTTGCCAAGCTGTTGATACTGAATTATATGTCTTTATTATCTACTCTAGTGTGACAGTTTGCACCAATGAAGAAAGATTGCTGGTAAGAAAATTCATCAATCTGATTTGGTGGAATGCTCTTAGTGTTCAAGGTGTAAAATTATGAAGAGTCAATATTACAATTGTAGCAGCTGAGTGATGCAAATGAATTGTATATCTTGGACAGTATAAATAAGAATGGCTTGTTCAGATATAGAAAGATGGGTTATCCTAAAAGAGAAGGAATCAAGTGTACCATTTCAACTTGATTTTTTTTTCTAAATTGGTCAATGTTACCAATGCCAGCCTACAGAATCCATATGTGAAAAATTTAGAAAATAAAACAGCATTAAAACAAGGAACGTCAGGTCATCTCCCAGAAATTGGCCAAATTTGTGCAACAGATTTCGCAAAAAATGAGGCACTTATAAGAGCACAACAATGTAGACATTTCATTCAATAACTAAATGTGCCCTCAGGTAATATTGACATGGAGTGCTAGCAGTTTCCAAGCAGTAGAAATGAAATTCCAGTAACTAATTGTGCCCATAAAACCAGGAAATACCAAGTGAAATCTCATAATAAAAAGGGGACCTTTTCCATTTTGGATGTCATTATTACTTGCCATCAAATGACAATGGAGTTTTCCAGGTGGAAGATGGTCTCAAATAATAATCCATATACATGACCCAATCATCCCAAATACGGTAAAGACTAGACCCCATGATCATACATGCTGGAAATGACTACTGCTGTCCTTTTTGTTTCTCAGTGTGCATGGTAAATGGTCTTTTTGGTGCAATGGGCCTAATCACAGGAGGCTTCATTGCACAGTTGATGGATTTTTTTTACTGAATTCAAACTGAATAATTGGTTCACCTAGAGTACTAAATCTACTGATGAACTGCCATTGTATGGCTTTTGTTAAGTTCGTGCCAGTCGCAGTTTTTTGTCCCCTTTTCAGGCACCACTCGCGAGGAGGAGGAGGTGCTTGGTCCGGGATCGGGGATCGGGTTAGGTGCTCCCGCCCCGAATTCGGGGGAACTGGTGATCAATCAGCTGTGAACGAAAGGTGTTGCTGTGATCGAAGAAAAACATTAAGAAAACCATGTCTCACTCAACGACAACTAACGAAGACGTCGACTCAGTCCATTCAAATGCATCGAGGGCAGCTCAGCAAAAAGGTGGTATGTTTGAGTCAGCTTTTTCTTCAAGTCTCTATATCCAAGTTTTCCAAGCGCTGACTTGGCAAAAATCTCTCTAGATTTGGTCATCGATAGCTTCCAAGATCTCTACAGTCAAACTACCGGCCCCGACAACTCTCTCATGACGCGCTCTTGCTGCACGTTTACTCTAGAAACAGGCCACATCAAAGAAATCAAATCGAGCTTAAATCGTTTGCACTCAAAGCCTTCTACCTCAACTTCGAAACCAATCCACCGCTATCTCACTCTTACTAGACCCATCCGACTTGAGGAAAGATCCATGCTTGAAACTCGAGTTCATCCTCAAGATGCAGTCATCACTTAGCGATACGGTGGAAGAAATCCTATCTGCGCTGGATTGTATCTTCCCTGAACAAGTAATATTACCCAACCAAATGAATGATCAGCACCTCAAGGAAATTAAAAACTATAGACTCTACGGTCTACATAGTTGTATCGAAGAGTTGCTGAGCGATATCGGTTATTTCTGTCATTTCTGTATTCAGTTAATTTTAGAACTAGGGTACTCGACGACCAAAGCTGCTACTAATGGAGTTGAATGGCCTAAACAGAGATTACTCGACTCAATGTCTGATTGCGAAAGTTTATTCAAGTCGGCAAACATGTGGTTAGAAGGATCTGAATGGGAAACCGTTCTGCTTGGTTGGGCGTTATACATTGATGGTCTCGACGATGTTCTAAAATTGGTTGTACTGCAAACTAATCCAACAGACAACTTGGAAGAAAAACTTGGCCTACCACGGGTTCTCGAACGGAATCTCCCGCTCATTAGACTCTTGATACCAATTGTAAAACTATCAAGAGTATTCTTTCGAAGATTCTTCAAATTCGGATCGCACGGCCAGCCGCTCCCACCCTTCACGGAGATGTGTTCCCGCCAGCTTCATAGTTTACACAGTTTGCCCGTATCCGTTGCCGACAGACTCAACATCCTCCACACTATGTTGACCAACTCTAGCATATACGGCGAAGATTTCATCGAGAGTTTTGTGGAAAGGGTTCGAAGTCTTTTAGGTCTATTTCAATCTTCATTTCTCGATTTGATTCTTGGGATTATTCCCCCGGACAATGACAATTACAAAGCTTGCTTTTTTACTTGGAATACCCAGCTCATCATAGCCACGCAAAACATTATTGAGCTTGCCCTTTCATACTCAGACAATCCTACATATGTCTAGCATCTGTATTTTTTTTCTCTTTTCTCTTCTTTTCATTTCAAGCTTTTCCAGTAATGGTATTTCCAGTGATGGCATTTCCACCTATAGTCACCGAGTCCAAAGAACGCGTTTACATAGCAACAATGGAGCTCTGGCAGTGGAATATAGTGCGTCCTCACTAAAATATTTTTGTGCTCGTTTTTGGCAACTTACGGAGGCAATTTAAACCTAACATCTTCATGGTAGCTTGAACCAAATTTTCAGCATCGATAATTCTTTGATACGGCTTTTGATTTCATATTCTCTATGCCTGCCCAGTTGACTGATTTCTCCAGGTTTCAGGCACCTGATGTATCGTCAGTCATCGCTGCCTCTTTACAGTTCTGGTCCCTTCAAGTTCATCTCAACCATCTCCGAGCATTATTTACATAGAATCGCGACATTGCTAGTATCAGACAGCTCGCCCATGCGTATGGTTTTCATTTGTCAGAAGAGTAAAACCAAAGAAGAATTGCTTGTGCAATCAGACATCTGTGGTGATGAAATTCAGTCTGGAAAGCGATGCTCAGCCATCTTGCCAAGATTGCATCAACCGGTGGCTCTCTAACTTATCACAAGTCCCTTGCCTGCAGTCGGTTTTTCTGCGCGCGAAGCGCGCCCTCCCGCAGGGAGGGAGCGTCCCGCGGGGACGCCCCGGGAGAGGCTTTGTTAAGCTAGGGTGGCTCTGTTGAAGATATTTCTGCCTTGGAATAAACAGTGAAAAATCTGGTAAAGGGCACGCCACAGCAATCTGCACTTTCGGGGCCCGAGTCCTCAATCCACGGTACAGGATCGGGGAGTGAGCTGTGCAAGTCAGCACTGCATACAGCCCACGTATTTAGGTTTGTACAGACTGGAAGCTCTGAACCAATACATACGATCGAACAAGAACTCCATGGACACCATGTCGAACCGAGGCTATGAGGGTGTCGACACCCCCGATGGTGATCTACCACCAGCGGTTAAGCAGCAAGGTGGTATGTTGGATCCAGCTTTTCTTCAAGTCTGCTAGTCCGTGCATTCAAGAACACTAGATAACCAGCCCAAAAAAAAAATATCTCTGCAGATTTGGTCATCGATAAGTTCAACAGTCTTTTCGGTAGATGTGATCCACTGAACGAAGAGCATCGGCGTAATGGCCCCATGCCTATCGAAAATAACGCCTTCATCAACCAGCTCAAATCTGGCCCCCTCTCGATCGAGGACAATGCTTTGCTCAACCGACTCAAATCGACCTCCGATCGGTTGGAATCAAACCTATTACCTCTACTAGGAGACCAACTCATCGCAATCTCACTTTCACTCAAACCATCCGAGTTGCAGAGAGAACCATCCTCAAATCTCAAGCGGATCTTGGAGATGCAGGAAGAACTCGAACAGACTCTGTGTCAAATCAGATCGGCGCTTGATTTGCTTCCAGAACAAGAAGTGGTACCCAATCAAACCAATGACCAACACCATAAAGAGTTCAAGAATTATAGAATCAATGGACTTGATCAATGCATCAGGGACGAAGTACTCATGGAGATGGCCGGGTTTTTCTCTTCGTCGATCATGCTTGTTCGCCAACTAGGTTTCTCAACAGACCCTAGGATAAACCACATGGTTCCAGCTGGAATGGAGGTAGTCCACACAAGATATCGGTCCGAAGCTTCACTGAAATCGGCCATCATCTGGTTAAAAGGATCTGAATGGGATACTGTCTTGGTCGGTTGGCGACTTGCGATGGATGTGATCGATAGCGTATTAGAGAAGAGCATCCGTCATATCAGTTCGATACCCAACCATGACCTAAACAATCGACCGCCCTTCGAACCCCTTGGCGAACGAAACCTTCAAGTCGCTGAATCATTGATCCCGATCATCAAACTCTCGAGGATCTTCTTGGCTAGACTATCCAAACTCGAAAAGAAGAACAAGACTCTTCCGCATTATACGGAAATGTGTACCCACCAGCTGCAAAGTCTACACGATCTGCCCTTGTGTGCTATCTCTAAACTCAGCTGTCTCCAGTCGATGTCGGTCAGGAATGATATGTTTGATGAAGCTTCGACCATACGTTTTAATGATATGGTTCGAAGACTTCTGGCTCTCTTTCAATCCTCTTTGCTTGATGTAGTTCTTTGTGTTATCCCTCTGGTTCCAGACGTCAACGGGTTTCCATATCAGACTTACCTCAAAACTTGGTTTGTTACGTGGAACACCCAGTTCATTATAGCTACTCAAAACATCACCCGTCTTACCTTCTCCTTTCTCAATAATCCTTTATAGCTTCTTTTTGTCTTCTTCTCTCCTTCCATTTGATCGATTCGCACCGTCAGTCAGAAGATTTGCAGAAAACACGAGAAGTGAAACCTTAACCTGACGGGATGCGTTTCTAAGTTGATTGAATTATCTAGTTTACATGTATCTACAGACAATGGACATTCACCAACTTTTTGATTGGATCAGATCAGTGGAGTGTCAATGGATTGGACAGAACCTATCCAAACAGAGGTGGACACATTTCCCATATCTTTGTAGACATTCAGCCTCCACATTTTTTTATCTTGGCTTCTCGTCTGGTAATAGTTTGCGGGAATTTTTTATGAAAGAAGAGCCCTTCAAGCTTGACTTTATGTCGCCCAGGTGCTTCAACTGGAGGAACCCCATCTCCCAGCCCACCAGTGAGATCCCTGGCCCTTGATTGACTCAAGTTTTTTTTTAATTGCTTGTTAAGTGTTGGTTTGGTTTCAAAACCACTTATATTATATAGGCTATCAAAACAGCATGGTACATACACTAGTTTTGAGAGCCTGTGAAATCATAATGGCTTCATTAGCCCCACAAGTACTGAGCTTGTGACAAGCACGTCAAGTAATTATCCATCACCATTATCCAGGTTCCAAGTTAATGTGGATTTGAAACATGTCAAATCATCATTATCTGTTGTAGCCTTGCTGTGTGCAACAATTACAATTGAGTTTTAACTCATACTTTCAAAACAACAGAGGGATTTGGAGTTGAGCTGCATAAAATCATGAGTATTTAATTTATGCATCCATACTAATCCCTCAACAAAATTGATTGCCAGTAGACTTTCCTTCAACTTAACAGCTCCCTGGAAAGCTATTTTTACAGGCTGCACAGCTGTTTTGCCAGCAAGAAAAAAAAAATAGATTTATAGCCTGTAATTCTGACTTTACAGAGCCTGTAAGACCGGCGGGAATTCTGAGAAGTTTTGGCTAGATAAAGCATAATATTTCAGTTAGAATAATAAAAGAGGTAAAAATAATAAAACAAAGTATTACCTAGATAAAGCAGGAAACACGTTGTGGATGAAAGATAAGAGAAGAGAAGAAACCACACTGCCGATGACTAGGTTAGAAGACTTTGATGAAATGAATCGACTGTTAGAACTTATACACGGTTAAGAGAGTAAAGAAAAGAAAAAGATATGAACCTATAAGCCTAGACCCAAATGGATAAGTCCTCGACGAAGGTGAAAGGAGCCGAGGAAAAGAGGACACAAGTAAGATAAAAAGGAATAAGAGAAGAAATAAGAGATAAGAATAAAGTGGATCGAAGTTGTTTGATGTTTTTAATGGTAAACTAGTAGAAATAAGACCGGATAATTGATGGTCAACAGAAGAATCAAACAGGATGATCAGTAGTCAACAGAAGAAATGGTCAACAGACAAAAAATAGAGAAAACAGCAAAGATCGATGAAAAACAAAAAGCTGTGTAAGATCACACTCTAATGACATCACAAAATGTATGCGCGCCATTGGAGCCAGATTTCAACACACCCCCATGCACCAAGCCGTTAAGGTGGGGGCATACCCGCACGAAGGACCTTGAGGACTTTGAAAATTGAACTTCGACCAATTGATTTCGTCAGAAAATCCGCTAACATTAAATGAGTTCGTTTGAAGGTTAAAACAATATTTTTCGCAATTATTTCCGCTCGAATGAAATGGAAACGAAGATTCATATGTTTCGTCTTAAACGCTGAGTGATTTGATTCATTGTTGGCAAGCAAGATCGCTCCTTGATTGTCTTCAAAGATCTCAAGAGGAAGAGACATCGGAAGTTTAAGTGAAGAATCGATCACCGTTTTTAGCCAGAGTAATTCTTTGGTCACTTCTGTAATTGCGATATATTCAGCCTCCGTAGAAGAAAGAGAAGTTGTCGATTGTTTCTTTGACCGCCAAGAAATTAAATTATCATTCCATAAGATTAAATACCCGGTGGTTGATTTACCGGTGATATGACAACTGGCCCAGCTAGCATCGACGAAAGAGACAAAGTTGACTTGATCGACGGGTGTAGAACGCAAAGTTATACCGAAATCCTTTGTTCCTTTAAGATAACGTAGGACATGAACCGCTGCGTTCCAGTGTAAGATACCTGGGTTCTTCAGAAATTGAGACAAACATCCTACAGTAAAGGTAATATCTGGTCGAGTTGTCACGCTCAAGTAGTTAAGTGCGCCAACCAGACTACGATAATTGACTTGTAGTTTGTCTAATTCATCAATCTCTGTTTTGGAAGCTTTGACGAGTTGTCCATTAGGCCTCATTGGAGTGGCGAGAGGAATCAGATCTTGACAGTTGAATTTTTTAAGTGTGCTTTCAATATAATGTGTTTGAGTAAGATGAACACTGGAGTCCAGTTGAGTGACCTTCATTCCAAGCAAATGTTTTGCGCTACCAAGGTCTTTGATCTTAAAACGTTTTGAGATTAAATCTTTAAAGACTTTTGGTTCCGGACTAAAAATCGCAATATCGTCAACATGAACGTATAGCCAAGTATTGGCTGACCAGAAAACGCAAGGCTCTGCATAACTACGATTGAAGCCGACAGAAAGAAGCCAAGAAGAGAGAGTCAGATGCCATTCCTTCGGAGCCTGCTTCAACCCGTAAAGTGCCTTTTTTAACAATAGAACCTTGTTAGAAGGCACATCAATTCCTGGAGGAGGATTAAGTGTTATCCGTTCTCGAATTGGTGCATTCAGGAAGGCACATTTAACGTCGATTTGATGAAATTCGTATTTACGTTGTAAGGCGAACGTAATAAGAAGACGAAGTGAAACCAGTTTCCCTGTCGGAGCAAAAGTCATGTTGTAATCTTTACCATAAACTTCCTTGAAACCTTGAACACAAAGGCGTGCTTTGTATTCTTGAGGTTGATTGGAGGATTCAGGTTTTATCTTGAAAACCCAGGTACAGTTAATCGGTTTATCGACAGAAGATCGTTCGATGACATCCCAGACTTCATAGTCACCCATGTTATTTCTTTCCTTTACAAGAGCAGCGTGCCAATCTTCTCTATCGGAAAGAGCCATCACTTGATTATAGGTTAGAGTATCATCTTCAGAAAGTGTCGAGTTGAATGATTCAGCAGGTACACCCCTCCGAGAATAAGATAAGATATTTTCAGGCGAAATGTCCCCGATTATTTCATTAGATGGAGACAAGGAGTCTTCGAGTGGACGTTCTTGACTAGGGAAAGGATGGAATTGAACATCATCGTCGTCATCTTCTGACGGTATGACTTCGAACGGATTAAAATAAAAGCTTGATTCATCCAAGGACTCATTAGAAAGTGATGGGAAAATTGACTCGTCAAACGTGGCATTTCGAGTAGTGCAGAGAGTTTTTGACTCAATCCTTATGAAACGGTATGTCGAAAAATCATCGCTATAACCAAGAAAAATTGCTTTTTCTGAACGAGGTAATAATTTGTTCGAACGTGTTTCTTCAGGAATAAGGATATACGCCATGCACCCAAAGCATCGCAGTTTTGAGCAATTGAAATCCTTCCCAAAGAAAGTCTTATAAGGAATTTTATAATCTCTAGAACTTGACGGAAGAAGATTACATAGGTCCGTTGCTGTAACAACAGCTTCAGCCCAGTAACGCGGAGAAAGGTTTGCTTGAGCGAATAGACATCTAGCTTTGTCGAGAATAGCTCGATTCGATCTCTCAGCCATCCCATTATTTTCTGGAGTATAGGGTGGAGAGAATTGATGTGATATGCCTCGATTTCAACAAAAATCTTCAAAGAACATGTTCCTGAATTCTCCTCCATTATCAGAAATAATCCGCTTGATCGTATGACCAGTTTGGTTCTCAGCCCAACAAACAAATTCATCGAATTTATTAAGAGTTTCTGATTTATGTTTCAATAATTTAATCATTTTGAAACCTGAGAATTGGTCGACTATCGTTAGGAAGTATTGAGCTCCTCCAACCGATCGAGTTTGGAAAGGTCCAACTAAATCAAGATGAATAGCTTCAAGCACTTGGGAAGTAGGTGCGAATTTTCCTTTGAAGGGCAGCTTTACCGCTTTGCACAGTTTGCAAGTCGTACAATCGACCGGTACAGCATTTTCAACCAATCTCTTGAGGTAAGGATGGCTAGGATGTCCCAGTCTAGCATGCCAATCAATCAAAGTTTTTGATGAAGTCGAGGCGTAGTACAAGGAAAATTCGTCTTGCATTGCAAATTCATTGTTAATTTCTAACAAATTATTACGAATGATACCCGACAGACTAAAGTTATTGTCGAATTTAATTTTGAAAGAATCATAAGACTTTGATAGCGAAGCGTTTTCGTCAAAAAGCCGGTTGAGAGAAACAAGAGGCCTGTGAAGGTCAGGTGCGTAAAGGACGTTGTCAAGCTTGATAATCGAACCAGAGTCATCGGAAATGTAAGCTTTTCCCGTTGCAATCGCAGAGACTTTTTGATTACTGCCGGTGTGAATATTAATGTTGACATCTTTCATTTTTGAGAAAATCGAAAGATCATTCACCATATGGTGAGAGGCACCGGAATCGAGGATGGGAGCTTTTTTCTCTGCTGAAGAATTAAGGTAGGCTGTGACTTCGACGACTTCCTCCTCGTCTTCTCCTTCCTTATTCACGCTGTCGACTGAAGTAGTGTGGGCTTCAGGATCTTTAGGACGAAGAGCTTCGCGTTCTTCGATGGGTAATTTAAAACAACGCCAAATCGGATGAAACGCCAGAGGATTGTGTTTACCCGGAGAACACGGGTGAGCCGGCGGTTGTTTCGTCTTATCTGATTTTTTAGTTTTGACTTCAGCCTCAGATTTGTAAGCGGAAGGACCGATAGCTTGATTTTTAGAGGTAGATTCAACCTTCGAAGCACCTGATACCCGAGTATCTTTCATATAAACGAGTTCTCTTAACTTCTTGAGAGTGCGGCTAGGAAAAAAGATTATAGCTTCGTTCATAATTATGTTATCGACGACGTTCCAGTAATCTTTGGAAAGTTTTGCCAAGATAGAAATCGAAATTATGTCGTCGGGAATGCCAAGTTGAACAAGTGCGCATTCCCGAATCATTTTTTGACAATCGGCAAGATAATTGTTAAGATTGCCGTTAAATTCGTAACGCATCCATTTTAACCATACACGAGCTTTGTTATTGACTGACGATGAAGCATAGCGCTCAACGATAGAAGCCCAAAGAAGAGCAGGATTTTCTTCGTTTTCAGGAGTGACAGTAGCGTCAAGTGCTTCTTCGCTAAGATGACTGATAATGGCGTTAAGAGTTTCGTTTCGTTTCTTTTTAGCTGGAGTTACCTCGCCAGCGCAAATTTCCCATAGGTCTTTGCTGCGAAGGTAAGCTTTCATCCTTACTGACCACGACGGATAATTGAGATCGTCAAGTTTAGGAATCGACGATTTGGTCGATTTATCCTCAATGTCCGACATTATTAGTGATCGTTTCCTGCTTGAGCACCGTACTGATAATGTGAGAAGTTTTGGCTAGATAAAGCATAATATTTCAGTTAGAATAATAAAAGAGGTAAAAATAATAAAACAAAGTATTACCTAGATAAAGCAGGAAACACGTTGTGGATGAAAGATAAGAGAAGAGAAGAAACCACACTGCCGATGACTAGGTTAGAAGACTTTGATGAAATGAATCGACTGTTAGAACTTATACACGGTTAAGAGAGTAAAGAAAAGAAAAAGATATGAACCTATAAGCCTAGACCCAAATGGATAAGTCCTCGACGAAGGTGAAAGGAGCCGAGGAAAAGAGGACACAAGTAAGATAAAAAGGAATAAGAGAAGAAATAAGAGATAAGAATAAAGTGGATCGAAGTTGTTTGATGTTTTTAATGGTAAACTAGTAGAAATAAGACCGGATAATTGATGGTCAACAGAAGAATCAAACAGGATGATCAGTAGTCAACAGAAGAAATGGTCAACAGACAAAAAATAGAGAAAACAGCAAAGATCGATGAAAAACAAAAAGCTGTGTAAGATCACACTCTAATGACATCACAAAATGTATGCGCGCCATTGGAGCCAGATTTCAACAAATTCCTCCAGGCAGTTGTGTTAGCAAAACAATTTCAAGCATGCACCATCTCATCATTTATGATTTTCTGCAGCTAAAATTGAACCTGATTCTCTGGTGATAGGTGGTGTTATTAAATGGCTGGTGCAGCTGGAAATGACTATGGCCCCGTTTGGCAGCATCATAAATTTAGGTGTGATATTGTCTGATTCATTCAATAAAAAATAAACCAATGGAAAATATGTATGTAAGATAATTGTTACTTAGGCAAGTTCAACTACTTTTTTCATTAATGCTGAGAACAAATTTGATATCTTAGGCCATCTTGAGACCCATAATATTTATGGTATTCAAAGTTGAAATGCATGAAATCATAGAGTGCATAAATCATATAATCATAAAACATTTTGGCTGGGAAGGCCAAAGCTTACATAATCAGATTACCAAGATCCCCTGCAAACAAGGTTTTAAGATCTTATGATTTATGCGGTTATGATTTCATGCATTTCAACTTTGAATACCATAATTGTTGGGTTTCACATGTGTGTTGTATGCTACATCTCTGATCATCACATGTCACTTCAGTTTCACATCTAGTGTAGCATACCTGGGGCAGCAGCTCACTCGTGGAAGGATTCTTTCCTCATCCTTCCACATCACTCGTCTGCTGTCCCAGGTATGAGTTTCTTTTTCTTTCTTTCTCTTTTCTCTTTTCATTTTTTCATTTTGCCTTCATTTTGTTCAAGTATCATCTGTCATTACTGATGCAATGAATAATATCCTTCCACATCACTCATCTGCTGTCCCAGTTTGTCTCATCAAATATCAACTAGAGTCTATTGACGGCTTTGCCGCCAGCATAAACGTCAAGACAAATGCAACCAATTCAATCATGGATTTGATGGCAAATTTGTCACAAGAGAGCAACAGAAGTAGTCTTGAATCAGATTGAAGGGCTTACCAGGATCCGATGCAGTGAGTAGGTTCTAGAAAAATGAAGGGATTTGAGGTGCCATAACATCAGCGCAAGGCAACTTAACTTACCCTTTTTGACAACACATTGCGAAAGAATTAGTTTCTGATTTCATGTTGATCAGGGCAATTTCCTCGGGCCAATGGAGCACGTTGCAATGTTGGCACTGAATGCTGCAGGGCTTAAGTAAATGGCTGGAAGGGGTAATAATATGGTTGAGGTGGTTCATATCTTGATCTTGTGCCGCAGGAATTTGTAATGATGGTTCAGCAGCCATGGATGAACACGGGATTATAATACGCAGGAATTGAGGAATTTAGAGGAGGAGTTGTTAGGTCAAAGCTTAAATGTGACACAAATGAAAATGAATGACTTGAAAGGAAGTATCAAATCGCCTTTTGAATGTGAATGGCAGTTCTCAATGAGGGTCAGTAACGGTTGTGCAAAAGGGAAATGAATGTTGATAGAACAAGCATCAGTTTGGGTTTGGTAAAATATTTTTTGATTTTAAGGCAGACAAAAATTATTGATGCATTCAGGGAGATAGGAAAGGAGGATTAAGACAAAGATATGACACTTCATGGTTGTTAGATATCTGAAGAAGGCAACAGAGACTTCAAAGGAAGATAAGAGGAAAAAGTTAGGTGTCTTGAAAAAGCAAAATTGAGATGAAGTCCAACTCAATGTCTGCCAAAGGAAACTAAATGTATGAAATTATAGCGAAACATAGGTAGATAAGCTGAATCTAGTACAGAGAGTGGGGGCAGCTAAATCTTGAAAAAGGAAGTAGGCAAAAAGAAGGAAGGAATATAAAAGCCAATGAAACTATTGGAGCGTGAGTGGGAATTTTCCATTGCGCTTGGGTTAAGTGAGGACTTGATGTCTCTTACAACATTGCACACTGCAATACCTGATTAAAGTGCAAGGGGCTAGGTTTTTTGCTTAAAGGTTTAGCTTGTTAATATTGCACTTTATATGGGTAAAAAGTGTATGTAATATTGTCATTATGGTGCTGAAGGTAGCCCATTCTCTCAACTTTGTTTGTACTCACCTTGAAATCAGTAGTTGACCTTGCCCCAGTTCAAATTTTGTTACATATTTCTGAGTGGTTCATTTTCAATTGAATTAATAAGGAAATATTACACTTAGATTCATGACACTGCCAAATGGGGCCTATATATCTGGACATAGCTGAGTTAAGTGTGCACTGGATGACTTCCCGTCAGCATTTACGACCCTTGCAGAATTGGATTTACACCATGAAGGGCTTAATTTTTGGCAAAAAAAATATTTCTTCAGAAGCCTTGTAGTAAAGGCCCTCATGTGAGCTAGTTGAGGTTGTGATTAGAGTGTTAATTTAGAACTGAGAGAGGTCTAAAAAACACTCTAAACTGTGACGGGAAGTCCTCCACTTTGAGACCACATTAAGGGCTATTCATGGATGGCACATATGTGGCTGCATCTGGAAAACATGCCCCACATTTTTGTGTATATAACGCATCCAGTTTTCCCTCTTGAGTGTTGCCTTGAGTTTGGGTTGAATGGAATGTAAAAATTTTAACTGTTTCCCTTGCATCCAATCCGTTTGCCACTGGAGCCCCTTCCAGTCAGCCTCCTCGGATGTTTGGTAGGCAGGCCAGGCTCATTTCATCTTCGCAAACCCGAGTGGTTCTCCATCTAAGTTAACTCATCCAAGCCGTCACTTGTTTACTTGGCATGCGATGGGGTCCTTGCGCAATGGGACAAGCGCACCACACTATGGCCGGTGGCATCGGAAAGGCGGTAGGCAGATAGTGGCACAACCCGGAACATGAGACCACAGCGCGCGGTTTGTAGGTCCACGAGGAAAGAGTGTGGCATTGGATACGAAATTAGCCTAGAACTAGAGTGTAGAGTCAAATTAAGCTGACGCCCCTGTAATACACGGTCACGGGTAGCAAGTGCTGGCAAGTGGCACCCTATCTAGTGTCACCCAATCCAAAAGGGCACTCATGGAGGTTGGTGCTCTTGAGGATGCTGTAAACATCTACATACAGCACTGATAATTAGTTTCCAAGATCGTTGACTGCCTCTTAGTCTGAGGGGCTGGCAATTTGGATGCGTTTAAGGCTGTTTTAAGGTACCTTTGCTTTGGTCGAACAGTCCAGACAAGGACGTTGGAATGTACCACAAATGGCCAGCAGCGTAAGATGCTCTAAAAGCCTCGTCACACTAGGAGTGGGCTTGTTGCGAACAATTCTACTGGACGTTGGTCATTTAAGCCGCCCCTCTCCTGCTTTCTGTTCCCCCATCAGAAGCGAATCTCGGCTCAAAAGCAAGCATTCCTGACGATTCTGACGGGGCTAGTTACTAGTTACTACCCGGAGTAGCCACGATCACCCTGATATTTCTCGCCATCTTCTTATCGTGTCAGGTTCAGAATTATTTGCAACATTGGAGCACACCCCTTTTTTTCTTCTCTGGAGCACACAACCGCTGAGCATATACTCTGGCATACAATTGTACAAGTTTCGAGACATCACCACCTTCGCAAGTATCACCCACCGCCTTCTGTTTCGGTCTCAGACTTATCTTGCAACTTCAAACATCAATCCTGCTACACTCACAGGCAGTACACACGAAGATATCCCCTCGACTCCGCCATCACTCCTTGCCGTGTTGCCAATGTGTAGCCTGCCGTACAAGAAATCCGGTCAGGACCCGTGTCCGAGATCAATCCCGTTATCCCCTTCATCTTCCAACTCCACGCCCACGCTTCCATACCAACAAGCTGAAAAAGAATTCGATCACCTCCATCCACCTCGCTCCGAGTTCAACCATCCCAAATCCACTTTCCTCAACATGTCCTCATTTCGGAGCCCAAATGGGCATCAACGTTCCTTTTCGGTTGGAATCCCAGGTCAAGATCAGGGTGAAGGTCGCGAGGGTGTTGTGTTGAAACGTCAACGCGGATTTTTGCAAGGGAATATTGTCATTCGATGGTTTTTCTTCATCACCCCAATCCTCATGCTAGTCTGGATTCCGGGGTTTATTGCGTTCAGCCTTCCGCAAAAGCATCTCAAGTTGAATATTTAGAGTTTCTCTATGAACCTTCAAGAGTGACCCCCAGGCTGATGAAATTTCCAACACCTCCCTCTAGAATTGCCGATGTAGAATTACTCTGGTGGTCTGCCTGGCTCTCAGTAGCTTGGCTAGGCTGGTGGATTGGATTGGTCGTCGGAGCACTGACGCCGCTATTGTTCAAGCACGTCATTGGAATTGCTTGCTCTCCGGACTTTGTTGAGAAGTGGTACAGCTTCTTGTTACCCATGAAGAACGTCATTATGGGAGCTGTTTGGAGTGTATTAACCTACAGTATGTGCCGCACGATGCATTTTTGTGATCACACCGACGCTTGACCTATTTTAAATTGACTATGATCCTCCAGTTACCTTCAGCTTATTTATCATAAGGATGTCATATGGCGCCTCAGAATCTGCCGCCAAAGCGCTGCACTTGATAAGTCAAGTTGAGTGAATAAGCTGATCAGGTCGCACAACTCTTGACGTCCTTGCAGTTACTAAAGCGACACAATTTTTTATTCTCATCCTCTTTGTAGGCGTTATTCGGAATTCTTCTTGCTAGCTTAATGCTGGTAGGCGAAAAAATCCTCATACAAGTGATTGCCAGGTAAACCTACTCACCCTCCTCCCAAGATTCACCCACAGCTATCTGCAATCGAACGCTCGCATGCTAAGAAATGGATATTTGTCTTCCCTAGCTATTTTCATCAGAGGTCTTACGAGGACAGAATAGAGGAACAGAAACGCGCGATTCAATTTCTCACAACTCTATATCGATACACTCATGATATCGGCAGGTCAGATACGCTTGACCGAGCGTTTGGCGCTCCGACGAGAGGCCCAGAGCATACAGCAAAACTGTTGAAATCTGCACTCAAAGGTGTCAAGAACGTTGCCAGGACCACAACCAGTGTCTTTGGAACTGTGGCATCTGAGGTGAGATTTCCCGACCTAACATAGAAATACTAAGCCATTGAAACCATCTTTGCTTTGCCCCATAGATTGCGGGAGAACAGATACTCCAGCCCAACTCTCCATCCTCAATGGTTCTCTCTGCCTTGTCGTCAGCCAACAAGACGCGTCATCTAGCGCGCAGAATATACTATTCATTCGTTCCAGTCACATATCGTCAAGTGATGGTGTTGGGCGATATATTACCTTGCTTCGAAGGGGATGAGGAAACTGCTCAGGACAGCTTTTCGGTGTTCGACAAAGACCGAAACGGAGACTGCTCTTTACAAGAGATCGAACTTACTTGTTTGGAGGTCAGTCAAGTGGCCCAGGATTTCTGGATCTTGTCACATTCTCTCCCGAGCTGATTTTTCTGCTGACCTTTACAATATTGGTCTTAACAGCTTCATCGAGAACGTTTGGCCTTAGTCGCGGTGAGTACCCCCAACCAAAGAATTCAAAATTCCAGTTACTTTCAGCTGATTGCTTGTTTTCTCCACAGAGTATGAGGGACTTGGACAGCGCTGTTGGAAAACTGGACTCGATTTTGATGTTCCTCTGGTAACTGACAACATGATTTCTAATTTGTTGACAATACGACAAAGAAACTGATTCAACCAATCTGGCCTTTTCTCATTTCTTAGGTATACCGTATCATTACTAGTAATGTCAGTATTTTCACCAGCAGGGTCCATCATTCAGCCGTTGAGCTAAACAGCTAATTATTGATCATTCTGTAGAGTGGCTTTGTTGGATATCTCCTTCCAAACTCTCTTAGCCTCAGCTGGTACGCTAGTATTAGGCTTGAGCTGGTTGATCGGTAGCACTGCCCAAGAAATACTCTCATCGATAATATTCTTATTCGTCAAGCGTAAGTTTCTTTACTTCACAGCATGCCACACACACCTCTCACGACTTGAAACAGGCGTTTTGTAACCATACCCGCATGCTGACATGTCTTGTAACGTTCACAAAAAGATCCGTATGATGTTGCCGATAGAGTCGATGTAGATGATGTTGCTTATGTTGTAAAGGAGATGCATCTTTTGTACACGTATGTATCCTCGAATTCACTGCTACCGAAAGGCAACGTCTAATGATTGATTCAATGTCTAGTGTATTTCGACAAACAAATGGCAAGATCTCACAAATACCCCACAGTAAGTAGGAATTGGGTTTTCCGAATGAAACAACAACAGCTGAAAACCCCCTACCCTAACCCGTTTCTCTCGAACAGGTGTATTGAACTCCAAGAGGGTAGTAAAGTCAGTTTGATTGTCACATTTGGAACTTGTCATTCAAAAGCAACATGAATGTTTTGCATGCCTGACTGGTTTTATCTTGACATTTTAGTATCCGGAGATCTGGGCCTATCAGTGAAACGTTTACTTGGGATGTCAACTTCAGTACCTCATTCGAAAAAATTGAACAAATGCGAGCCAAGATGCTCGAATTTCTCAAAGCCGAGAGGAGAGATTACACGCCCGCTTTTGATGTCAATATTCAAGGTAAACATTTGTGAAGTTTTATGATATTTTCATGTGATCCTTCTCAAAGAAGAATCGAAGAAACTGACGAAATCAATCATTTGATAACTTAGATTTCGAGGGGCAGGCCCAATTGACTCTACAAGCGGACATCAAATACAAATCAAATTGTTGAGTGACTTCTGATTGTTACCTTGTAAACAAGTTAAATTAAAACGATGCCTGTCTGACCCCCCATTATTGGTCAAAAATAGGGCAAAATGGGGCCTTGAAAGGTCAGAGGAGAAATGTGAGTCAGAATGCAGCGCAGTGGGGTTTTGATGTGGATTCTCTTCTTACAACTTTGTTTCTTGGTTTGATTTCCCATCTTTCTTGCAGAAATGGGTTTGTGCTTTGAAGCAAGTTATGGCCGAAGTCGAAATCTACGGACCAGCGGGTGCCGGAGATCCTGCCCCAAAAACAGAGCCAACGCTTATTCAACTGGTCGATAGTCCTCCATTGGTGATACAGCCGCGAGCCGGAAGTCCTACATATGAACAAGAACAACAAGAGCAGTCACCCGCGAAAACCAGCGGCATACAGTCCGTTGAATTGGAGAACAGAGAAAACGTAATGCGGGACGATGACGACGACGAGCACAATCTACCTCTCAATTATATACCTTTATCACCATTCTAAATCATCAAATGCACCACATCAATATAGGTTCAAGAATCCTTGTCCCTCACCCTCGCTGCAGCCAAAAGCGTATTTTGAAAAACCGAATTGTCCATAGCCATAAGAAATCATTCTCCCTCACGCTTTGTTACTACGCATTCAAGTTCTTCAACTACACAAAATTTTGCCATGCTCCAAATAAAGATCCGTGATGATTGTAGCTTGAATAGGAAACTTTTACCCATTGCTTCTACCTTTCTTTCCACCTGTTCTATAAGCAGTTGTTATTCTCTTGTTTATACATAAATACACAAAATCACATATGTTATCTTTTCCCAAATATCAAATTCATACAGTCACTTTCATGTAAAATTATGTTTTCTGGGTACTTGGTGTGTATTTCTACAACCATGATGATTTCTCATGTACACAATCAGACCAAGAACATGTTTCCTTTGACTTGTTTTTCTTCATTTTTTATCCTTCAAAAGCAAACAAAATAAAAAAAAAGAAACTGGGATAGCAATTATTGACATGTTTGTTCACAATTGATCAAAAGTAATATCAATAAGAGATCCCTCTCAATAAACATTGGGTGACTATTATAGGTTAAAATATATGAGCAATACCAGCATTGTGATTCTGGTCTGTTCCTGTGTAATGTATTATTGTTATCAGCAAAAAATGCCTTGGGTGGTGCTTTTATCATATTGTAGGGGGTTTCCCCCCAGAAAGCTGCTGGTGTAACAAGATAACAGCAACTATGGATCCAAAAAATATTTCCCTTTTTGGATGATTTCTTTATTGGCCCACCTGCACCACAGATATGGGTATAATGAGAATGGTCAAAATTGTGTTACAATACCATCATGTTACCAATATTTAACATAGATACCCTGGTCTGTCCCAATGTCTGCATCAAGAATGCTCATCAAGAAGGTCTTGAATCTCCTTCCTCCTTTTTTTTCAAGATAATTGATTGAGATAGAAAGTCCCTCTGATGACCATTTCTATAACCACTCACTAAGAATTACATATGACCATGTGGTAATCTTGAACAATCCAGCCACAGAGAGACATCTATCTCTACAGCCTGACATGAAGATACACCCATCTGGATGATCCTAATTAATGACCATTCCATTTAGGGTGGAGAATGGGCTTGGGTCACCCATGGGCAGCCCAGACCCACCTTGGACTTGTGGGGTTTGGGTGCTGTTTGGGAAGCTTGGTAGCCCAATTGCTCTAGACCAATCAGCAGTTCCCATCTTGTAATTTGGGTCAGCCCAATACCCCCCCCCCCCCTTCACTCCTACTTGTATACTTCCATGGATTGTAATTCTCTGCAGCAAACCAAAATTTCTCCTCCAGAGTCCACACTATTGACATTCCAAAATCATCATGACAACAATTCTGTTGAAAAAGAAGGTTCAGGGGGGGAGGTTGGAGCTAAGGTGCAGCAGCTAGGCCCCTGCCCATGTTTGATGCAGGGAATCCCCACAAATCCCCAACTTCTGGGTGTTTTCAGCATCTGAATGGATGCTGGATCTCTCTGGGCTGATCCCAAACCCTGATCCAATCTGGGGTGGCCCCAATCTTGCCAGATCTGCTGGGTCCAGATCAGAACCCTAATCTTAATATGTGTGATTCATGGTGGCTGGTTGACAATTCACCAATGCAGCATTTTGGTGCTGTATTGACTGGCAGTCGGCAGGCCATGCACCACACTCACAAGCCCTGCACTGGAGTGGTCAGACTAATGCAGCTCCTGCAAAAGCGTGCATCACCTTGGCCCTCCTGGCTGATATCAATTCAGATTACGATACTATGATGCAGCCTGATACCAATACATGACATTTGAAGAAACTCAAGATTTTAAGCCGGAGAAAAGGGAAGAGACCGGGAGAAGAAGAACCTCGAGGAAAAGCTCTGAGGGAAAAACAAAAGGTCTAAGAGCCCAAAAAGGGGCTAGTCTGCTAGCTTGCGTGGAGGAAAAGCTGACACGCTACAAGGAGTTGTATCCGGTAGTGACTCCAGGGAACAGGCGCAGAAGAACTGATGTTTTTCATTCTCTAACTCAGGAAGCATGAATATTTATCTACATACAAGATATGGCTGAGTTGTGGGACAGAAGATGACAATTCATATTCATCTGGAAAAGAGAAGAAAGGAGTGACAGATGAGAAGAGAGTGACAGAGATGTGACAGAGAGAGGAGAGCAGGACACGATCACTTCAGAATTCCAACAACATTGCATTGATTGCACCATTTGTATTTTTCAGGGAAGAAGGTCAGCCTCTTCCTACAATGGAGTAGGCAACCTCATGGGAAAATCCTCAAGGCAAGCCTTGAGTAGTTTGAGTTTTCAGCTTACCAAATATCATTCCTGGTATTCTCTTATGATTTTCATCTTCTAGAGAATACTAAAAATGCAAAAAATAAGATGGACTTAAATTGTCAATGACACAAAATGTCTGACAAATGAAAGGATTTTTGTATCTTTGAAGAACATTAATTGGTATGAACATCAGGTAAATTTTCCTGTTCCTGGAAACCACACTTATAAAGCATGTAGCAACATCTAGCTACTACTAGAGTCCAAGGCAGCTGTGCCACTGCAGTTTGAGTGTACCAATGCCATTTTAATGTGACACAGAAATTTAAATTAAAACAACTCAAGTAATTTTTGATTGACTGGAGAAACTTGAAGCTATAGCACAAATGTAAACTAATATGTACATACTGTGAAGAAATTTGTCCACTGAAGTATCTGACAACCAGCACAAAATCAGGACTTATTGGAAAAGGTGAACCTGCAACTATTTTGTTTTCTTCATTTGAGATTCCTCTTCTAGAGTGATTATGAATGAAACGTCTTAATCATTACTCTTCCGTTGGGTCCCTCTGTTCCATCCACATTGAGGAAGCCCTGCTAAACATATGATGATCTCAAGTCAGTCATTTAATTCTATGTACCCCAACACATCAAGTTCTGAAAAGAAAGAGAAAAAAAGCAGATCAAATTAGGAGCTTTGCTCACCTGTTTATCACATTTTCTAACCATGTCTCCAAAGCTTACAGAAGCTTGCTCCTTCACCCTGTCCCATGCATAGATGATAAGATTGAGATTCAGAAATTTGGGTTTTCAAGATCCATTGTTTTGATCAAAACAGCTCACAGGTTAATATTGGAGCCATCGTTTGTGAAGATTCTCACCTAGCAACGTCAAAAAGGATCAATATCAGAAGCATTCCATAGCGGAATTCTTCAGTGCAGGGCATCGGAATATTTCTAATCATGAGAGTGCTTTTTTTGTTTTCGAATGCTTACCGCGCATGAGTTGAAGACCACCTCGAGCGACTTGATCCTTATTTTGTTAGCATCAGTGATACGACCATCTGAATCGACAGGAACCTGCTCAAAGGCCCTAAACAGATGATCCAACAAGTCGGTCTAGTTAGACGAAGAGAAAACATAGGGGCACATCACCACTGCCCTCGACCAAATGGAAGATGGACGCACTTCAAACAGTCGTCTGCTACTTGATCGGGTGCTCCATGCTTGGTATAACAGTAAGGTTCACCATAAGGGTAATCTGGATTGTACGCCGCCCACTCCGAATCAGGTGGGGCACGCCCTCTGATCTCCATGGTGACCGCCGGGTTATCTGGCAAAGGAATCCGACCGCCCCCCTACGTTGTAGCAAAGCCAAAGACAAAAACATGCAAGAGAGTCTGATCAGTTGATGATCACTATCGGAGATCAGCGTACAACAACAAAAACTTGTTCACATACGTGTGGGCAGAGCTTGAAAAGACTCCCAACTGCATTCTCAACTTGTTTCCGGGTCCTGGTCACATAAAGATGTTGAAGTCAGTAAATGTTGCAGTGGTGAGGTCTTAGAATTTGATCTTCACTCACACACGGGCACTCATTGGCTTGCTGACGACCAACTAATCCGAAGAATTATATTACATCAAATGATCAGTTATATGTCAAGGTGGGGGATACATATCATAGAGATAAAGGCTTACACTACAGCTCTCTCCGATGAGTTTTACCGAGTCTTCATTTAAAGGAAGGATGTCTCCCTCATGATCGTAAGCGATAAATCCCAGCGCTCTGATTTCGTTTACGAAACGTGACAGATCATCATCAAATGGTCCCAAAATTAACACCTTGCAGTATGTCAGTCATCGACATTGAAAGAAAAACAAAATCCATCATACAAAGGAGTTTTTGATAAAGAGACTCAAAAAAAAAAAAAAAAACCCACATCCCACACGCCTTGGGGGTCGTAACCACATCATTGTAACACGTGGATTCCAATGGGGTGCTATTGGCTAGGAATGCATTGATCAGGGCGACGAAAAGGAGGTTGTAAGTAAACATATCTTCAAGATATCTATAGCCACTTGGTTTCTTTGAGATTGCGTTTGTTTGGAATATTTTCAAATCAAGATCCGGTTGGTTTAAAAAACTCTTTCAAAAAAAAACTACAAAAACAAAGACAAAAAAAAGTCGTTGGTTGTATCTAGCAGTGCGAGCAGCTCGACGAAGAGATGCGGGGGGGAGATGGAAGGAACAAGCAAAAACAAAGCTTAAATATGTACTGAGGTTTGTAAAACTTAGGAATCCCCGCTGTTTTGAGCCTCTGCCACTCGGTGTTGTACATAAAACAAAGTGAGCTCGACAACCGGATGTAAGGCGTCACAGATACCATCCACCAAGCCTTCAGCGTAAAGTATTTATGTGTAGCGTGTATCCCCAGCTGATACTATCCAAGAGGCGGACCCGAGAAGAAAACAGTGCGACATTGAGCTTTCTGCTAAACGTTTTTGCCTACATATCGGAAGCCCATGACCGGTTCCAACTTCCGGTTGCGATTGACGAGTTCTACAATCTTGCAACCCTCCGGTGGACGCGGCAGACGATGCCATGAACATTGGGCGGATGGATGTCCATGGCGACCCATGCCATTCTGCAACTCTCTCGAGCCTAAGAAAGCCTAATCTTAGAGAGCCCGGCGAGGCCAGCCGGAGTCTGACTTATCTTCAGTCCCTCTCTATTCGGAGGCTCCATTGGAGGGTCGCTTGGCGACGAAGGGTATGTGACTTAGTTAAGTTAGAGCCGGACTTCGCGCGCGCGAGGGACTTGTTGATGCACAGAAACAAAAGTCTCAACACTCTTTTACACACTGTCAGAGCATATCCACCGCGGGAGGTAAACCGGGTTCCTATCCCGCGTTTAGCAACCCAAGCCCAAAAATCACCACCCACCCGGGGTGCCAAACAAGAAAAAAAATAACCTCCGGAGGTTAAACACCTTGTTAAGTTGCCACATGTAGCAACACTTGAGCAACGCTATAGCACCTGTGAAATTCCACATCTCCATGAAAGGTCTGGTGTTTCTTGCGTGAACTCCTCTGTATATTTCACCTTCATTCCACATCGTCCCCCCGAATTGCCTACACCGTATCCCACTGCCCACCAATCTTGTTCAACTCATCCCCCAAAATTCCAGCTTCATACGGAATCATCTCCACACTTCAATACAAAGACCACCTCAACCAAGAGCTCATGTCTGGAATAATTGACCCATCACTTAGTAAGATTCTTTTTTTTCATCTTTCATCTTTTATTTTTCTACACAATCTCTGATACAACCGATGTTACTTCATCTTTCATCCAGCTGCTATCAATGTTGAGGCTATTCACATGAATAAACCTCGCCGTGTGCTGGAGGCCGAATCAGACCAGGAAAACCGACCGGCAAAGAAAAAGAAAGCAACCAAAAAAAAATCCACGCTGGAGGCCGATTCGGACCAGGAAAACCCTTCGGCAAAGAAAAAGAAGGCAACCGCAAAAAAATCTGGCACCACAAAGAGCGATGAAGTCAGAGCTCCTACAACCCAGAAGAAACCCATGAAAAAGAAACCCAACAAGAAGGCCACGAATACTACTCCCTCGTCAGATAAAACTGAGAACACCAATCCCCAAGTCGATACAACTGATTCGGCGAAAACTCGCACTCGCTACCAAGAACACGAGGACATTCAGATCTGCAAGTCCTGGCTCGAGATTTCCCAAGATCCTCTCAACTCAACCAACCAGACGGCCGATACTTTCTGGAACCGTGTCGCTGAGAACTTTGCAAAGTTTTTGCCTGATGAGAGCCGGAGTGGAGTCAGCATCAAGAGCCGATGGCAAGTTCTCCAGCGAAGGATTAACAAGTTCTCTGGATGCGTGAAGCAAGTGGAACTCTCAAATCAGAGTGGAACAACGGTTGAGGATCGCTTGTCTAGTGCACTCAAGCTCTACAAGGCTCTCTCGGAGGAGACCTTTTCTCACCTACGCTGTTATAATCTTCTCAACCTTGCTCCAAAATGGAGGGATCACTGTGCCGAGGTCAACAAGAAACAAAATACAGCTCAATCATCGTCTTCGGTGACGCCAAGTCAATCTTCGGGAATTGAAGTTATATCAGTTGATAGTGGTGTCGATAGCATCCCGGCCTCTTCTCTCTCTTCCGAGTCCCATAATAACGACATAGGAAACCACAGCGAGGCTTCCACTATTAGAACTCACAGTACCTCACGCCCAATCGGTAATCGGAAGGCCAAAGAGATAGCGGCGAAGGCAAGAGAAGATAAACACTTTAAAGATAATATTCTCACAGTTCATAAAGAACTTGCAGAAAACAGTCGATTACAAGTCAAAATCCTCTCGGAGCAGAAAGAAGCTATTACAACCATCGCGGACGAATCAATCATGAAGGTCGAACTCTCAACTGTCTTCAATCATCGCAGATCCTATTACGAGTGGCAGCAAAAGAAGGTGTTGGATCGAATGGAAAAAGAAAAAGAAGAGTACGAGAAAAAACAAAAAGAAGAAGAAGAGAAAAAAAAGAAGGAAGAAGAGAAGAAAAAAGAGGAAGAACGAGCGAAAGAAGAAGCACGAAAAGAAGCCGAAAGGAAGAAGAAAGAAGAAGAAAGGAAAAAGGCGGCAATGGGAAAGAAATCGACAGCCGAGGATGATGACGATGGGGGAGACAGCGAGGATGATGAAGGTAGCAATGATGAGGACAACAGTGCTGATGAGGAAGAAGACAATAGCGGTGATGAGGAAGAGGGAAGCGAGGGCGAAATGTGACTTTTATTTTTTCTTTCATGTTGTTCTGATTGTATGGAACAAGACATATTCAGGACACTGATAAATGTGCAATGTTACTGAGTGATAAGCCTCACCCCCCTAAAATCTTATTTCCAAACAAATAGCCTTATCGACCTATTTAGTACCATCTTGATCCCCCAATTTCAGTATGGACAATGGTTTTTTAAAATGTCTTTGGAATTATCATCTTAGTTGGGAATTGAACCCGTGACCTGTGTGTTCAATACATATATTCTGATTTGCAACCTAAAGACAAACTTTCACTTGGCTTTAAGGTTTGTGGGAAGTATCCCACAGATCTTGGCTGAACACTTCGAGTTGCCTTGTCAAGACTCTCCTACATGGATGGGAATCTGGAGGAAACAATATTCCTAGGATGTGTCATTCTGGAGTCGGTTCTGCTCCAGAACCAGCTCATCAACCGACATGTATCTCTGCTTCTGTTTTCTTTCCACCTTGTTTCTTGCTTGCTTGGAATACCCGATTTTTTGTCTCTACCATCTATTGTTTTCCTTTTCTCTACCCTTTGCCTTTTTTCTACCGTTATCCTTTCACTTACTCTGTTGTTGGTGATCATTTTTTTGCTGTTTGGAGGAATGTGTGAATCACAATTGGGACATAATGAAGCAATGTGAATTCTTAGAAAAATGATGAGGTATATTTATTGCTAAGGCACAGAAAATGAAGCCGATTGTAATGAAGAAAGAGATTAAATAAATGCCACGTTTTCAAGTAGGTAGCAAGCTACGAAGCAGTAAATACAACAAATTTTAAAGTTCGGTTTCACTAGTACTTTTGCCTTTGAGGCTCCATAAGTGCTTAACCAGGTCATCTCTCAATCTAAAGTGTGCTTCTGAACTTCGCATCTGGATCGAATTACTTATGAAATCGGAGAACTCAGCCGATCGAGTAGAGGAGCTGGGCTGGACTGAGACCGGGTTCCCATCGTATATGAATTCCTCATCCATTCCTCGTTCGTCATTAATGATCATGTTATGCAGAATGACACATGTGGTCATGATCTTCTGCATGTTGGCATGCTTCCAGCCTCTCCCCGGTTGTGCAATAATGCCAAATCGAGCTTGGAGTACACCAAAAGCCCTCTCAACATCCTTGCGACATGCTTCTTGCATCTTCGAAAAATGCTGTTGTAAGATTAAAAAATGGTTAGCAAGCATAAAACCAATAATTTGAAACCAGAACTCACCCTCTTCTCAAGACCCTGTGGTGCCGAGATGGTTTTGATTAAGGTTGACCAGTCTGGGTAAATCCCATCAGCCAAGTAATATCCCTGAGTGTATGTGTTCCCATTAATCGTGTATCGAACTTCAGGGGCTTCACCATTGAGGAGTTTCTTGAAGAGCGGGGATCGATCGAGGACATTAATGTCATTGTGCGAACCTGGAAGGCCAAAGAATGAGTGCCAAATCCAGAGGTCGTGGGTGGCCACTGCCTCAAGGACAATCGTTGCAACCTGGATATTTGGAGGACCATGTTCAACGGTTGCATGATGACTATGTGTAAAGGAAAATTCTACCTTTTCCTTTCCTTGGTACTGCCCTTTCCAGGCAGCAGGGCAGTTTTTCCACTGCCAGTGCATACAATCAACAGATCCAAGCATCCCAGGAAAACCACGTTTGGAATTAATCACCGTAATCTGTTTTATATCCTCTTCAGTTGGGTATCGTAAAAATTCTTCACTGTATAATTCGATGACCGAGCTGCAGAACTCATTCAAGGCTTGTAATGATGTGCTTTCGGCGATTCGGATGTACTCGTCATTCAGATCGGCTGCCCCTCCATACGCAAGCATACGAAGAGCTGAAGTTATCTTCTGAACTGGGTACAGGCCTGGCCGACCCAAAGCATCACATTTCCGTTTGAAGTAGCGATTATGTGCAGTCACATCATCCACAATTTTCAAGAAGAGTGGTCTGTGCATTCGAAAGCGACGTCGGAAGAGGTAATCACCGTAAATGGGTTGAGGTGAAAGGTAGTCCTTGTAGAGTCGTTGATAACCTTCTTCGAATCCTCGGGGAAGATTTGGCCGACGTCCTGGTCGTGATCCTCCTTGCCTTGGTGGCTCCTGGTTTTCATCGTCTTCATCAAACAACATATGGATTGTGTCTGTTACAACAGTTTGGATATTGGTCGCGGTTGCTAGGGCGGCAGCTTGAGTCTCGAGGATGGATTGGAGGAGTCGATGTTCCATTGGGGTGCTTGATTGATTGTGGTTTTGGAAATAGAGAGATATAGAGAGATGTGTGATCGGAGAGATGAGATAGATCGGGGGAAATGGATGAATGTTTGATGGGTTGTCGGGGAATGAGGATTCACAGATGGAAATATGAAGATTTAGCAACCACGGGTGGGCAGAAAAGCCACCCAGGTTGCTATATGTAAAATCAGAGTTGCTACCGCGGGGTTGTAGCAACCCGGTTTTACCTCCCCGGGTGGATATGCTCTCAATGTGTCACTGACGGTCTGACCAGAGTCACTGACAAACAGAGTTTCCTTCATTTCACCAATTTCTGGACCCAAAATCAACCAAAAACAAAGACCGAAGATGGACGCAAGGACGATGATGACGAGACCTGACGAGAAGACCATGATCGTGGCGAAGTATATGTATATGCACTAATAATATAACCACCACCTCCAGTCACACACACACACACCTTCGCCCCTCCCAAGTACACCAACAAAAAAAAAAGAGAGAAGGAAAAGAAAACAAATCTTCATTGAGGGCACATCAACTTCACCCTTTCCTGGCAGTAGACCTTCACATATAATCCCCCCCCCCCCACCCAACAACATTTGTTTTTTTTGTTTGAAAAAAAAAAGAACAACTAATGTCTATCATGTAATAATAAGTTCAACTCATGAAGTTCACTTATATATATATGATATCAGCATCACCAACAATAGTAAAACAAAACAAAAACAAAAAAAATAGAGGAAGAAATCAAGTGCTGATTTATTGGGTAGGTTTAGAGGCAGTTTTCTTGGCCCGTTCAGACGCTTCTTTAATAGCCCTATAGAAAAAAAACAAAAGATAATGTGATTAGTAAACAAATGGGCAAAAAAAGAGAAGGAAATTTGAGAACAAAAGAGAGAGGGAAGAAAAAAAATACCAAGTGAGAGCATAAGTTCCACAAGAGTCTCTAAAAGAACTGAGGATCCCATTTGGGATATCCTTCTCGTCGTCCTCCGCGATAGCCGATCCATTAAGAGGATCATGATGGCTGTGTTCACTGGCATCGATCCAAGCCGAGATCTCACTAAAGTACGGATCATCGGAGGGGAAGCTGATCTTTTGCTCGGCATCCGCTTCCGGAGATCGCACAAACAAGGTCGGTTCATTATATAAATCTACGACTTTCATCTGCCATCCATCCACTATTTATTCCCCCCCCCACCCCCCATTTTGTTTTGTTTCGTTGTTGGCCTCAAGGTTAGTTACAGAAATTTCGGGAAATCTTGTAATGAATCAACACGTACAATAGACCTCTAACTCGGTTGAGTATTTTGTGCCCTGTAAAGTCAAAGCATGAGAGAAGGAGCAGACCGCGCCGGTATCGAATTTCCTAAACACCCACCGACCAATAAGAGTTAAACAACCAACCCAATGATTCTACAAGACATAGTGGGTAAAAAAGGGAACTGACCAAATTGCGGAAGTGGTCCTAGGTAATCGATCGTCCACCGGGATTTTGGACTCGTCGATCGGGATCATCTCTAGCTTTCCAGCCTCCTCATAATGCTAGATACGCCCCACGCCAACGCGATCAAATGTCCAAAAGTCACAATGAGCCTTTTTGTTTCTACTCATATGCCAGTGTGATTTTTTGTCTTGGAGGGGAGATGAGACTTGCCTCGGTCGAGGTGGCTTGGACAGTATCCAAGATAGCTTCTCCACCGAAATATCGACACAAGTCGACTGATTCAATCCGAGAAAAAAGAACAATCTCAGGGTTCTGATATCTGATAAAAAGCAAACAGTATACAAGCTCTATTAGTGTTTTAAGATTCCAGAAAACGTACCAAGATGGGTTCCCTGTTCGACGATCGGACCCAAACTCTTCGACTTATTCCACCACACCTCACTATTGATTTTAGCGTAACTGCACACATCTAAGAGATCCATCAAAGTCCGGGAGACCGTCCCCGGCATTCGAATCGAGTCAGTCCGCCTATTAGCTTCACATGGCATAATAAGAAATGAGAATGAGGCTTACATCGAGCGACGACCATCATGACTGGCTTCCTAGTCTCAGCAATAATACGTTGCATTTGTTGGATAACCTTCAAAAACCAAAAAAGCAGAAGAAATGAGTGGATTATCACGAGAAGATCCAAACCGATGTTTGATAGAAAGAATGATCGACCCATTTTACCTGGAGATATCTCAACATATAACCGACCGAGACGACTGATTGTTTTTTGTCGAGGATGTCGGCTAAGGCGTAACAAGCAGGAACGGGAGCACAAGAGATTGGCTTCTCGACGAATAGAGCGGCCTCGGGGAAGTGCTTCAAGCATTGCAGTTCCAAGTCTTGACCGGGTCTGTTTTTTTTTTCAATCCCCCAAGAAAGGCAAAAAAAATGAGTGTTCGAATGTAGCCGTGTGAGTTGATCTGAGGGAAGAGAAAGCTGAAAAAGACATACAGATTACTACCATGATACTGAGCCGGACTGCCGATGACGATCGCATGAGGCGTCTCAGAGTCCGAGATCGTCTTAGCAAACTCGTCCAAGTCTTTACACAGTCTTGCATCCTTATAAGCCGCCTCGACAAACGTCGCACATTTCACATTGATCACCTGTTTGGCTCGGTCGATCGCCGGGTCTACGATCCCTACCACCCGTAGACGGGTCTGCAATTTGTGCTCTAATCGAACCGAATGATCTACATTAATAATCAGGATGGCTTGTCAGCTTGACGTTGTTTGGTATCCATCTCAGATGTGCTTTCTCACTCCATGGCCCTTGGTCACTAAGTTCAGATGCCAATTAAAAAAAAAAACACAAAGTAGGAAGATGAGCATTAATGTTAAGCGTTTTCGGAGTGGATATAAAAAGCATACATACCTTCCAAAGTTAATATTCTAGATTATTTTGATTGATCGAGGGTATGACGTCAACAAGACGAACAAGAAATGTGAAACACAAGACGAATATGTACGTATTTAGATCAGACTTTCCAGTTTCGATGAGGATGCAGATGATAGAGGAAGTTGAGAAAGACTGACACCAGCGCCGATGAAGAGGACGTTATAATGGCCTTTGAGGTTCATGGCTCGCATTTCTTTGACGACTTGTGGACTCGGCGTGAGAGCATGCATGCCGCCCAATCTAACAAGAAGAGATTCAAGAGGATGAGTGTGTGGTTTTAGGGAATGAAAAGCGCTTTATAGAGGGAGGGAGGAAGGGAGGGGAGAGAGAGAGAGAGAGAGAGAGTATTGTGACCTAGCCGGATCGATACTCGGTCTTCTGATGCTGGCGCGATCATGCTTGGGTGATTGAGAGTCAGATCCGTTGCGTTCGACGGATGAACCAAGGATCCCGGCGCCGAAGGAAGGTCTGCGGGCGGAGGGCGAGTCTGGGGTGGACATGATGTTTGTGGCTTTTCGGATTTTAAGGGTCCTGGTCGATTGAGCTATGTATTGACTTATGGTGTTAATTGGTTTTACAAGTTGGTTCCGAGGGAGAGGATGTGGTGGTTTGTTGGCTGTTTTTCCCGGGCAGAGGATGATTTATATAGGCAGTGGTGCCCTGAGCTTGGACAGGGGAGGATGACCAGCTGAGCTTAATCTAATCTGGATGGGATTGGACTCCAACCCAAGCCAATCCTCAAAGCTGATCTGCCACATCCCATCCACCCTCATATAATCCACCACAAAAAAAAAAACAAACAAACCATCAAAATACAACACACCCATACCAAATCCTTGTTTTGGAGTAAAAGCAAACTGGAAGGAAGCCGAAGAAAGAAAGAAAGGACAGATTGAAATGATCGGGGGGCTTACCGGTTTAAGACCACCACCTTCGCACTCCGATTTCCGAAATTCAAACCCCGAATCCACAGAATGACATCATCACCAATCAGCCCACTGCCCACGAGCTCACACTTCTCGATCAAACTCAAGACTGTCAAACCCAAGCTTATCCCCTCGCACACATGAATACAAAATACAAAATACAAAGCTTCCATCCCATCCTTTTCTAAGAACAAGTCTGAACACGCGATCGAAAGGTATCGCTCAAGAGAAGACAAAACCAACAAAAAATCAACTCGACCTGGATCATCCTCTCATTCCTCACTCCTTCAACTCCCCTCGACTGAGTAGAAATACCCGCAAAAAAAAGTGATACATATCACTAGAGGATAGGGTAGCCCGAAAGGAGCGTTCCCAATCATCCCTTCCCCCGATAGCTCAGCTGGAAGAGCGCGAGACTGTAATGGATATCAATCAAGTTCATCTTGAGGTCGCTGGTTCGATCCCGGCTCGGGGGATCCTCTGACACAGCACCTTGTGTGTGCTCTCTTTTATTACCTGTATTTGTTGCTGGATAAACAGCAATCAATGTCGCCTCTTCTTTTTGGGCCATAAGGTATGTACAGTGCCCTCCCAGTTGTTTATGGCACATGTATTTCTTAATTAAAAAAAAAAACTATCAATGATAAATTTCCAATTTTTTGTGGAGTGGTGGAATGGGGGATGATAAGAAGGAGTATGAAACAAAAAGCAAAATTCATTACATTTCAAAAAAAAAAAAACAAAGCATCATTCAAATTTTTTTTCATTTTCTTTAATAATCTTTTTACAAATACAAAATCAAGTGGGGAGGAGGGTAGCTGAGATGTGGTCAATAATGATTATGAAATAAAATAAAAAATAAAAACAAAAAAAAATTAATATTTGATTGGCCCACCAGAGGCCTCCACAACCAGGTGCATCCGGTGGGGTTGTTGCTGCTGGTTGACCTGAAGATGGGGCGCCATTGATGGCCGGGACACAGATGGTGTTTTGGGATGATTGGATAGGTGGTCTGGCCGAGTGGGTGTGGATGGGCCGTCTGGCCGAGTGGATGTCGGAGGAGACTCGAGAGCCAGCAACCTTTGACTGTTTCGCGGGCCTTGAGCATTTTGATTGTTGACTTGGCAATCAGCTCATCGATGTGCCGGTCTTGAGGTTGTGTTGTCCTTGTATACATTGGTTCCTGGTCACAATGAATGCAAAAACAAGAAAAAAAAACTCAGAAAAAGAAAAAAGAAAAACAAAACAAAACAAGACAAGACAATGGAAACACAAACCTGAGTGTAATCAACCTTGACCTATATCGATGTTCTTCTGAGTATCGACTTGATTTGAAGGTTGATTGTTGATGAATCAGTGAGGGAAAGAGGTTGACCTGCAGTTTAGTGCGCGGGTGCCAGTCAACTTGTGACAGTTCACCCCCAGACATAAACATCTGGGAGGATACTGTACATTGATCATCATCCTTATGTCAACATCAAGGTCTAGAGGAGATACATAGACTACATCATGCTTCCCTCACTCAAACCCCAATCATCATCACCTTTTTTTTCTGATATAACTCTGCCCATCCCCCCAAACACAATACAAAGACAAAAGAAGAAAAGAAAAGAAAAATGGCATGCATCAGGAAGCTGTTGGTCTTCAGTGTTCATCCAAATTGAACACTTTTTACTGTGGACATATTATTATCTAAGTATGAGGAAGACTCTAACTTTCACAAGGTGTTGAATTTGCTTTCAAAGATCAGGATGTAAGAGATGGTTGCTGCACATCCAGATATCCCCTTGCTTTTTTAGCGGAATTGAACATCCACTGGCGGGTATCCGGCGGCCACAGCGGGTATCCGAGCGGTTATCCACGGATACCCGCCCTTTCCATGGTTGGTGAGGTACATGTACCTTGCCGACTTGGATACTGGCAAATTCTGGATGAGGCAGAATCATGTGAATAAACACAAGGACTGTATCTGTGATACTAGGTCAAGACCAAATGACTCACGGTTTGAATTATTCATAAATCCAGTCTGCAATACTTGAATTTACTGGCCAATTACATCTACGTGCATCCATTCAAACCACATTTCATAAAGGGTTTTCCTGAGTTCAAGCAAGTCAGGATTTGGTCAGCTCCATGAGGATCATAGTTCAGTTGCCAAGACAGCAGCCAAAGTGAAGCCAGTGATACTTGCCCAATTTCAAAGTTATCATCCAATACATTCTGTACAGTGTTACCAATCACAATGTTATCTGCACCTCCTGTGACTCTGGCTGCATTCTGCCCAATGGCTTGCACAGCTAGGTCTATTTGCAGAACCATGAACACCATATTGGCTAAGATATAGTATACTTGAGCTTAGAGATGGTCGGTCCGCATCCGGATATCCGTTCAGATGCGGATATCCGATGGCAATTTCAGCGAAATTGCACATCCGCATCCGCACCCGCACCCGCTAGCGGGTATCCGTCGGCCGCAGCGGGTATCCGAGCGGGTATCCTCAGATACCCGCCCTCTAAAGGGCCGGCGACGGACCGGCTGGAAGGGCTTCCTTCCAGCCGCGGGTATCCTTTGGGATACCCAGATACCCGCCAGCAATTTGCGGAAAAGGGGCCATCCGCACCCGAATCCGCACCCGCTGGCGGGTATCCGCCAGCGGATAACGGGTATCCGCGACGGATACCCTTCGACCATCTCTACTTGAGCTTGGTCTACACCATTTGCTTGTTTCACTTTGGCAAGTCCAATGTTCATTGTGTTGATGAGGTCGGTGAACCTTTGGTTATTGCGGGCCCCATCCTGTTGATTATTGAACAAGTCTTGTGGATGTGCAATGGTGGATGTCAATTGTGTGGACACAATTAAGACCTCTGAGAAATGACGCAGAAGCATTTATAATGAGATACTCTTGGTGGGTTGCAAGTGTTGATTTATGTTAAGGATCTAAAAATTATCAAAATGGGTGGAAGGATAGAGGTTATAGGTTTGAGTGCTACAACTATTCAGACAAGGATTGCGCGGCCAGGATTTTTACTTCCAGTTGACAAGGTACATGTACCTTGCCGGCTGTAAGGAAAACCTTCCAGTCAACAAGGTACATGTACCTTGCTGGCTGGAAGGAAACCCTTCCAGCAGGGGAGGTACATGTACCTCACCTGCTGGCAGGAAACCGGCTGGAAGGACCTCACTGTCTGGAAAGAAGCCCTTCCAGCCAGCCCCTCTCATCCTCTTGGCACTGGGTATCCCTGCGAATACCTGGATATCCGCCAGGACTTCAGGGGGAAGGGGACATCCACTGGCAGATAATGGGTATCTGCAACGGATACCCTTTGAACATCTCTATACATCATGGCCATCTTGACTGGCCCCAATTCTAACATGGCAGCTGAACAAGGCTGTATATAAGGTCCAACAACATCCACTTTGGTAGTCAGTTCTGTGGCTTGTTGTTTTAAGCTGGTATGAAATAGTCTATCTAGAAAGAAAAAAAAATTGTGAGGGCTGTGTGTTTGGGGTTTCCATAATTATTGAGTTCTCAAAATATGAGATCTCGGAAGTTGGGGAAAGGGGTATGAGGATTGAATGATTTATACTTCAGGTAGGAGGAGAAAGAGAGAACAGAAACACTGGTTTTAGACATACACTCTTCAAGAACTTTCCATTCCACAGACACACCTTGGGAATTGATCTTAGCAGCAGTGGGCCGCTACGCTTTTGGCCCAAAAAGTGTAGCGTAGTGGCACTTTTTTTGCGCCAAAAAATTCTAGTGTTAGTGGTTTTTTTGATTATTTTTGCTATGCTACGCTGCGCTACACGGCCAAAAACCCGCTGTCCAGCGTGTTAGCGTAGCGTAGTGGGCCCTTTTTTGGGGCCTATGAGCGTTGTAGAAAGAAAGGCGCGCCCTAGGAGATTTCTTGTACTTCTCCGCTCCGCAACACGTCTTACTCCGATTTGTTGTCCGGGGTAACTTGCTTGATGGTCTTGTAGGTAGGTAAAATAGCTCTCTTTTGTTGTTCTTTGGTAGGTAATACTCTAACTCTAATCTATCTCTAACAATTCTTTAGGCTAATACACGATTCACTCCTAAGTCACTCTGTTTTCTGATATGTTCTGAGTCATAAGTCCCCTCTCTCCCCCCCTCTTCTGCCTCGAACTCCACCCCTCCTAAGTATCCCACACTCCAGTCCCTTCCTGCTTCCCGCGATGTCATCCGCTGTCACCCCTCCGACGCCTGTCGGTCCAGGTACTCCTCCGGCCGCTCCTAAGCAGATCTCCCACCGCCGCTTCCGCCTCTGGTCCGCTCCAAACCCCGCTTCCGCCCCTCGGTGCTCCCCGCTCCTTGTAGCCCCCTCCGCAGTATACGCTGAACCCCGGTTCCGCAGTCGGCCGTGATCCCCGATGTCCAGATTCCCCACAGTAAGCTTTTCAGAACCTTGTGCATTCAGTCTACTTTTCCCCGCTTTCCCGCGCCTCGGAAAGCTAGACTTTCCGCTAATGCACCGCCGCTTTCCTCAGCCTGCTTGTGTAGCGTCAGCTCCGCGTGCTCTCCGCATCAGCGCCGCGAGCATTCCGCATGCCCCCAAACAAACCGGCCAAAGCTTTGGCCCAGGCGCGCTCTCACCACCACAGCGTAGTGTTAGTGCAAGATGTGGCGGAATTCTGCTATGCTACGCTGAAGTTGAGCGGAATTACTCTACACTACAGTTAGTGTAACTGGCCCACTGTTGATCTTAGGTTTATATTTTGCTTGGCTATAAGGGCTTATCCAAATCAGTCATCACAGGACACCAAACAGCATAGCTATGTGACTAAAGCAGAGAACCTTACAACAGACTCAAGTAGAAGTGTGGCAAATTTTTAGCCTTTCTAGGATAGTTATGTGTGTGTTAGGTCAGATCACGTACTGCTGATGTTGAAGTTATCAGTCAAACCTTGTTAAGACCGGACTTTGTTGTTTGATTGGAAAGCAATAAATTTTGATGTGAAGCTCCCCGTTTCAAAGCAAGATCCCACACTAAAACTTGACCAATCTTGTGAATCAGCAAGCAAGCCTTGTTTCACATCAGCAACATTGTGTTGGTGCAACGTGACCCCCTTATTGTCAGCTTGAGGCTTGAGCAGGCCCTCCTTTGATCACATCTCTGCAGAAAAAAAAGGGGTATAAAATTGAAGAGAATCAGGGAATATCATAGAGCAAGTCAAGGGAAACAGAGAGGATTATATCCAAATTTATATATATGAGGGATGTATGTGTTTATATGGGTATATTTGTATGTATGTTTATTATGGCTATGCATGTATGTGTATGAATGTATATATATACACCATGTGGCATGGGGCAGGTTTTTAGAAACCCCTCCCCCAGCAGTTGGATGGATTCTGTCCCAAGCGCCCGCGACTTGGTTGCAAAGCATCCAACGGAAGCTTGGGCGCACCTGCCATCATTTGGACTCTTCAGAAAGCGTCCAAATGATACCAGGCAGTGGAAACCATCCAGAGAATGGTGTACAGCCTGGTGTCCATTGGACACTTGATTGAGAGCGTCCAAATGATACCAGGCAGTGGAAACCATCCAGAGGATGGTGTACAGCCTGGTGTCCATTGGACACTTGATTGAGAGTGTCCAATTGACAGCTAAGAACCCATCAATTGGACACTTCTCAGAGTGTCCAATTGATGGTTTTCAACAGGGTCCGGCAGTCAAAAAAAAGGGTTGATTGTCAAAAAATTATCTTAAAAGGTGGTTGATGGTTGAAAAACAATCCAAAAAATGCAACGCGGGGTGTATAGTTGACCCTTTGCCCAGTGCAATATCAAAGATTCTAGTATAGTCAAGTGGCAAGGTACTGCATTAGTGCAATCACTGATGGTAGTCCCTGTGGGTCTTGGGTTCCAGCCCAATGCCTGGTATTCTTTGTACCCAAGGGCTTCTAATCCTACCATCCAATGGATGGTTTGGCGCCACCATCTAGAGATGGGCACTTTGCATCCGGATATCCGCGCAGATGCGGATATCCTGTTGCTTTTTCCGGGGAAAGCGGCATCCGCATCCCCTGGCGGATATCCCCCCGCCTTAGCGGGTATCCGAGCGGATATCCTCGGATACCAGCC